GAAGAAAGACAAAAGAGGGAATTAAAATGGGAAAGAAGAAAAAGGTAGAGCAAATGCAACTAATGAATCAATTTATAAAGAAATTTTATGAGCATAAAATTTCATAAAAGAATATAATAACAAAAAAGAGTCAGAACAACTCAATGCAGACAAAATTAAAAATTAGGTAAGAAATACTAAAATTCCTCTATGTCACAGTTTTTAAGGTGGAAGGATTTATTTCAGGGACTTGCAGATTCAAAATGTGCCAGGTGTTGGGAGTGCTGCGTGTTTTCTCTTTCCCACATCTAGATCAGCATCCTGATTACAAAACCACATGGAACTCAGGCTCCAGAGCTTATCTTGGTTTTCAACCTGCTATGTTAGTGCTGATTTCTACCCCAGCTCATTATGTTCTCTGGTGGCACAGGGGAAATATACCCTCTCTAGCATGTATGGCTGTTTGGGGGGGGTTGTCAGCCACGTCCAGGAGACTATTACCACAGTCCAACTCCACCCTTCTCTCATACTGCTCATGTGACTTTGTGAGGTCCTCCCAGGAGCCCAGGCAACTCGGGGCCTCCTGCTTGAATAGAGGTAACAGTGTTGGTGAGTTCTTGGCCTGGCGATTGGAGGCCTCCCTGGTGGGAGTGACAGTTTGTGTGTGTGTGTGTGTGTGTGTGTGTGTGTGTGTGCGCTCACATCTCAGGGGATCTTGGTGTGCAGGGAAGACAGTCCTGTTCCAGGCACCTGAAGGCATCTTGCCGGACTTCCGTCTCCAGTTGGAAATAGATTCCCTCCCTTCCTTCAAAGGCAGTCTCCATGGCAATATGTGCTGCTATCTCCAGAGAAGAACATGAGGGAATTTTCTTCTCAATTCTGTAACCTTCACAAAATGGCTTTCTACCACAGCTCTCCATTCACTAGCTAAGAGGGGCAGGTATCTCACTTTTCAGCTTTCTATGCAGTGTCTGTATCAGCTAAGTTTAGTCTAATTTTCTCTTCCTCTGAAGCAATTTTCCCCCCAACTTTGCTTCTCTTTCTCTCCTTTTGTGTCCCTTCTTCTCCTGGCTCTGAGGGGTGAGGTTCAGAATGACGCCATCCCTCTTGCTCTCTGTTCCAGTGACCAGAATCTCTCCGAGTCTCTGTTTAATATCAAACCTTAATGTAGTCCCTTATTTCTCCCCCTTGCCACATAGCTGTTCCCAGCTATTTCCAATTCTGAACTGTAGAGGCTTTGGAACTTTCAGACTGTTTCTACTCGGCCATCTTGATCTCCCCTGTCATTAACTCTTCACAAATAGATGTGTGTGGGGTTGGGGTACTGCACCTGTAGTTCCAGCTCCTCAGAGGAATCACTCGAGCCCAGGGAGTTCAAAAGCCAGCCTGGGCAACATTAGTGAGACCCTGTTTAAAATGTCTTCAAAATTCCTTTAAACTTATTAAGAGAGACTTAATCCATTTCAATTTCTTTGGGCTTTGTTGTTAGAGAGTTGTTATGTTCTTTTGGAGGCATCATATTACCTTATATTTTTTTTCTTTTCATATCTATCGGGCTCCTTTGTTGAGATTTGTGCATAATCTACCACTTGAGCTGGCCTTCTTAGTGGTTTTTACCTGAAAATGTATCAGTTTGGTAGGCAATATTGGTTTTTATTCTACCTGGGCACCTTAGTGTAGTCTTTTTGTAGCTGCTTTGGCTGTGATTAGTGACTTTGGGTGCAGTGCATACTGGGGCAGAGTTGAAACCCACTCTGTGGGCCATGTCCAAGTGGGGACATACTAGTGTTCAGGCAGGTATGGTGTAGTCAGCAGAATGTGTGTGGTGTTCCTTCCAAGCTTGATCCTACAATGAGAGTAGTGACCCCTGTTGAGTGACAGAGTTTCCTTTGGTACTGTTGCTGCATTATGCTGCTAGCAAGGGCCTCTGGCACCAGCAGCACCAGCAGTGTTGTGGGGCTTGAAGCACTTGTCCTCTGATCAACGGTGGTGTGAGCCTCCATGCCACATGGGGAGAGGTGGTGGTGGGAACAACAGCACCTCCTCTGTGGGGCTCACATGGAGTCCTGACAGAACTGTGTGATCAGAAAGAATGCGGGGTGGGGTGGCAGCAGGAATCATGGTGTTCTTCTCTGCTGCTTTGGAGGTAATACCTGCCTGGGAGCAGGACCTTGGATGGTGCTGGTTACAGTTGCTCTCTGTGCTTCCTTTGGCTGTGCATGCTTGGACCCTGGGAGTTGCTCAAAGCCCCCTCAGCACACCCTTGAGTTAGCCAGCATCAGGAACCATGGTGTTCCATCCTTGCCTGTCAGGCATAGGCACCTGAGAGGACAAACACCTTGATATCCCCTCCATTCCTTTCCATGTCTCAACACCCATTCCTTATAGTGCAGGGCACCCAACAGACTTGGGACAGAGTCACTCTGCTGGGCCCATTTGGTACATGAGGCAGCTATCTGATGAGCCAGTACAGTGGAATGTTTGTGGGAGTCCCAGAGATGGGAATATGGAAAGTTTTCTGACCCCTAATGCTGTTCAAATTCAGACAATAGGTCCTTTCTCATATGGCTCCTGCCTATAGCACCCTGAGGGTTCTCTGGGATTTGATAAGAAATCCTTTTCCAAAGCAAGGCTATTCTGCATATTTCAGATTACTTATCTAAGTCTATGGGTGTTGTGAAACTTTCAAGCAGCTAAGATTGCCAGCATCCACACTGACAGACTTGCTGGAACTCTTTTTGACTCTTACCCCTGCACAGAGGAAATTTCCCTCTCTTCCTACCACAGACCTGAGATGAGCTGTAGAGCTAGTATGGTATTTTTGTTCTTCTTTCTATGCTGTTGTCCCAGGTTTCTGAATTTTGCAAGATTCCAGTTTCTTCTGGTTTCCAGAACTCTTGCACGGTTACCTCCTCTCAAAATGCAGCTATGCCCCTGTTAATTTGTAGAAGAGGTGAATGCTGGGCACCTCTGTTTGTCCATCTGATTCTCCTAATAATGAATGTCTTGTACTTTTACAACGCATTTAACCAATCCACTTTAATTGGATATTATTTTTTTCTCTACTATAAACATACCACATGAACATTTCTTGCAGCAAATAATTTGCATGTATACTTAATTCTAGTGGGGTTTATATGTACCCAGAAAGCCTCTCTGCTTGGATATATGGTTTAATGAATTCTTTCTCTGAAGAAAATAAGGAATCATCTATACTTATTAGAAATTGAGTCATGCAGTTATGGAGACTGGCAAGACCCAAAATCTGAAGCGTGAATCACAAATCCGGGGAGTCAAGAGAGACAGTTTAGTTCATAATAGCTAGGTTCAAGTTTGAAGGCCTGAGAAGTAGGAGAGCTGAGGGTGTAGCTCTAGTCTAAGAGTTGGCAGGTTTAAGAGGAAGGAAGAGCCAGTATTTTAGATTGAGCCCAAATGCAAAAAAAAAAAAAAAAGAAACAAACTGGTTTCCCAATTTGAAGGCATTTTCTCCTACTCTGGGAAGAGTCAAGTCTTTTGTTCTATTAAGGCCCTGGAGGGATTGGATAGAACCCATCTTCATTAGGGAGAACTGTTTCACTTAGCCTATAGGTTTAAATGTTAATCTTGTCTAAAAAATCCTCACATAAATGCCAACATTTGACTAAATGTTTAACACCTTTTCAGCTTTGACAGTATGGGATAGAAGGTTTAGAGTTTTAGTGAGGAAAATGATGAAAAGGTATTTTTGTTGGCCTTTCAGGTTTTTAGCCCCAATTCTACTACAAATAAGGAATCAAATCATCTCTCTAATTTGCATAAACAGTTGTTAGTCAATATGAATAACAAGAAAAACTAGAGGAGAAAAAGTTTATTTGGGCTCATGGTTTTAGAGACTCAGTCTGTGACCAGCTGACTCCATTGCCCTGGGCAGAAGGGTGGCAGAAGAAAGCTGCTCAGCTCATGGCATTCTGGAAGCAGAGGGGTGGGGAGCCACAAATAGGATATAACCCCCAAGAGCACACCCCCAATGACCTACTTCCTCTAGCCTACAGTTGCCACCCAGAAGTCCATTCAAATTCAGGTTGATTAATCCTCTGATTAGGTTACAGCTTCCATAGCATAATTGGAATTCCATCATCTCATCTGTGAACATTGCTGCATTTGGAGTCATGTTTCCAACACATGAGCTTATTAGGACAGGTCATATTCCAACTGACAGCAATTTTATTTCAGTTTCTAATCTTCCTGTCATATCTAAATAACCTATTGCATTAAATTAATATTTTCATTAAATGTATTCAGTTTCCTTTAAAATTTTCTCCTCCTCCTAATTATAAGACATTTTTCTGTAGGCCACCGTTTATACTTCCTCAAGGGAAGAATCTTCAATCCTGCATCTCTCATCAACCTTCTGCTTATTTTTCCCCTTGTTGCCAACATCCAGCCAAAGGCAAGCCTTAGGTTGGAATAAAAGAGAAGTCTTATGTTTAAAGAAGATTGGTGTATCAATTAATAACAATTGGATGACTTCAATTTCTAATGTGATGGTAGGATTCATTTAAGAATAATTCGCCCCCACCAAAGTCAAAGTTTTTACTTTAAACTGAAATCTAGGGCAGAGGAAATTTTCCTTAACTAAATGCTTTCTCAGGAAAAATAAACAAAACAAAAATCAAACAAGAGAATTAGCATTTTTCTCACTTCCATAATTATTGACTACATATATTATCAATATTTAAACCTCACAATAACTCTATATGATCAGTGTCTTCATCCTAATATCACAGGTGACTGAGGCACTGAGAGAGAGGGAATTTTCCAGAGTCACATGGCTAGTAATCCATGGAACCAAGATTTTACTCCAGGTCCATTAGTCTCCAACTGAAGGCCAGTGGTCTTTCCACTGTGCTGTGCCTGCTTGACAGAAGTCCAGGGTTATATGTTGTATTTCTAAGGTCCAAAGGGCCTAACAAAGTTTAGCATCCAGTTCATTAAAATGTGTCTTTTTCCATCTTTCAAAATTTGCCTTTGTTCTTCCTAAGGCTCAGTAGAAGTGAGCAAAATAATAGATTACCTGCGACAAACAGCTAGCCAAGATTCTGAAGACACTAGCCTTGAAGAGTTGTGGAACATGCTTGATCCTGAAAGGAGAGACCCACATGTGGATCTGGAAACCTTCCAAACCATCATGAAAGAATGGATGGCTTTCAGTGCAAACAAATGGTAATCAGAGTCCCAGCAGAGTGTGTTTAAAGATTCTGTTTTAACAATCCATTATAATTGGTGGCTAATCATTGTTTTATGTGTCAGTGGAAATACTATAATCCAATGCTTTTAGAATCTCCTGAAAGATTTTAAGCTGATGGTTGGGTACCATCACCAGGGTTCAGTACATTTGTGCCAAAGTCTGATGATTTGTGTTCTAGCAAATTTCCAGGTAAAATTGCTGCTGCTTCTGGGATGGGCAGCCTTTGAGGACCATTGTCCTAATATGCTAATTCTGATAATGTTCCTTTTTGTGATTGGTGGGAAGTACATAATACATTCTCACTAGGAATTGAGCTGGCATGGGAGCCAAGTGAATTATCGATATCATCAAATCTCCAGGACATGCAAGAGTGAATTCTTCTTTTAGGGCAGTAGGGCTATAGATGCAGGAAGGCTAAAGGGAAAAGGAAAGGACTGTGGGTAGGAGAAAAAGATGAACAAAAGAGAATGGTGTCCATGACTCAGATGCGTTGGCAGATACTAGAGAAGTGCATTTCCTTTTTCAGGAAGCCAAGCTGCTGTGCCTGCTAGCCACCAATCTCCAGCTGATACATATGAGGGATGTGCTTTAACCAAAACAAACGAACAAACCCTTCACAACCAAAAAGTAGCAATACTTGCTAGATTTCTGGCACAGAAATCTAAGGATAGATAACAGAATCATCTAAGGATAGATGACTTAGGTCATCTTTCCTTAAGATGGATGATTTCCTTAAGAAAATATAGCTAGAATGTTGTATGCCATACATAGATTAATAATAACCAATATAAGTATACAAAAATACATAATTTTGCCCATCAGTTTAACAGATTTAAAAGAATGACTTTGTTTCATGGTGTGGGTAGGTAGAATAAACCCTCTCATACATTGTTGGGAGAAGTGCAAGTTGGAACAGTTTTTTAAAAAGCATTTGATAAGTTGTATATCAAACTTTTAAAGTATGCAATCTCTGTGAGTTGGTAATGAAATGTGATGAAATATAACCAAATGCTGTAATACATATTTACAAGTTGTTTATGATAATGATAAATAGAATCAACCTAAATATTTAAAAATCGAGTAGTAGATAAATATATTAAAGTTCCATACACTGAAATCCTAAATAATTATTCAAAATTATAGTTTGATTAATATTTGTCAAGAGAAATAGCCATATGGATCTATTTCAAATAATAGGATATAGATCTGTATATGTAGTATAATTCCATTTTTCTTAAATAAAAATATTCACAGAAAATGATGGGGAGAATATTAAGAAATGATTATTTCTGCATTAATTTTAAGTTTTTCTTAAGAATTTTTTAATGTTTCTAAAGTACGTAGGTTTGATTACATGATGAAAATATCAGTAGCACGTATAAAACAGATGATGGCAAAAGTAAAAACTCTCATAACCAATTTTAAAAGAAAGAAAACCATGGAGGGTATTAATACAAAATATAGGAGTGGAAATTCATAAATGATGATGGCTGTGCACATGGGAATAGTTAGCTATGTTTTGCTCATTATTCTATCAGACATCTCACCTGAAAAATAAGGAAATGTAAGTACAAATTTAGAAAATGTTGTGGCTTCTTCAGAGATAGAGGCGAAAGATCTGGTGCTTAGAAAGATTTAGTAATAAACCATAAGGCTTCTTTGAAAGGAAATGTTTGAAAATTTGATGTTTATTTTGGAGGGGGGGGTAGAGCTAGAGCTTATGTACTAGACAGAGGGCCTGGGTAGAGGGTTCTCCAGTTTTCAAGGACAATGTTTGAAATACTCTAAGTGTAGGGTCTACCTGATTCTATGATAAAGAGACTAAATGACAGCACCAAAGTACTACTTGTCCATGCTTTTCCTGCTGAATCTATTAAGTCCCATGAGCTTGCTGTCCCCACCAGTCTCCATTTATCACTCCAGGCTTTGCCAACATCCTCCTTCATCAACACCCTCATTCCCGAACCATATGCTGCTGCTGCTGTCACCTGCCTATGTCTGTGTGCATGGTGTTTTTTTTTTTTTTTCCAACATCTGATTAAAAGTTTATGGATGGTGGAGGCAATGCCTTCTGCTTCTTTTCTATTACCCTGACTGCAATATTGGGCACTAAGTAGTTGAATGAATAGATGATTTTTAAACACAGGAAAAAAATAGCTGCTTAGGAAGGTACAGAGCACATCCTTTAAAAAAAATGAACAAAACTCTGGTCTGACAAAGGATCCTAGCTCACTGGTTTTGTGTTTTGGATACAGGGGAGAAGTGAAGAGCAGATTGAGTAGCATCATGGATGACTCTGTTTTTGAACAACAGGGCAGCACAAAATCAGGTGGGCGAGTATGGGTGTGTTTCTTCAGGATCATTCTGCTACTTTCTTGCAGTTTGGAGAAAATGGACTTTCTGTTAACCCTCTTGTATGTTTCAGTTAAGACGACCAGCGATACAACAGATTCCACACCTGGAAGCTTTGAGGCTCTGGGTGGAGACTTGTCTAATGGAGTTTTGTAAGTGTTCTTACGATGCTTTTTCAAGTGCCTCAACTTTACTTATTTTCTTGTTAATTTATAGATCCACATTCTTACTTAAAGTCACTTAACTCTTTTTTTTTCAGTAGAGCTAACATAATCGACTTAAAAATTTTAAACTATGCTATACCATCTTCTTTAGAACCAATTTCACTAGGAACATGAATTCTTGTAAGATTAGTAATCCAGAGTTACCATTTGCCCACTCACGAAACACTACTCCATTAACTTCATATGTTTGCCATAAAAAACAAGTCCCATTTCAAGCATGGTAATGATATTAACCTCAAGCTCTTTGGGGGATTATTTTTAAGCATTTCTTTAATAGAACATTTTAGACATGAGTTGGCAATTTTCTTTTCCACTGAATATGTGAAACACCACTTTATACATTGAAGAGGTGTTTCTGACTCTCCCTTATTTTATCCAGCAAAAATGTGGAGTAGGAACCATTTGTCTAACCTAAGAACTGAGAAAAGATAGCAAAGAGAAAGAGGAGGCCTGACATTCTATGAAACATGCAGTCCAGAGTTTCTAGGTTTAGGACCTGATGTTGGGGGCAAGAGTCAAACATATATTAATGAGCTATACGAAATAATGGGAAACACAAGTACTACTTTGTAATTACAGGCCACATGTAAGACCTAGGAGTTGTTTCCTAGTTAAAGGCCTGCTGAAACCTGCTGAGATCCTTCAAATGAATGTGCATTACATTTTAAAAGTTCAGGATTTTCCATATCCCATGTGGAAACAGAAAACGCTTTGATGTAGAAAGAGGCAAATGCTGGCAGGGAGGTGGAAAGAAAGAAATCAAGCTGTGGAAGTTGATTTCACAAATGGCAAATACTGAATGCCTGATAATTCTGGATAGATCTTTGATGCTATTGGAATATAGATGTTTGAGTAAATACTTGTTGTATGAGTAACTACTTTTGTAATGACGGTGATGAGGGTAAAATAGAATACTTCATAAGAACATTGAAGCCTGTTTGGGCTTAACTGTATGCCTTTTTTCTGATTGGAAAAGAGGAGAGATGTTGAAGATTATTCTCATTAATTCTTTCACCTGCAGAGAGATGTCTGATTTCATCACCTACATAGCAGACCTACATTTCAACAAACAGAAATTGGAAGAGGAAAATCACAGGTTTAAGTTGGCATTAGAAACTTTGGAAGAAGCTAACAACCAGTTAGCAGATGATTGCACTGAATTGCGCCTTCAGATAAAAAGGTGGGCCACCGCAGGGGGTTGCACACTGGTGGCTTTTAGTTTTATTTTTCAAACTTTTATTGATATAAAAGTCACAGGTCATAAAATTCATCTACTAAAAGTGTAAAATTCTGTGTTTTCAGCATATTCAGAAGGTTGTGCAGTCATTACTATTATCTAATTCAAGACTATTTTCAACATTCAGAAAAGAAACCAAATGTTCATTAACAGTCACTCCTATTTACTTGCCCTTGGCCATTACTAATCTACTTTGTGTTTTTGTCCTATTCTGGACATTTCACATAAATGGAACCTTCATGTTTGGCTTCCTTGACTTGGCACATGCTTTCCAGATTCATTCTTCTGGTGGTAGTATCACTGTTTCATGGTTTTTCGTGGCAGAGTATTCTTCTGTACAGATATACCACATTTTTATCCATTCTTCAGATGATGGACTTATTTACCCTTTTTGGTTATTATGACTAAGATAGCCTTGAACATCTGTGTACAGATTTTTGTGTATACTTATGTTTTTCGTTCTCTTTGGTATATGTGTAGGAGTAGAACTGCTGTGGCATGTAGTCGCCTATGTTTAGCATTTTGAGAAATCACCAAACTATTTTGCATAAAAAGTATTCCATTTTACATTCCCACCAGAGATATTTGTCAGTTCATTTCTAGCAATGATGTTCTATTATTGATATCATCAGGTACAGTAGACTTATGGACCAAGGATGCATTTGTCCAAACCATTCTATGGGTCAGTTATCATCTTATTCTATGCAAAATCCCATGCTAAACACCATCAGAGATTCCTGGGTGATCCAGGTTTAAAATGTGCCCTTGAGGTTCCTATGGCCTATAAGGATGATAAGACATAAAAACTTGTGGGTTAACTTAAGATAAAAAGGGACAAAGTACATAAGAGACATACCAGGAAACAGTGTTCAACACTGTGACATGGGTTGGGGGTGATGCTTGATGGTCAGGAGAAAAACAACAGATCTTATAAAGACTATGTTTACAGTTGTAGGTGTTAAAGTCTTGAACATCGAAATTCTAGGAATTAACTTGGAATGACAATAAAGTACTGTAGCCATAATTATTCTCACCCTTAAAAATTTTGGCCGGACTAGACTAGATCAGGTCAAAACTTTTGAGGACGAGAATACTAATGTATGTGTGTATGCATGTATACATGTGTATATACTCTGTGTATGTATGGACATACTTACAGATTCTCTCCACAACTGGCTTACTTATTTTATTAACATATAATTCAAATTTGGTTTTTTAAAAGGAAAAATCTATGCCTTGAAGGAGTGTGCCAGTCAGAGTTTTGGTTGCAAGCGCTAGAAACTGACTGCATTTAACTTGCATAGTCAAGAAACATGTTAGGAAAAGATTTGAATAACTCAGAATGAACAGAAAGACCAGAGAATCTGGTGGCACTCAGTCATTGTTAAATTGAGCCAGGAATCACCCCTTTTCTCCTACCTCTAAGCCTTTACAAATAGCTTGGTTCCTTTGGGCTTTCACTGCTTATTTTTGACATTGTTCATTGCTTATAACCAGAAATCATTCTTTAATTTTTTTCCTCCCTCAGTCTTCCTTTTTACATCAATAACAAACTCAATTAATTTTATCAGCTTTGTATCTAAATGATCAATGCAATTCCTTTTTTAAATTTTATTTTTATTCTAATTAGTTATATATGACAGTAGAATGTATCTCTTCAGTAGATTGACTTCTGCCTACTTTTGCATCTGCCATGTAATTCAAGCCAGCATTGTCTTTCACTTGGGTCACCACAACAGTCTTCTGGCTAGGCTTCCTGTTTTCTCAAAGACATGTGCCATGCTGGCAGGAATTCTTCTTTGCAGATGCCAGTTTAACCACATCATGCTTCTGCTTTAAACACTTGGATGGATCCCTATTGCAATTAGGATAAAAATCTAAATTCCTGTGCCAGTTTACAAAGCCTTTCATGATGGAGCTCTGCTACCTAGCCTCTGCTTCCCATTTTCTACCTTATACTGTAACAATATCTAACTGCCTGTAGACCCTTGATGAACTTTTGCTTGTGCAAAACATACACTCTTTCACTGTCTAAGTTATCTGCCTTTTATGCAGTGCTCACAGAAATTGGATCCACCCCAGACTTGGTTTTCATTGCATTGTATGGTAACTATAACTGTTTACCATAGTAGCCTATAAACTCAGTGAAGAGTGCATTCACACGACGGAGTATACTTTCTCCTTCTTTAGTGTTCAGCACAACATCTGGCACAGATTTAGAGCTCAAAAATTTGCCAAATGATCAATGCAATTCTTTTTTTTAATTTTAATTTTTATTTGTTCTAATTAGTTATACATGACAGTAGAATGCATTTTGACACATCATAAGTAAATGCAGTGTAACTTCTCATTCGTCTAGTTGTATATGATGTAGAGTTACACGGGTCATGTAATCATATATGCACATACAGTAATAATGTCTGACTCCTTCTACTATCATTCCTACCCCCATACTCCCTCCCCTCCCTTCATCCCCCTCTGTCTAATCCAAAGTACTTCTATTCTCCCCCACCCTGCTCTTATGAATTAGCATCCACATATCAGAGAAAACATTTGGCCTTTGGTTCTTTGGGAATGGCTTATTTCACTTAGCATGATATTCTCCAGTTCCATCCATTTACTGGCAAATTTAATAATTTTACTCTTCTTTAAATCTGAGTAATATTCCATTGAGTATATATACCACATTTTCTTTATCCATTCATCTGTTGAAGGTCATCTAGGTTGGTTCCATAGTTTAGCTATCAATGCAATTCCTTGGTAAGAAAAATATACCTTCTTGAGGCCCTCAGAGACAGTTTATAATCAAATGAGAGATGCAAATTGGTGATTCCATGGCATGGATTACCAACATTCATTTAAATCTGTTTCCTGGTGGTGGTCATCTAAGTTGTTTCCAATTTTTGCTATTATGACAAATACTGCAATAGATTTCTCTGTGGAATGTAGTGTGTAGAGACTTGTGGCGATTATTTGTTTGGCTGTTCACCTCCACCACAGTATGTAAGGTCTCTAAGGGCAAAGGCCACATATCTCTTGTCTTCCATTGTAGCCCTCATGCAGGGTACAGCACCTGGAATGTAGTAGTATTCAGTAAATACTGGTAAAATTTGCATTAACTAATATTACATCTATTTAGGAGGAGGAAAGAACCATGTTGTTTAGCCAATGATGGATTTCAAAGGAATTTTCTAAATCTTTAGTTTTAGGAATATATTTGTATTTCTTTTTTTCCCCCTCTCCCATTATACTGTTGTCAATTTTGTTGCTTTTCGAAGGACTGAACAATCAGAAGGTGTATTTTTATTATTATTGGCATCTGATTTAAGTCTTTAGTGGTTTTTAGCTTGGGTCCAAAATTAGCTCTTGACTTTACTTTGTGTCTTTGACAGTTATATTTGAGGTTTTGCTCTTGTCTTTCCCCCACCCCCACAGTGCCCACCAAGCTATTATGAGAACAAGTCGGTTAAAAGAAGAACTGGAGGAACTGAAAATTAGTATGAATGCTTCAGAAGAGGAGAAGGCCTTAATTTTAGTCCAGAAAAAACAATTAGTAAGTCATCAAGTACTGTGAGATTGGTACATAGTTTACATAACTGAAGTTTAAGAGGGTTTGTTTTGGGGCAAAAAAAAAAAAAGACAATAATTTGATAAATGGATTGGTGAAAACTTAGAAAAGTTATAGGCAAGTAGGATTAAAAATTACTTTTCTTTTCAATCAAGATTAAATTTTATAAGTGTTTATTATATTCCTAATGGGTTATAAAGATCTAGATAATCTCTAGATTATTTAGAATGTCTCCCGAGTCTGATGGGCAGTTCATAAATATCTGATGCAAAAACAAAACAAAACAAAACAAAAAACGGTTGAATTAAAAAAAAAATTCTGCCAAACTTTCAGCTTTTTCTTAGTTCTCTCAGGACTTCCAGGTTAATGAGAAACTTCATAGGTCCTTCCTTCCACTAAATAAGCACAGTCTTGAAATTTCAGAGCAAGAAATCATTCAGACCAAGCTTTAGCTCAGATACCAGAGAAATGATCATTTTTACTGAGAATTTTAGCATTGGTAATAATCTTCAAAATCCTGATAAATTCTAGCATTACTGATGATGGTGAAGGCAGCTGAAAGTCACTCAGACTAATTGGTTCTTTAGATATTTGTCAAAAAGCAGTTTTTAGAGTCTGTAAGTCATTGGGAGGCTTGGTTTCCAGGCTGGGTCAACACTTTGACCTCTCACAACATGCACTGCTTCATTTAGCTTAGCTCTTGTTCTAGTAGGAAGATGTGAGGACCAGACTCACTGGGTATTATTTCCTTTGTGACTGAGAGTCTGAGAGCCTTATAGGGAAGACTCAATATGGGACCACAGGGGATCTCCAAACTAGAGGCAACATGGGGAAATGGTCAAGAGCCCCCTGGGGAGTGAGACTGCCTGTGTTCAAGCCCCAACTCCGTGTGACTCTAGGCAAGCCATTGAACTACTCTAAGCCTCAGGGTCCCCCTAGATACACAGAGATGACTATCCTACCTACACTAGGACTAGGAGAGATAAATAAGCTTAACACATGTGTCATAATATCCTTTTCTTCTTAGGTTTCATTAACGTTAACTACTGTTGGTAAAAGTGCAGAGTCCTAGATATACAATCCTAATTCTTTGCATTCTGTAGTGTTTTGTAATTTTGAAAGGATTTTTACTATTTTACCTCATTGGTAATCACAGAAATTCTGTGAGATAGAAAAAGAAGTTGCTATATCTTCATATCTTTTAAAAATGAACTAAATTGATAAAGTCCAGGTACGTCTCGATTCCTCAGTTAATTGTGTAATAAATGGTATAAAATTGAACTCCAGTCTTCTGATGCCAACAACATGGTATGTGTTCCTATAGTCTTTTGTCAGTGAAATTCTAGCCTGAGATGTTTTTATCTTGTTATAAAAGCAATACTCGTTCATTTTATTCTTATAAATAAAGAAATGCATATTAACAAGAAATAAAATTCCACAAAGTCCTTACCTTAACCCACCCACAAGACTTACTGTTAACATTTTATAAATATCCTGTCCTGGAATAGTTTTTCTTCTGATGCTTCTGATTTTGAGACTGTTAATTATAGAAGTTTCTGATGTTCACATGTTGTGGTAACATTGAATCTGGGAATATCTATAGCTTCAGAGAGAAAGCTGAAACTTGTTGTGGTTTCAAGGTGCAGTTTAACTAGTTGTGTTGGCAGCTATCTATCATAAAAGAATGGTGCTAATGTAGAAAGGAAAGAAGCCAGGTTGTTCCTATTTTAGTTTTTTATCTTTTTCTCCTTAACTACTATTCCTGTGAATTAGGGAGAAGAGTAACTACTTTCAGTTCCTCAAGAAACTGCAAGCCAAGGCTTGACCCCCATATTGAAAATATTTTTAGACTGTACTCAATTGTGACATGAATACCACATTTAAATTTAAAGTTGATAAAGGAAAAGAATGTTAATGCCCTTAGAGGTAAGTATGTGGAACTTTCATAAAATTCTTAAATATTCTAATTTTTCTTTTCAGGAGACAGAAAACCAGGCTCTGATTCTTAAGATTAAGATTCTACAGGAAGAGGTGTGTTGAAATCATTAAACACAGGCTTAGGTAAACATATGGAAATCATATGATCATGGGTTAACACCACGAGTTAAATAAAGAATCATGTGGCTTCAGGTCCCTCTGGGCCCAAAAGTAGGGTGATGTGTCGTATTATAAGTAGAGAAAAGTAGAAGGATTTTCATGTCAGGGCAGAGGTGTCTTATTGCATTTGCAAATGTCCATGGAAAAGTGGGATTTAAGAAATTCAGATTAAAGGTAGAATTAAATGAGCTGATCTTAAAAACCCAAATCAAGAAGGAAAGCATGTAGTTTTCTAAAAATATTCTATTACCTTGAATGAGGTAGAAAGATTCTTGAGTCTTACATCTAGATCTTAAATTCATTGAAAATACCACCTTGGGAAAACTGTTTTTTTCTGGACTAAAAATATTTATTCCACAGAGTTGTTTTGGAGATTAAGATAATTGATATGAAGCCATTTTTTAATAATGCATATTATATAATCTCTGGAAAAAGTATAATTCTTTGCAATGTATTTTTAAGCAAAGAGTAAAGCATTGAAATAATAAAACACTAGTGAATTTCTATTTTAGAGGGAAAAGTTCCCTGTAGATATCTTTTGAATATCAAGTATTGTGTAAAATTTTGTTTGTTTCAGTTTTATATGAGGCTATCAAGCACTTATTAAGCCATGATGACTGGTCTAGAGAGTAAAAATACAAGTCATGCGGATATTAAACAAATTCATAATAGATTATAAAAGAATAATTAAACTGTAAAGAATCCTATATCACATTTAGAATTGTTACACCTGTGAGACCAGACATTTCTGAAACTAGTCCTTTCCAGTTAACTCCTAATGTAAGAGTTTTATCTTCTTGTACCTAAATGAGTGACAACATTGAAGAATTGTACGAAACTAGTTTAGAATTGAAGTGGAAAATTTAAACCTCTTCATCATGAGGTAGTTTTGCAACTGTTGATGTATAGTAGCATAGTCATACAAATAACCCTGCCAATCAAGATTCCTTTAGGAGACAAAAATTTGTGACAATGTGAAGAATAATGGCAAAAATGGTTTGAATAGTGGCCCAGATTCTTTCACCATATAGTTATTGGGAGTCTTCTGTGTGTAGGTTTCATTCAAAATGCTGAGTATGCAGACTTAGCAAAAAAGCTCATGTAGAACTTGTGTCTTTAATGGCAATTATTGCTATGGAGAAAAGAAAGGCAAACAGAATTGAGAGAAAGGGGAGTACAGTTTAAATTACGTGTTCCGGAAAAGCAGCATTGCAAAATTAAGGCTTTGGTTAAAAACTGGAAAGGAGGCTTACCTGTGAAAGCATTCCAGGCAGAGGAAGCAGCACACTTTCCAGGTTCTGCAGCTGCAGCCTGCCTGCTGTTTTAGAGGGCATCAAGGCCAGTGTGTTTGGAGCAGAGTGAAGAGTGGCAAGAGACGTGGGCTGAGAGCTGCAGGTAGCCAGATGCACAGGGCCTTACACAGGTACTGTAAGGACTCTTTTTTTTATTATTTTATTATATTTTTTAAAACACAGAGATGGCAGATATTGGAGGGTTTTGAGTAAATGAATAATATAATCTAGTTTGTTTTAAGAAGATAATTCTCATTGCTGGGTCTATAACCTACTGTAGTGGAGCCAATAAAAAAGCCAGCAAACTAATTAGGAAGCTTGAAGTGATCCAGTCAAGACTAGTGGGGGCTTTGATTGAAGCAGTAATAGTGGTGTGGGACACAATTGTTCAAATCAGGAAATGCTGTGTAATGCAGCCAAAGATATTTATTGTATGTGCAGGAAATATGGAAACTGTCTCCTGATTATTTATAATGTCTCAGTGAAATACAAAAGAAAATCATTCCCTGAGAGGGAGGTTGCTGGAGGAGGTATTGGAAGTTTTAGGAAAGGGAAGGGATAAAATAGCCTGGGGGTTGGATTTTTTTTTTTTTTTTTAAGAGGACCATATAGTAATATCTTTAGGTTTTGCCATCTGCGGGCCTTTGTGCATTACTTACCTCTGCCTGTGTACTGTGAAAGCAGCTATAGTGAATGTGTGAACAAATGGGCATAGCTGTGCTCTAATTTACAGAGAAGTGATCATCCAGGTTTGGCCTTTGGAGCATGAGAGGTGGCCATCATTTGCCAACTCTTGATTTTGGCAATGGTGGTGTGAATATACCAGGGTTATATGATTTTATCATCAGAAGACATGGAGGCTAAAGGTCATGAACTTGTGACCAGCCTATTGACTCATTCTTTCACCATATTTACTGGAAAGTAGTTGACCTGGGGTGAATGGCAAGCTCTTTTAATACTGAGACCCAAGAGGTGAGCAAGGGAACTGAGCATGTGGAAAGTAGGGATTATAATTATTGACTGTAGAAGAATTTAAGTTGGGTAAAGAGGTTCTAAATTCATGGAAAGTTTGAAGGATAATGAAAAGGCGGTAAGATCCATGGATAGCAGGTTCCAGTGGGGAAGGTTTGTTAGCGCTGGAGGAGGTAATCTGGAAAGCCAAGAGGTGGTGATTGAAAAGTGAGATGCTTGCAGTCAAACATCACAAGGTCATGGTTAACTGGCAATAACAAATTTGAAGCTATGACTGTGAGAGCAAGTGGCTGAGGTAGAGTGGGGGATAGAAATGCATATATCCACGATGGTTGTGTTCAAAGGATCATGCTGTCTCTAGAGCATATCAACTTTTGTGTCTCAGTTTAAGATGGATTACAATGCTAATGGTGAAAATACCACTTGCTAAAAGTCACTGACTGTGAGACTTTTATTTTCCTTGGTGCCAAATCTAAGAATACCCTCTTCTTTTATATTAGAATATTAAGAACATTATAGATATGGATAAACTGGAAAAGAAGATTGAGGAATTATCTAAAATTGAGACAGAGCATCAAGTAAGCACTTCTCAAATACTGGTAAAAATTTTCTTCTGTCAAATCAATATTATTCTATGCCAGTGTATTTGACTCAATGACACAATAACCTGTGGTTATAATTCTGAAATTTGCACTTCTTGGAATGTCTGAATTATTTATATAAAAGGCAGTTTCTTTTTCTCATTTTTTGGTAACAGCTGTTACATAATTCATCTGCCACAAAAGTCATCCACTTGAAGTATACATATCAGTGGTTTTTAGTATATTCAGAATTGTATAACCATAAGCAAAATTAAGCTTAAAGCATTTCATCACCCCAAAATAAACCTTTTTTTTTTTTTTTTTAACAGTTATTTCGGTCCTAGGCAACCACTAAATCTATTTTCTGTCTCTCTAGATTTGTCTGTTCTGGACATTTCATATATAAATGGAATCATACAATGTACGTTCTTTTATGATTGGCTTCTTTCACTTAGTATAATGTTTTCAGAGTTCATCCATATTATCAGTATTCCATATGTCAAGTACTCTATTTTTATTGTTGAATAATATTTTATTGTATGGATATACCATATTTTGTTATGTTCATCAGTTAATGGACATTTGACCCATTTCTATTTTGGTACTATTATGAGAATTTGTGTATATGTTTATTGACCTATATTTTCACTTCTCTTTATTATTTACCTGGGAGTTGAATTACTGGATCATGTGGTGATTCTTTAAGTTTTTTTTTCTTTTTTTGTACTGGGGATTGAACTCGGGGGCATTCAACCCCTGAGCAACTTCCCCAGCCTTATTTTGTATTTTATTTAGAGCCAGAGTCTCACTGAGTTGCTTTAACATCTCACTTTTGCTAAGGCTGGCTTTGAATTCAACATCCTCCTGCCTCAGCCTCCTGAGCTGCTGAGATTAAGGTGTGCACCGCCACAACCAGCTATGTTTAGCCTTTGTAGTAGCTGCCAGACCATTTTCCAAAGTGTCTTCACCATTATACATTTCACCAGCAGTGTATGAGGATGCACACTTCTCTGCCTTCTTGCCAACACTTGCTATTTATCTTTTTAAGTATAGTGCAATTTCTAATTTAATAGCTTCCGATTTTTAAAATCCTTAAGTCAGGGAAAATTTCAGATATTATATATTCTTAATGCGGAAAATGAGAAATAGGAAAAATTGCTCCCTGATTAAGAAACTGTACCTTACAAAAATATCTTATATCTGTAAAGTCTGTTTAGTACATACTTTTGTTATCTACCATATATTCTTATCAGGAAATGGAAGGAACCTATCAACAAATTCATTAATATATGTCATCATCATCTCAGTGGTTTATTTGAACAGTATTTTTCATTGTTTGAAATGATATTTCTTATCTATGTGTCATTTTCAAGTTTTCTCTTCTCTGTGTGTGTACATGCAGAGGCATATATTATAGCTGTTATAATTTAGACATTAAAATTAATTCTACACTAGGAACGGCTACTTTGAAATTGCAACTGTGATTAACAGTAGAAAGAGCCAAAGACATGGGTTCAGATCCTGTCTTTTCTACTTAAAAGCTTTATAATGTTAAGCAAATCGTTGACCTCCTTGTCTCAAGTTGCTCACCTGTTAAATGGATATGAAATCTCTACCTACTTTACAAGTTTTGTTTTTGTTTTAATTTGGAGGATTTTGTGAAAATACTGTTAGAACTATAACGAGAAATCCAACGTGTATAATTAGGATGGTGATTCTGCTTCTGGCTTTGCCAGTTATTTTTCCAGGCTCTTAATTTAGTTTATATGTATTTGTCAATTCCATTATATTTAGAAGTGTATGCTAACAAGTTTGCTTTTGGTTTTAAGAAATTGATGTATTCTTGATATTCACTTTGCTAAAAGGAATCTTGGAACATTTTAAAATTGTTTTTAAAAGAAGACTTTTCTATATGTTCTCATGAAATCTGTTTATGTCCTATCTAGATTTTCATTTTCACAAAAAAGTAAAAACTTTTTACATCCTCTCGTGTGGAACAGAGGGAAGGGCACGTCTCTGAAGCTTGGACTCACATTCTGGGCTCAGCTTTGCCACTGATGGTGGCCTTGGTCTGAATAATGCTGAGCTTTGGCTTCCTCACTGTTGAAGTGAGGACAGTGACCTCTGCCTTTAGGGTTATAAGGCTGGATATGAAATTTTGTTATAAAGTGAAAAATACATGCTTCAGAAACATGTCTGCCTTACTGGAATGATTTTATGGCACTGTCCTTTCACAAAACAATGTCCCAATGGCCTTCCCTAAATTTGTTTCTTTTCAGATGCAATTGCACGCGTACGAATATATGTTGCTTAATAAAGATGCAACTATGCAGAAGGTTGGTATTATCCCTTCCTTTTGAGAATCCTGTGCGATTGACTAGCTTTCTCCAAATTGTGAGGAAAATGGTCATTTTTATAACTTCACCCCTAGGAAAAATCTGATTTTGTTATTATGGTCCTAAGATTTTTTCTGAAAATACTTCACAAAAATGTGTTTGGGAAGAATGGTGGCTTTTTATCTTGCAATATCAGTAATGTTAATTGAGGTATTACTTGAACTGGAGAAAGTTGGATGACTTAGTAATTTATTGGTCACTTTCATGTAAAGATTTTCTTTAATGGCATCATAATCATTACAATTAAGAATTGCCTTTTGGGATTTGATTTCACTGAACCACAAACAGAACATAATGACACTTATTAGATAAAGTTGCCTTATTGTCCCTCCACTTATATGTTTTTTAATCCCAAACATTGATTGCTTCTGTTTTCAAATAGCAAGATTGATAGAAGATATCATGATGATTGGGTCTTTACTATTTTTTGGCTTGCATTGATGATCTAATAAATATGATTTGGTGGACTCACCCCCGCCCCCCGCTTTTTTTGTTTTGCTATTAATTCACTTTCTATTTCTCAGAAGAATTTAAGCATAGAAGAGCTGAAGTTGACCATCACAGAGTATAGAAGTGTGATAGAGGTATGCCATAATTTCACAACTTGCAAAGCAGAGCTGTTAAATATAAGTTCCCACTAGAGCAACATAAACAGCCTAACATTTCTGCTTCCAGAATTTACAAGGTGATAAAAATAAACTGGCTCAAGAGTTAGAGCACTTGCAGCAGGAACTTGTCCTGTAAGTAGGATCCACCCTCACCAGCCTTCTGTCTTGTGCCATGGTCCCCTGACCTGCATGCAGTGCTTTGTCACGCCCCACTTTGTTCTTCAGCACCTCTGTATGCTCTCTTTACCTTTCTCCATGGGAGCTCCTTCATCAGTTTTCTGTGACCCTTCCTGACTTCAGTCAATTTGGATTGCTATAAGAAAACACCACGGACTGGGTGTCTTTAGTAGCAAACGCTCATTTCTCATGGTTCTGAAGGCTGGAAGTCTAAGATTAGGGTGCCATCAGGGTTGGTTCTAGTGAGGGCTTTTCCTTCTTGTATCTTCACGTGGAGTAAAGAGAGCTAAATAATTCTCTGGCATCTTACAAGGGCACTGATCCCATTCATAAATACTTTACCCCCATGATACTAGTACCTCCCAAAGGCTCCACCTCCAAATACCAGGGGGCAAGCACGGCAAATTGTTCTTACCTCTTTCCTGACACACATTATTCCCTGTTATAACCATTGTTTCTGAAGTGTGCAATATGCTGCTCCAGGATGCACAGGCACTCGGATTACAAACAAACACCAGTAAAGCTAGTGAGTGAGTGCACACACCTATGGTATGTGAATGGCAGTGAGAAAGGGGCATTGCCCACACAAAAGGCAAAGGCGGCAACTCTGCCTAGCTCTAGCTAATTTGTTTTATCAAGGCTATATGAACCCTGTGTGCCCACATCTTCTGATTGTGGAAGGAAAGCCAGAAATCTAGATGTTTTAGTGACATTTTATGTTTTAAGTGCTGGTTTCAGTACTTAACTGTGGCCCACTTGTTTGGGACCTCTTGGAGTCACTAGCCTTCAGTTCCTGGAGTATAGATCTCTCTTCTCTCTCCACCTTGAGCCCCTTGTACAGTCCTTGACCACCATGGGCACTTATTGGTGATAAATGAGCCCTGTTTTGGTGACTGCAAACATAATGTTGGAGGCAACTGACTGGACCACTTTTGTTTTTTCTAAGAAATGGGATCCAGCTGAATGTCAGTGGAGAGCACAATGGGGTGGTCTCTGAAAGAGAAAAATCTTTACATTATGAGCTCATTCTAGCTCAGTCTGCAGAGGTAAGTCATTCTAATCAGAGGGAGATTATGTAAGCTATGTAGCTTACTATTAAGTGACTGTCCAAGAATATTTGGAACATATCTGTTGAGAGTTATAGAATTCAAGTCTAAAACCTTTTAGCCTGGGGGAAAGAACCATTTCTAAGTAATGGCCTAAGTTCAGGAGGCTAGCCCAGGTTTTTGGATGTGTGTGTTCAGTGAATCAGGACTTTAGAAATCTTTATATTCTCAGTCTTTTCAAGATCATCTACCTGCCCTGATCTCTAGCCTAGGATCATAAATGTAACAGTAGAATCCATGAAGTATTTTTTTTCACATTTTCTAAAGCCCTTAAAGTATGTGTATATACCAAACACTAAGATGTCCAGAAGTGATACCAATTTCTTTGCTCTAATTGAACCAACCACTTTTTTAAATTTTTTTTAAGCTTTATAGTTATACATGGTAGTTAGGTTTGTTTTGACAAAATCCTACAGTCATAGAATTTGATTTTAATCACTGTCCCTACTACTCCCTCCCCCATTCTCCTCCTTCTACTCCTGATCTTCCTTTAGCTCATTTATTTATATTGGATAGGTACTTTCTACATAATACCACAGGGAATTTTGCCTTTATGTATATTTATAAATGCACATAGCATGATTTTGTTAATTTTATTCCATATATTCTCCCCTTTCCTGTCTCCCCTTCTCCCCCTCAGTCTCCTATTCCACTGGTCTTCCCTCTATCCTTAATGATAACTTATCCACCCCCAACACCACCCCAGACATTTTTTCCCTTACTTTGCTCTAGCTTCCACACATGAGAGAAAACGTTTAACCCTTGATTTTTCTGAGTCTACGGCTTATTTCATTTAGTTGGATATTCTCCATTTCCATCCATTTACTGGCAAATGCCATACATACACCACATTTTCTTAATCCATTCATCTATTGACAGGCATCTGGTATGATTGTATAACTTGGTTATGGAGAATGGAGCTGCTATAAACATTGATGTAGCTGTATCACTGTAGTGCTGATCATAGTTCTTTTGGATAAATACCAAGGATTGGGATAGATGGGTCATATGGTGGTTCCAATCCTAGGTTTTTGAGGAAGCTCTATGATGCTTTCCAGAGTATACCAGCTCCATTTTATGGTATCAATTATTACATTATGAACAGGAACTAGAATTTTTATGTGTTCTAGTTAATTTAAAATGATAAAATTAATTATTTAAATTTTTTTCTTTGTTAGACCCAGTTCTTTACAACATGGGAAGAAACACTCAAAAGCCTTCTTGGATCTGAAAGTGTTGCTGCTCTCCTAGATGTTTAGTCCTTTTATTTTCCAGTTCTGTGCTTGTTATGTTAGGAAATGCTTTATTTAGCCAATTGCTTTCTTTTCTCTGCTTTAGTCTCTCCCTGTCTGGACAATGGCTGTGTCAGAATGTCCTTCTGTTGACAGCTGTGATATGACCTTGAAAGCAGAGGGAGAATGTCTTTGGGGCAAATGCTGTTTGAATTGTTCCTGCCAAGGATGCAAGGGCAACATATGCTGCCTTCATCCAAAGCCGTCTCAACAGCCCTGCAGGTTCTGCTGAGAGCTGTGTTTTTGTGACATTCTGTTTCAAATACTCATCATTTCACTGTACTTTTGAAACCAAGCCAAACTGCCAGACTGAATGAAACTGTGGCAAATCTGCCATGGCTGTGTGTTTCTTATCCCTTGTCCTCTGAGATAATAATGATGTCAAGATGCCAGCCCATAAAGTTCTATACTTCCCAACAGGAGGTTGTCAGCTGGCAAAATCCTGGCTGAGGTTTACTCCCTGATGAGTTAGGAAGCTTGCCGTCTTACTGGAATCTGGAAATTAGAGTCCTTGACACTTTCCAACAGACAGCAAAAAGAAGGCTAAATATGTTGTTGTCATATATCTTAAATGTGGCTGAGATGGGCTTTGGGAGCATGGGGAACATGCGTGCTTTGTGAAACACCATCTGAGCATGCCTGCTATGAATGCGGGGGTGGGGTGGGGGGTGCGGGGGGAGACAAAAGAAACCAACCTAATTTCAAAGGGGTTAATTTCATATTCTTCCCACTTTGACTCTATGAATTATTTACCTTTCTCTATTTCTGTATTAAAATTGATGCCATAAGTTTCAACCACCAACACATAAATGTTATAAGAACACAGCTCTCAGCAGAACATCTAGGCTGTTGATGAATGAGCTTTCCTTTCAAAAAAATAAATATTCAGGTACAGGTATTTTAGAAAGAAAATGTCTACATTCTTTTTAGGATGCAGGAGGATTTCACAAGACTGTTTAGAACTATTTTATGACAATTACATTGACCTTTAAGTATCATTCTCATAAAATAAAAATAATATTTTTTATTAGGATAACAGTTGTGGGTATTTTGCTAATTGTTTCAGAATAATGAAACTGAGTGGCAGTGCAGTGTACCCAGCCTGTCGGCTCTGGACACAGTGATAGACCAAGGAATGCTGCTGGTCCTAACAGAGGCTGAACAAAAGGGTGTGGAGTTCGAGGCTGCACTTCAGAAGCTGGTATTTGTGGCATAGTGTGTCATGACATTTCACTCTAGCTAGGAATATCTGCAGATTAGTTACCTACAGTGCATTTGCTGGATCTACATGTACAGTTGTTTCAGATCAATTGTGTGCTGTTGAGATCCAGCTTAACCCTATGATGAGAAGATACTCAAACTTTCCTGAAGTTGATCTTTTAATTCTGGGTCAGTCAAGACTAACAAAGTGATCTTGGGTATGATGTCATGAGCTTGTTTATCCTGCGGGTTCATTTTTAACACTGAAGGGCTGAAGACAAGGCACCTGTTAGACAGTTTCCTTCTCTTCATTTCCTTTTCATTAATGGCCCATATATCTCCAATTTGATCCTCCCTCTCCCCACTGGGAATTCTAAATGGTTGGAAAAGCCAAGTAACATCTTCATCTTTGTATTTCTAGTCCTTTTCAACAGAGCCTGCCTATTAGAGGTAGTGTATAGTTTGATGGAGGATAAAAATCAACAAAAATGATTGACTCTGTTTGAAAGGAGAAAGAAAATGAACAGGATTTGTTCTGGAAAATGATCTGCTCGTACTTACTCAGTATATACAGTGCACCAAAAGAGTTAGTATGTACCCATAGCCACCTCTTCAGATAAAGGGAACTCACTGGGGAACGTTCCCTAAGAAGGTTACTCTAACTAGTGTCTTCCTAAATTACCTATATGGTAGAACTTTGGTCTAAATTAATTCTTTTTGTTAGAATTTTTTTAGTAATTTTAGATGGACACAATACCTTTATTTTATTTATTTATCTATTTATTTTGATGTGGTGCTGAGGAATAAACCCAGTGCCTCATATTTACAAGGCAAGGGCTCTGCCACTGAGCCACAATCGCAGTCCTAAATTAATTCTTACTGTGTGATAGACGTATGTGCCTTTGACCTTAATTCCTAGTTGAAGATGTGGAATTCTTTTTCTGCCCCCAAGCAAGAAGAAGTCTCTGACATTGGAACCTTCCTTCACAGCTCCCTGCTGTGGGTAACTAATCCAGAAATTACTGCAAAAGAAAAGTGGGCAAAGCAGCTTGCTGTAAGTGTTCTGTAATTTTTTTCCTGGTTTTTCTTCTGCTATGGAAATTCAGGTAATACTTATGTACAGTAACAACAGTACCATTTTCTAAGACTCTATTGTGGACTTCTGCCATCTTAGTTTAATGAGTGTGAATATGTGGGTGAGTGGGAGGGTTAAGGTGAATGTGTGAGCAGGAGTGTAAGGATATGTGAAGTATGGTGGAAAGAGAAGGAATAAATAAGACAACTTAATGAAAAAAATGTTTTTTTTTTTTTTGTTTCTTCCAGAGAACTGGTTAGTCTAAGCCTGGCTTTTACCTTGGCCTATGAAAATTCTCTTTCTTTTGTAGAATGATTATTGTATAAAAGAATCTTCTTCCTGATTCTCCAACTACTTTATTTTCTCAGGAAGTAGCAGAATAGTTGAAAAATGGGAACATCTTAGTTAGCTATTCCCAGCTTTATTAGAAAGGAAGCACATAAGAAGAAATCTCTGTATCTCCACTTCTTTCTTTATTTATTTAGTTGTAGATGGACACAGTACCTTTGTTTATTTAATTTGTTTATGTGTGCTGGGGATCGAACCCAGTGCCTCACACATGCTAGGCAAGCGCTCTTTCACTGAGTTACAACCCCAGCCCCTGTAGCTCTACTTCTTGATACCAGACTACTTCCTAGCATTCATCAACCCCCTACTAAGTTAAGTTTAAAAAAGTAAATTCTGGAATATTATTTTCAAATCCTTTTCCAAATTAACCTTTTTAAAAAGTTGCTTCTGAATACAATAATCAGCAAATATTGATTTTTTTATTGCATTACTTTATCCCACTATGTTCTAGAACAATCATGATGATTGGTGGAATGGTCAAAAAAATCTACTTAACAAAAAGAAAGTAAAACTTAGGTTTTAACCACCGGACAGGCACTTTATACATATTGTTAAATCAAGATAATCAACTAATAAATCACCTCTGAGCAATTGAGAATTTCGTTGTACTTTTGGGGTCCAATAGTTGTGAATGGCATAGAGATGGGAATGTCCATAGAATTTTATATTTCATTTGTTTAATAGTAGAATATTGGAGTTTGTTTTGTGACTTTTCTTATAGGAATTCAAACACATTATGGAAGAGAAGCTAAATCTTTGCATATTTATGCTGAAAAGCTTGAGAAATCACAAAGAATCTCTTGATAAAGTATTTGTCAAATTAATAGAGACTTTGAAGAAATTCAGGCTGGACTGTTTTTATTTCAGAAAAGAATTTCTTTCCAGGTGATGATCATTTTTATATAAGAAACCCATGCTTTATGTACATGACATGATGATGATTTGGATTTAGCCCTTTGCAAGTTGTATTCCTTGATTTCAAACAACACTTTTTCAGACATTCTGTTTGATCTTGAGTTGGGAAGTAGTATGAAATTGACCAGTATTTTTCAATTGCAAATGATAAACTTGAAATCTGTAGAAAACCAGTATGATAGATTATTTTTCTGTAGAGAAAGAATTTGGAATTATGGAGTATAGAAATTTGTTAACCAGAAGGAGTCATGGACAGCTTTTAATAATCTTATTTTTACAGAAGACTGGGGCATAAAGAGGTAAGGTGAACTGATCAAATCCTGGGTTACTAACAGAAAGTTAGAACTTGAAGGCAGCCTGTGGACTCCTTCCTTATTGGGCTGTGTTCCACTCTGGTTTACAATGCGTTGCATTGGGTACTACTCAACAAAATTTCAGTTACATGAAGTCATAGGGAATAGAGAATAATAAATGAAAATAGCTTGCTTTCTTATCCTTCCTCTAATCTCAACAGTTATGATTATGGGGAAATTCTTGACATTTTACACCCTGTAAACCACATACGAAACAAAGACAGTGATTATATCTTTTGTTGACCACGATACAGTTGCTAAGACCTAGCACACTTAGCATTCACTTGATAAATGTTTTCTGAAAGTATAAAAGGACATGGGTTTATGTTGCACTTGAGCAAAGTAAAAAGCGTAGGTAGAGGTTAAAATAAGCTTAAAGAAAATAATGTCAGAGAGTGGCAAACAGAGGAAAGTAGATACCAGAGAGGTTACTAGCAGAAGGAACTCTTGTGAAAAAGATCTGCTTTTCCCCAAAGAGCAGGGAGCCCAGACTTCCCCATGGTGGTAAGAGATGTGGGTTAAGTGGACATGTAGCTTCCTTCCGGATGCCATCTCCATTAAAAAAGAAGCATTAAAATTCCACTTGGAAACAAAGAGCTATTTGGAAAGAGGCCTGTACTATGGTCTTCTCTGAGTGAGTGCATCTCTATGCCATCCTCTATACACATAACAGTCTGGTTTAATCATGGTAGATTCATCTGTCCAGACATGACTGGACTGGACATAGTGCTAAAATTTGACAGCTATTTATCTCTAGATATTATTAACTTGCCCCAAGTCACTCAGCTGGGATTAAGCAAGGGCTGGCATTCAGACCTGAGTATCTGACTTCAAAACCTATGTTCTTTCAACTTTCTCAATCTTCCACTGTTGCCTTTTTAAAATCTGCTACAATATTCATTAAACATATTCTGGGAATTTAGCAGTTCGGAGAATACTCCCTACCTGCACAAAGGTAGTTGTAGCCCATGCCATGCCTTCTGGACACAGTTGTAAACAGAACTGCATAGAGCTCAACTTGAAATAATTTGGCTGAATTTTAATTATGGATAAGAAACATAAAGTACTTTGTGGGGATGAAAGAGAAGTCTTTTTAAATGAGCGAGGGAATATTGATTTTAAAGGTTGATTTCCACCCCCCCCCCCCAACAAGGGCTATTGAGGAAGAGAAAGCTTCCATTTTGCAGTGAGACACATAGGTTCCAGTGTTGAGAGATGAAGGGAATTGAGTGAATCGGGAGAGGCAGTGGGAGGAAAACCTGCTCTCAGAGGGCTTGGTGAGGAAAGCAAGTTGTAATCCGTACAGCAGCCATCTGAATGTGTGCTGGAAGCCTGCCCTTTGCTAGGCTGCTGCTGCTGCCCCCACTCTCCTCCCCTAGGTGCCAGAAAATTGTAGGAAATAAGACAGAAATTTCTGCCTCCAGGAAACTGACATGTAGTAAGGGAACACAAATAATAAACATATAATTATAATAATGCCAGAAAGCGGCAAATGATGTGAAGACAATTAAAGCAAGATAAGACAGAATGTTGGGGCAGGAAGACCTATATTTAGAAGGAATGGCTGGTCATGTTCTGTCAGAGAGCTGAGTGATATGCGCACGAGAGCTGTGGGACGCTCCAGTAGTGTCCTCAGCCTGGAGACAGCTGGTGCAGAGACCCTAAGGTTGGAAGAGCTTGGTGTGCTTGAGAAGCAGCCAGAAGTTTGCACTGCAAAGTAGTGGCAGGAGATGGGCTCAGAGGTTTAATCAGGGGTCAGGGCACAGGCAGAATCGTAGCTCATATTTATGAATCGGGAGTTTATTCTGAATGTGGTAGGAAGCCATTCATGAGTGGACAAGACAACTGTTTTCTGAAAGATCTGCCAGGTGGAGAATTGTCTTTAGAGTACAGAGGGAGAGCAGGAAGAAGTTGTTTTGTTTTGTTTTTCAACAAAACATCACCATTTAGAGATCCTGAAAAATCAGTATGCTTGATTGTGACCCAATTTTTTCTCTTTGTGGTTAAAAAAAAAAAGTTTCAGAATGCATTGCATCCAGTAAGAGAAAGTAGAGTTGAATAAAATTCTTATTTCAGCAATGTATGTATATGTGTTGAAAGGTAAGATACTTACTGAGTCATGATCAAAAACAGCCACAGAGTTAGAGAAGAAAAAAGCCACAGAATGAGCCGTAGAGGCATTGTAATAGCCCAGGTGAGGTGTGTAGTGTGAGCCAGCTCAATACTGTGAAGGTAGTAAGAGATCACTGGATGAAAACTATATCTGAGGGCAGGTCAGATCTAATGTACTGGTAGAATAGATGTGGGGGAATACAAGAAATAGCAGAGTCATCCTGGACATAGAAGTTTGGGGTCTGAAAACTGCATAAATGGTATGCTATTTAGATGGCAAAGTCTGGGATGAACAGAATTGGTAGAGGTTGGTATAGAAATCAAGATTTAGCTTAGTACATGTTATTAAGGAGAGATGTTAGATTTAAAAACATGCTCAAAGCTAATATATATATATATACACCTCTTAACACGATAATGAAAATTTCTTTGGGAGAAAAAAATTTCAAAGATTCGACATCTGTTGAATATCTTTAACAGATGGTACCATCTAATTTTTTTTTGAAAAGCTATTTCAAATACTGTTATGGTTCATAAAACCCATTATGACATTGTCTTATAGGTTGAAATATTAGTGATTGAAAATATTAATATTATTAAATATGCATTTCTGATGGTTCATAAAGTCCTTCTGCTTTGTCTTGCAACATGAAGGACTTTAGGCTATTCCTGGAAAAGAAAAAAGTACCTAAAACTGACATCTTAAACAAATCAACCCAGAGAGGTGATATCAGAAAGATGATGAATAGGAAGCCATGTACCCTCCTCTTCCTCAAGGACATACTGATTCATAACCATAATACATGGACAAATTCCCTTTCTAAGAAACCTAGAAATGAATGAGAGTCTCCTGCACCCTGGGCTAGAATGAAACCAGCCACATCAAAACCGGTAGGAAAATTCTAGACAGCCTCACCTTAATACCATTGCCACACAGAATCATGATTGGAAGGAAACCTCCAAGCTCTCGGCTCTCTATGGGGAAGGAGAGAGTAAGACCACATATTCAACACTCCACTATCCAGGGCTTCTATCTCACCTGTCTCAGAGTACTGATGGGACCTGGAATACTTGAGATGCCTGGGTAATGGTGCACTGAAATTAAATAGGCTGTTAAAACTAGCCTTGTGGGCACTTTCCAGAGTCCCTTATCCCCAGCTCAGTGCAAAGCAATCAGGCATAAAGTCCCCAGATCCCAACTACTCCCTGAAAGTAGAAGGATGAGAGAGTCGGACCACCCATCCAGTGTTTTGGGGTTTGGGGAAGCTAGAACAGAAGACTGTCTTTTGACTTGTCTGCCTCAGAGTACTGAAGGAATCCATTATATTCTAAATGTCTGGGGGCTGCCAATAACTGAAACAGTGGTCTGGACTAGTTATGAATGTTTGAGATGCCCCAGGACCTTTACCTGTACCGACTAAGAGTTTTCTCTTGTAGAGAGCTGGTTATTCTAAGGTATAGATAGATAAAAACATGATTTATCAGACAGAAAATAATGAAGATGCTAAATGAGGACAGGAGAATAAGGCATGAACAAAGTGAGAATTTTAATGAAGGATAGAAAATATAAAAAAGTACAGATCTTAGCATTAAAAAATACAATAAGTGAACTGAAAAAAAATTGCTAGAGGTTTTCAATAGCATACTAGATCAAGTCAAAGAAAAGATTGGTAAACTAGAATACAGGATATTGAAAATTATCCAGTCAGAGGAGTAAAAAGTAAAAAGAATGGCAGAGTGAACAAAGCTTATGGAATGCCAGCAAGCAGAATAATACGTGCATTTTGGAATCCCAGAGGAAATGAGAGAAACACTCCCTTGGTTTTTATCTATACCTTAGAGTGTAGGCCTCATGTAAGAGAAAGCAAAGATTATTCAAAGAAATAATATCCAGAATACTTCCTAGACATGAGGAAGGAAGTGGACATCCAGATCTAAGGGGCCTTATGGACAGCCAATAAGATAAGCTCAAATCCATATCCATACACATGATCAGATTGCTAAAAGTCAAAGATAGAACGTTAAAAACATCAAGATAAAAAGGGACTCATTACATAAGCCTATTAGATTTCTCAGCAGAAATCTTGCCAGAAAGGTCTAGGATGATATATTCAGAGTGCTGAAAGTACAAGAAAACTATACCCAGCAAATCTGTCCTTAAAAATGAAGAAGAGACAGACTTTCCCAGGCAGACAAAAGCTGAGGCTGAGGCAGGAGTGTCACAAGTTTAAGATCAGCCTTGGCAACTTAGTGAGACCCTGTCTCAAAAGGAAGGGGAGTGACGGGATATGGCTCAGTGGTTAAGCAATCCTCAGTATCAAAAAAAAAAAAAAAAGTACAAGTAACTTAACTATAAAAATGTTAATGAGTACATAATATAAAAAGATATAAATTGTGATCAGTTATGAAAATGTGTAGAGAGAAGGAAAAGTCTAGTGTATGTGATTGAAAATACTATGTAGCTGTAAGATTTTATGTAAGTCTCATACAACAAAAAATACTTATAGAAGATATACACAAAAAAGGAGAAAGCAATCTAATTAACAGAATTCAAAGGAAGACAATAAGAGGAAGAGAGGGTCAAAAGAATTATAAGACATGTTGAAAATAAATAACAAAGTGGTGACATGGTAATAAGTCCTTTCCTATCAATAATTAAATGCAAGCGAATATCCACAAAAAAATGTGACAGAATTTTTTTAAAATGTGACTTAGATGTTATCAGACTCAATTTAGATTTAAGGGCACCCATAGGCTGAGAGTGCAAGGGTGAAAAATATTGCATGCAAATGGTAAAAGAACAGGGATGATTCTACTTACATTAGGCAAAATAGATTAAGTAAAATCTGTCACTGGAGACAAGGATGTTATATAATGATAAAAGGTCAATTCATCAGGAAGGTATAATCATAAATGTCTATGCACCCAACATCAGAGCACCTGGCAGAACTGACAGGAGAAATAGAATAGACAGCAATACAATAACAGTAGGAGACTTCAGTCCTCCACTTTCAATAATAAGTAGAACACTCACAGAAACAATCAGGAAATGTCACACTTGAACAATGTTAGAGATCAAATGGACCTAACAGACAGACAGAAAATTCCACCCAATTGCCACAGAATATCCTTTCTTCTCATGTGCACATTGAATGTTCTCCAGGATGGATCATGCAGTAGGCCACTAAACAAGTATTAACAAATTTAAGAAGTTTTGAAATTGTACTATTTCTTTTTCAAAAATAGAATGAGATTAGAAATCTAAAGCAGAAGGAGACCTAGAATATTCACAAATGTGGAAATTTAACAGCGTAGTCCTGAACAACCAATGGGTTAATGAAGAAATCAAAAGGGAAGTTAGAAAATATCTTCAGACAAATGAAAACAAAGAGTATGCAAAAACCTTTGGGTTGCAGCTAAAGCAATGTTAAGGGAAATTTATAGAAATAAGCACATGAAAAAAGGTCTCAAGTAACCTAAATTTTATACCTCAGCAAATTAGAAAAAGATCAACTTAAGTGCAAAGTTAGAATTAAGGGAATAATAAAGATTATAGCAGAAATAAGAAAGCAACAAAACCAAGAATTGGATTTTTGAAAAGAGAAAAAAGCCTGTCAAATCTTTAGCTATAGTAAGAAAAAAAGATTCAGATGCAGAAATAGGAGGTGATATAACTTAAGCCATGGGAATACAAAGAATCATAAAAAAAATTCTATGCCAACACACTGGATAAGTTAAAAGAAAACTAATAAATTCATAAAACATGCCATCTACTGAGACAGAATTAGATAAGTCTGAATAGACCTACAACTAGTAAGAAGAATGAACTGGAGATGTAGCTCAGTGGCAGAGCACTGCCTTTAGCCATCACGCCCTGTGCTCAATCTCCAGTACCATTAAAAAAAAACAGTAATCATACACCTCAAGAGATAAAAGCCCAGGTAGAGATTTTACCAAACATTAATGATTGAATGCCAGTGTTTCTGAAACTCTTAACTAATGTTGCCTTAAAAAAAAAGCATTTTATGAGGCCAGCGTTACCCTGATACCAAAGCCAAAACAAACACATGTTAAGATCACCCCAGACCAATTCCTTTTTTTTTTTAAGTTGTTGATGGATCTTTATTTTATTATATGTGGTGCTGAGAATTGAACCCAGTGCCTCACACATGCTAGGCAAGCACTCTACCACTGAGCCACAACCAGCTCTCAGGCCAATATTCTTGAAGAATTATAAGCAAACCAAATTCAACACTACCAAGCGGGCTTTATCCCTGGGGTGTGAGGATGGTTCAACACCTACAAATCAATCCATGTGGCATACTGTGTTGATCAAATGAAGCATGTCACACAATCATCTCTATACGTGCAGAAAAAGCATTTGACAAAACTGTCTTTCATGCAAACACAGCAAATTAGGAATTGAAGGAAACTAACCCAACATAAAAGTCAGGTATACAAAACCCTCAGCTAAGATTTAACAGTGAAAAACATTTTCTCTAATATCAGAAACAAGGCAATGATGCCCACTTTCATCACTTCTATTCAGCATTGTACTAGAAGTTTTAGAACATTTAAAACAAAAGGCATGAAAATCCAAAAAGGAAGACTGTGAGATTATCTGTAGTTGACCTGATCTTATATGTAGAAAATTCTAATGATTCCACAAAAAATCCTGCTAGAGTAAATTGAATAAAATTTCAGGATATAAAATCAACATACAAAAATCAAATTCTCTATGTTAATAGTGAGCTATCTGAAAGAAAACTTACCATTACATCAGAAAGAATAAAATATTTAGGAATAAATTTAAATAAGGAGGTGGAAGACTTACGTATGGAAAACCATAAACATTGATGAAAGAAATTAAAGACAAATCAATGGAAATATGTTTATGGATTGGAAGACTTCACATTTCTAAAATTCCGAATAGCCAAAGAAATTTATAGATTTAGTGCAATTACCAGCAAAAAATCCCAATGATACTTTTTATAGAAATAGAAAAAACAATTCTAAAATTCATATGGAACTGCAAAGGACCCTGAATTGCATAAAAAATCTTGAGAAGAGGAACAAAGATAGGAGCATGATCCTTCCCCATTTCAAAATCTATTAGAAAGTTACAGTGGTTAGACTAGTATGGCACTGGCATGAAGATGCAGAGACCAGAGAATAAAACAGCCTAGAAATAAATCCAGATATATTTGAGTGCAAAGAATACACAACAGGGAAAGGATATTTTCTTCAACAAATAACACTGGGAATATTGTATATCTGCAGGAAGAATGAAATCAGTCAATTTAGACCTGTGGTCTGGAGCTGAAAGGTTCTATAAGAAAGTGGGGGGGGGAGCTTCATGACATTGATCATGGCAAAATTTCTTGGATAGGACACCAGAAGCCTAGGCAACAACAGACAAAATGAACATGTGGGATTTCAGCAGATGGAAACTTTTCTGTAAAGAGATAGTCTACAGTTAACAAGCTGTATATCTCATGAGGGCTTAACATCCAAAATATATAAGAAACTCAACTATGTAGCAAAAATAATTTTTAAAACATTGATTTTTTAAAAAATGAGCTTGAGTAGACATTTCTCCAAAGAAGACATGCAAACAGCCAACAGGTATGTGAAGAGATAGTCAATGTTACTAATCATTCAGGAAATGCAAATAAAATCCACAATTGGATATCATCTCACACCCATAGATGGCTATTATAAACAAAAAAGTTGCCTTTTGAAGATATGGAGAAACCCTTGTACACTCTTGGGAATGTAAAATGGCATAGGCACTATGAAAAAAGTGCCTCAAAATACTAAAAACAAAACCAGCATATGATCAGCAACCCCACTCCTTGATATTTACCCAAAAGAACTAAAGTAAGGATGTTGGAGAGAGATTTGCATTTGCATGCTCATTGCAGCCCTACTCATGACAACCTAGGCGTCTGTTAGTAGATGAATGAATGAAGAATGTACCAAGGAATATTATCCAACCTTGCCAAAGAAGAGAATTCTGCCTCATCTGGCAATAACTGTGAACCTGGAAAACTTTTGCTAAGTGAAATAAATTAGTCACAGGACAAACATTGCATTATTCCACTTATACAAGCTATCTGAAATAGTTGAACCTGTAGAAACAGAAGAATGGTAGTTGCCAGAGCTTGGAGGGAGGGAATAGGGGAGTTGCTATTCAACAGGAAAAAATTTCAGCTACACAAAATGAATATGGTTTAGAGACCTGTACAACATTAGGCCTACTTAATGATATTGTGTATTTGCTGTGTATTTATTGAGTATTCTTACTACAGTTAGAAAAACAAAACCACCACTGCCTATAAGCTATTGGAGAATGCTTAGTAGAAAGTGTGTGGCAATTTAAATCATTTTAGTTGTTGATGTTTAGGTGTTTGTGAGCCATAATGGCAAATTATTTTGTGAGACCTTTCTTGTCTTTGGTGTGGTCCTTCTTGTAACCACGGCTGGGTTCTTACCAATGTAGAATGGGACTAAGGTCCTTATTCAAGACACTTTGTTTCCAGATAAGCATCGATGTGTTGCCATGTGGCACAGATTAAACAATCACATTGACTAATAGAGGACAGATGCATTAGTATATATTTTGGGGATTAGTATTGGATCCAAATGAGGGGTGAGAATAATTCCAAGATTTGTAGTAGGGTAGAAGTGGCGAAGGGCTACAGAAGGGATAACTGCAGCAGAAATGTTCACAGCCAGCTTCATCCACATTTGGGGTGGACTTCCTGTGCCAGTGGCACCTGTGTATACCACGATTGACAGCCCTTAAGGAGAAAGCATAGGGTCATGAAACAAAGCTCTCTTTGGTTTCCTTTCCCTCCCTCACTTCTTTCTTCCCTTTTCTGTAAAGGCTAAAGTCTGACTGTGAAGTATAAGTATTGCACCTGTCACCCTGACCTCATTGTAGAGCCATCTTCTCAGCAGGCCACAAAGGCTAAGTGCTCTGAACATAGTTTGTGGGGAACTCAATGTCCTCAACTGTAAAGTCAAGGCTAGGTGATCAATACACTAGGCTTAAACATCTGTATTTGTGAAGGACTGCTATGTATGTAAAAACCGTCATTTTTGCCTCTGATCTCTGAGGAGTTATGAGTTTGAATTTGTTGGTTGCCCAGAGTGACTCTCAGTTGAAATGTCACTGACAGCTTGTGGTTTGGACTTTTTTTCTTTTTCTTTTTTTTTTAAACTCCAGTCAGAAACAACTAGGAGCCATCAAACAGCTGCAAGAAGATGCTGTCAACCAGGAAGTCATCCTCAGGCAGAAGCTCCAGGAAGCTAGCCAACGTCTGGAGGATGCAGAGGAGCAGGTAGGGTGGACCTGAGTACATTAGATTCAGGGGGTGAGTCTCCTCAGATGTCCTTAAGACCATGAAGTAAAAATGAAGGAGGAACAAAGAAAAAAAAAAAAAGGAACTGTGAAGCTAAGTCCCTAGTGACTGGTAGCAAGCGGAGGAAGTAAGGGGGGAGTTGTAAAAGAGGAGGTGTCAACAGTCTGATGATGAAAGAGGGGACTTTGCAGAAGGAGGCAACTTGACATATCAGGACTTCTACCACTGTAGAAATAGCTTGGGCACACCAAGCCCAGGCAAACAGCAACGGCAGAAGTGGAGAGGACGCTTATCACTTCCCTGAGAAGAAAAGCACATTTTCAGTTTCATGCGTGTGAGTGAGCGCTCAATTGCTGTCTTCCCTGGCTACCCTGCTAAAACCCAGTGTTCACTGTGCATATCCAGGTTAAGGCTCGCGATCAGGCCGCCTCTTCTGTCAGTGAAAAAACTAAGTCTTTACTGCATAAATTAGAGGAAGCAATTTCAGAACAACGGAACCTCCAAACTATAAATAGTGAGTTATCGAACACTTGCCAGAAGCTTCAGGAGAAGACAAGAAAACTGAAAAGTAAGTAGCAAATATTCATTTATGTCCCCAGTGTATTTCACCCTAAGGCAGGGGCAAAGGGACTACAGCCATTGGTCTAGATTACAGTTGCTGTGTTATTGCTGACTCTATGACTGGGGAAGGGTTGGTGGGGGGCAGGATTGTGGGGCTCTTAGTGGTTAGGTACAGGGATTTAACATTAGCTTTCCATTTGGGTTATTTGTTGTGAGTTAGATTTGTTCATGACGGTTTTTTTTTTTTTCTTTTAAAATTAAACTTTCAAATCTCTGAAAGTAAAAAAGAAGTCTTGTGTGTATTGGGATATTTGAACTTGAAAATTGTTTGCATATTCTACCATGGATTTGTTAATCAGGTTTTGCCCATCATATGGTAGAAATGGCTCTACTCCTTCATTTTATTCTAAGTAGGAGATTGGGCAAAGTAATTATGAATTCATTATGTACCCAAATATTAAGTATGTGTGAAAATATTTTAAAATGTTAATGGTAGTTTACATACATACTTTACATTTTAAAACTAGGAATATTTGGCATTTTTTTCTGTGTTATCTACTAGTGCATAAGCATTTACTAAGAATATATGTGAGAAGACAATCGTCAAATTACAAATGTCAAGTTATTTATAAACCTGTTTTATTCTAGAAACAAGTACAGTAAACATAAATCTTATTTAGCCATTTATAAGCCAACTGCTTCTTGTTCTAGCAGTGTGAGTGTTCTTTTTATAGAAAGTTATTTGGTTTGAGTAATAAACAACTAAATATAAGCTTAAGGTTAGCTAGAAATGAAAAATTTCAGGCTTGTGTTTGTTTTGGATTTATTGGACCCTTTCTACTGTTATCTAAGAGAACTGCCTAAGAATTGAAGGAATTATCTAGTTTTGAAGTATAAGTGGCTATTCAGCATTTTATTATTATTTTTAAACCTTTATGAACTTGCTAGCTTTCAATAATTTTAGGTGTGGGTTTATTTTGATTCACTTGTCAGCAATATGAGGCATGCTTTCAGTCAGTATATATATTATTTTATTATTGCTCAGAGGGCACTGGAGAAGTTTCCCTGGTGATTAGAACTATTCATGTTGCATTAAAAATAAGGCATTTCAAATTTGGTTTAAGGCATGTCTGCTTTAGATACTAGGAGGACTAGTCTTGTGGCCCAGTTATATTTATCTTTTGATTAAATATTATACCCCATAATTTTATAGGTTGCTAAGAATGTGTCCCCTCACTCTATGATTTCCTTGTAGCACTTTCTTGGGAGAGTCAACTTTTGTAACTTATCCCAAAGTGAATCCTCTTAATATTACTGAACTTGGTGTTGTTTTTCCAGTTTGTTCTCAGGGGGATAATTAGATCAAATATTAAAAGCAACATATGAAGGTTGTCCTGGGTTGAATGCATGATTTTTTTTCAGCCTGGATTAAGAAGGGTGGACACTTCCTTTCTAGCTCAAGTTGATCATAAACTGCCTGGATTTTTGAAATCCCTTACTCGTTTGGATTTTTTCCTGTCCAAAGAAGGCATACACATCAGGAGTTTGCTCCTAAGATCATTTCCTTACATGAAGTTTTTTATAATCCCTTAAAAGTCATCCTTTGGGAGAAGAGGGAAATTTAGATAGCACATGCTTTCAAACTGCTCTGTATGGCACATATTCTCGATAGACTTGGGACAGCAGAGGTGGGACAGTTATCACAAATGCATCCAAGTGCATTTCACCACAACCACTGCCACCCCATGCTACTTCAGTTCTGAATCAGACATTTGAATTCTGAGTCAGAAAAGAAAAATATTTCAACCTACTTAGCTTTTCTGAAACTCTCTGGCTAGTTTTAAAAAACGAAGTGTTTATAACCATTGCTTTCTGATCCATGAATCTTCTTCAGCAAATTGTGGATCAAGTTCATTTGTTCAAATGTTCAGGCCAATCACAAGGTGTACAAACTAGAAGTGAGATGGTGTTTATGACATTGGATTAAAAATTCTGAACTGAAGGTTAACTAAATAGTACTGTATAAGTTTTTCACTGCCACGAGGACTGATCTGAGTTTTGAAGTGGTCAGCGTGCTTGCTCACCTCCATGAAGTGTGTGTGCGCCATTCGAATGATTAAATGTCTTGAGTGGTTACTTTCATGTTTTCTTTCTTCATATCTAAGTTATCTTGTTAATGTAGGCAATACTGGATTATAAAGGCAGGTTTCCTTTAAAAAGGAAATCTAAAAAGTTTCTTGATCTAGGGTATGCATACAACACATTGAGGCACTTCTTATCTACAGGAAACAGACTAGTTGATCTAATCCAAGCCATCATCCCTTTGCTATTTGCCATCTCTTGTTGTGTCTAACATGAAGTCTTCATTGAGTCACTCATTTAATAGAAGATGAGGGAATTACCTTTAGGAACCATAAATATTTCCTTGTGGAGAGATCCCAAGATGCTTATATGTTTCATAATTTTTCATTTGAACATATGATTTGCACATGAACTTTACTGTTTAGAGGATAGATGCAAGATGACAGTTGTGTGTCCTGAGCAAACGAAGAAGAGGGAATTGAGACAAAGGGGGACCTGGGTGACTGACACAGTTAAAGACAGCAGGTGTCAGGATAAGTCTGAGGAGGACACCAGAGCCAATTATAGCTGTTTCAACTGCTTTGATGAGATAGGGGCCCAAATTTTCTCAATGAAAAAGATAGGTATGCATGAAATAATCTAGGAAGTGTGGTGTAATAGTTTAAGAGCCTGGGATTTGAAGTTAAACCAACCTTTGTCCTGACTCAAACTCTACATAAAGCATTGCCAGGTTAAGTTGGGCTAGTCACTTTACCTCTCTGTGCCTCAGCGTTCTTTTCCACCAATGTAGTTGAGAACTGTAAGTTCAGTATGGTGGCTAGCACTTGCCCAGAGTTGGTATACACTATGCAGAGCATGTTCCTATGACGGGAATTACTTCTTCTGTGATTATTGGTTAATGCTGAATATCATGTTAGTGTATGAGGGGATTTCTATTGTTTCATTCACTATCTTCTTGGAAATAGGATCTGGGTTGGAAGGCACAGAATGATCAATAACTTTCTGCAAGAAAGGAAAATACCCCTTAGTTTGGCTGCCAAATGGGCACCAGGAGCCCTCTCAGCTTTATTTTGTGAAAATTCAAAACAAGTGTTTGCACCTGGGCCTCCCCCACCCCCTAGAGAGGCTCAACCCCAGCCTTGCAGAACTCTGTGCATGGCAGATGGCTTGTTCTCCTTGGCAGCCCTGCTGTGTGAGAGTTCCACTTCCACCTGCGTTTTCTTAGCACACAACCAGCGTTGTCCCATTTAAAGGTTCCTGCTCTGTTGTATTTGTGCATTTCTAATCTCTGTGAGGCTTTCTGAGATGCATGTCTGGGTGATCCATGTATTCTTCCTGGGTACTAATAATTTAATGATTGTATTTACTAGACTCTGGTGACAATGTTACATACGTTTTTTAGTGGTTTCTTCCTAACCCTGTTTATCTCATAAACCCTGTTATTTTTTGTTGTAATTTTCAAGTGTTTTCAGACCTTAAGTTCACTGTCCCACCAGCCCCAGGAAAGCACATCAAAACACAGAACTTCTGTCAGAAATCTCCCTTGAGCTACTTCCCAGTTGAATGCTCCTCCCCCACCTCCACCACAAGGAGCAGCCACTGATCTGGTTAGGGTAGTTGGCATGTTCTAGAATTGAGTTATACCATATGTACTCTTTGGTGTCTCTCCCTCCGCATAATATTTTTGAGATTCACTTGTCTTATTTCCCAGTAAATTTTTTTGAGATAATTTTTTATTGAGATAAAAGGTAATTTGATTCTTTTCTCCTATTACTAGACCTCTGAAGTATCCCCCATTTTAAGTTATAATGGATAAAGCTGCCTTGAACATCTGTGCACAGATCTGTGTGTGGACATAAGTTACTATTTCATCTAGAATAAATACTGAGGAACAGAATTGTTACGTCATAGCATGGTTGTGGCTCTAAATTTCAAAGACACTACCACTTTTCCATGGTGTTGGGCATTCTACTCTCCCCCAGCACTGTATGGAAGTTCCACATCTTCAGTATTTTCTCATGTAGTTTCTCATAGTCTGTGGTTAATGAATCCTGACATTTTTAATGCACAATTTTACAGAACATGAGGTTTTTTTTCAGTAAGCTATATACTGTGTTATAGAAGTTTATATTCCATAAATGTGAACCATCATTGATAACTAACATTATTATAGCTCTAACAATGTTACAGCTTTAATTTTCAACAGTCAATTAATTGTAGGGCCTTTGCCTAAAAGCTCCATTGCATAGTCATTTAGAAAGTTGCTTTATCTCAGCTTCCTTCAGAAGCAACTCACCAAGACACCTGGTCCCATCTTTATAATCACAGGTGGCAGCTGCAGGGGATGCAGTGGTCATTGCTTTATTTGTTCTTAGGTGCAGCCTAAATGTCCTAGAGACATGGCAAGTCCCACTTCAAACAGAAGAATGCAAAGGTGAATGCAAATTGGGGTCATAAACCAGCTTGTTTTGCCATATGGAAAATATGGAAATAGTTGCTACTTATTGCACAAAACATCTGTTGAAAAAAGGTTTTTAATTTGAATGCTTTGAGATAGACTCTTTCTAAAACCCAAGATTGCCTGGTGGGAAAGCAGATGGGTAATTTAGACAGTGCTGTACTAACTCATTATTTCTTCTGAAGCACAAACTTAGTTTGATAATTCTAAGACAGAATTCTGAATTTGTGTTTTGGTGATACACAACCCTCAAAAACATGATGGCCACTTCTGCAAGCTTTGGTGCTGTTTTGAATATAGGTCAGGAGGAACACAGGGTCTTATTTCTTAGACATTGATTTTTTAAAAAAAATAACTCATGAGTTCTAAGTATTAAAGAGAAAAAATTTTAATCCTTTTATAAGTTTGAAATAGTTTTAATTTTATTCTTTTGGGTACTGGTAATCAAACTCAGGGACACTCAACCACTGAGTCACATCTCCAGCTATATTTTTGTATTTTATTTAGAGACAGGTTCTCACTGAGTTGCTTAGTGCCTCATCATTGCTGAGGCTGGCTTTGAACTTATGATCTTCCTCTGGGATTACAGGTATGTGCCACTATGCTTGGCTTGAAATTAAAAAAAAATGGTATTGTGGGCTGGGGTTGTGGCTCAGTGGTAGAGTGCTATCCTAGCACATGTGAGGCCCTGGTTTCAATCCTCAGCAACATATAAAAATAAATAAAATAAAGGTATTGTGTCCAACTACAATTAAAAAAATAAATATTAAAAATCTTACTGGCCTAGGAGATACTTGGTACTATCTGGTTTAGTTGAAAAATAAACTATTTTTACAAAAAATATAAAATTACATAAAATATAATTTTTACATAGGTAATATCTATATAATTGAAGATTTGATATAGAATTTTTATACATATTACTAATATTTTCATTGCTCAGAATTTTTTCAGGCTTTTGAGATATAAAACTGTGGGTCTATAAAACAAGCAGTACCAGATTGCTGTGTGTTTTGGACATCAGAAGATCTGCTGTTAATAATTTTCCTGACTCTTAGGGATTTAAAAAAAATAGTGGTAGCTATTAATATGCTTCCATCTAGCAGAGCTCCATCCCCTTATTTAATTTTTGCTTTGAATCTTCTGTGGGCTGAGAAAGCAGCCAAGCTTGTGAGAATAATGTATAAATTCAGAGCCCAGTGTTGGTGATGTGTGAGATTTTCCACATGAGTAAAGGGCATGAATATCAGTGTCTATTTTGGTTGTTGAAAGATGTGGGCTATTTTCTCATTCTTAGTTATATTTTAGAGTATGCATTGTCAAATAAGTATGTTACTATTAACTTAAATAGCTATATCCACCACCACCCACCCCAATTTCCATTATTTGAGAGATAAGACTTTGAAAACTTACTGGGAAGCAGATTTTAGTTAAAGCACAGGTTTCTAACGTCATGAGATAGCACACTGAATCCACTGTTGTCCTGTGGATCTGAACTTGGGTCCATTGCTTGTCACTCATCTCAATCCTCTGGATGTCAGTGTTCTCGTGCTCTCAGTTTAATTTATAAAATTCTGAGGTTGTAGGGCCCTAATTCTAGGGTTCAAACAGAGGCTTAATGGACACCAGATTCCTGTATGGTGGGAGGTTGGCCTGAATGACTCACTAAGGTGTTTTTCTTATTTTGTGGTGTTGGGGACTGAATCCAGGGCCTGGCACCTGCTAGTCAAGAGCTCTACCACTGACCTGACCTACATCCCCAGCCCTTGTATTCTTGTTTTAAGATGGAATAAATTCTGTGACTCACTTCAAGGAGGCAGATCACTTGTGTCTATCAAGGTTAGTTTTACATACCTAAGGGGGAGAATGGTTGAGCTGCCACAGCCTGTTTCTCTGTCCCTAAGTCTTAAGGGGCCAATGCCATTCTCAGAAGTCAGTTGTCGTCTTCTTCAGATTCCAAATGCAAAGCCATTACAATTTTATAAAGCGATGAAATAAATGATGAGAAGGGGATTTAAAATGGTCATATTGAACTGGTTGTAAATTCTCTTCATAGCAACTATTGAGGTACTTCGAAAGCAGTTAACTGAAGGACAACACCATGGCTTTCTGTTTCAGGTAAAAATCAAACAAACAAACAAAAAACCCTGGGTGATATGTGTTTATTTACTCTGAGGAAGATTTATAATTTGTATTAGGTTTTGAAATTAATGTAGAATATGGAGTGGTTTTAACCATTAAATTAAATAACCAACTTAGAAGAAAAGACTTTGGTAGACTTTGTTCTCTTGTTCACAGAAAGTATTTAGAAAAACGAGGGGAGAACTCACATCAGTGAGTGGCTCCTGATAGCATCTCCCAAAGAGGAAGCATTTCAGAATTTGCCCAGCCACTGCATCTGTTAGCAGAGAGCCAGTTTTGTAGGCACCTCCTATCTGATAGGAAGGGTATATTTTTCAATTTAAAACCATATGCTAAAATTTTTTAGTGCCACGAACAGTTTTAGTGCTTATGTCTTTTTTCTTTCTCCTATTTGTATTAAACTTTCAATACCTTTCTGTCTGGATATCTCAAGAAATCCATGGTAGAGTTGAATATATTTATTTCCCTTATGATGCTTGGTGAATCTCCTTTTTGGTTCATAAATGAAGAACATAAGGGAACAGAGAGATTGGCACTGGAGCAAGGAGATGAAAGAGGGAAGAGTGATATTTGCTGGTATCTCTTTCCAGGGCATAATGTAGACAACATCTGTTTAAGCAGAAAAAAAAAATTCACATAGAAAGTCTAGGCAGAGTGCCTGAAAAGCCCCTGTTTAGCAGGAAAAAAAAAATCTCTATAGCTAAAGAATTCTTAATCATCTCAAGAACACCAATAAAATTTTCTATTGTAATGTCACTCCCATAAATATGCATCTGCCTCTTGGATTAAGACCACAATTTTATTACTATAAAATTTTCCTAACACCATTTTACTACTCCAAGTTATGTCTAACAAGCTTCCTTGGCTTCTGCCTAATTTCAATGACAAAGCCATTCAATTCCTGGTTCCTGATCTTTGAGTTTTACTCCTAGATCAATGAATGGGTAAAATACCCATTTGCAGTGACAAATAGGTTCCCTGAAGTAGAGGGCACCCACCTCTGCTGGGCTTTGCATCTTGGACCCTTTCTACATTTCATCTTTCAATACACTTTGCCATTTTCTGATTACAGAGGTTTTTAGATGAGGAATTTTCTCACGATGATCCCCCGTCCTGCCCAGAGAAAATTCAATCATCTCTTCAAGAAAAATTGGTAAGTGTAAGCTTTCTGAAATTATTTTGGTAGCAAGCATGGATCTGCTGCTATGGTAAAATAAAAAGTTGAGTTCAGTATATATTCATAGCCCAAGGATTCCAAACACAATACTTTTCTTTAAAAGATTCTTTTTTTTTTCCTCTCATACACATACTATCTTTTGGTTGGTCCAAGAAGTACTAATATTTTAAATTTTTTAATTGTGGTATTACAATATCACAATTGATTGAGTTATATCACTTGACTTGTCCCTCATGCTTAACTCTTCCCTCAAGGCTTTATTTATATCAAAGTGTAAACTATTTATTTGGAGTTGGTGATGCGAGTATTATGTTAGATTACTGAACAGTGATTTTTGAATGAGTGTTCTAATTTACTCATAATGTATATCTTTTGATCAAAAAGCATGAAAGCTTTTTCACTTGACATCATTTATTTTCTTTCTGACTTCTCTCACAGGTCCATTTGAGACCAGTGATATTCTTTCTGCTTTGAAAGATAAAGTATATTAGAAAATGTTTTATGTTATATTCCGTTAGACAGCTAATAATACTTGGTTTTCCATTCAGAAGCAGTGTTACCACAAACCACACAGTAGTCAAGAGGCAAGAATTCATCACATACCCCTGACCTTGAAAAACACATGCTGGTATACGCCTCTTCTGGGTGAGCTTGGGTCGCCCCTCCTCCAGCACCATCTGATACATGCTTGGGTCGGGGGAGGGATTGTATTGAGAGAGGAATTCTCTTTGAAAGGGCAAATAATTCATTACAATTTTATTTGTATAGGAATAATTGTTGAACATTTGGGTATTTATTTCTGGGTTCAGTCAGTCAATCAGTATGTATTTCAGTACCTATTCTGTGCAAGGCAACATATTATGTATAATAAAGAATAAGTGCTGGGTTTGGTGTCTCATGCCTATAAACCCAGTAGCTTGGGAGGCTGAGGCAGGAGGATCACAAATTCAAACTCAAATTCAGCAACTTAGCAAGGCCTAAGCAACTCCATGAGACCCTGTCTCTAATAAAATACAAAAAAGGAATGGGGATATGGCTCAGTAGTTAAGTGCCCCTGAGTTCCATTCCCAGTCCTCAAATAGCCTACAGATTAGTGGGAGACAAGACCTAGACTCAGAGATGAGAAGTAAGAGAGTACCCCACAAAAGAGGGGAGTGTTGAACCAGGCTTTGAGGGATGGGTTGGGATGGAAAAGTGAAAAGTGTGCAAAAAGTATTTTGATGGATGAGAATGACATGGACAGATGAAACAGAATAAAAAGAGAAGAACACAAAAGTCTTGTGTTTGAAAAAGAGGCAAAGCTCATTGTGGAAAAAAGAGGGTTTTGGTTGAGATGCAGAAGGAAGTTTGAAGCAAAAGCAAGTTGAGGATCCAATTGTGAACTGTTACTGAATGCCAGGCTGAGGAGAAAGAGCCCTAACCTCGGAGATGCTCCACAAAACCCAGATGCAGTCAAAAGCAGAAGTTCATGCTGGTTCTGGAATGATAATAAAAATGGGATGCTCATCAAATAAATTTAAGAAAGATGGTGGTTTGTGGATCATTGAACTACAAAAGGAGAAACTGCTACCACCACGGATGGAATTTTCATTTTGTGTCAGGCACTAGATTAGAATTTTATAGAGATTATTTCATTCATGATAACTCAGAGATAACCACACCCAACAATGTCAGCACTTAAAGAATACTTGCTGTGGGTAACATATCTGTTAACTCATTTAGTCCTTACCACAGCCTAAGAGTGCAGATGCTAATGTGATTCCCATTTTGTTTTATTTATTTTTGCTGTGCTGGGGAGGAATCCAGGTCCTGGTGTATACTAGGCCAGCACTCTACTACTGTACCCACCCCTCTGTAATTCCCAATTTTAAAGACCAGGAAACAGTTACCCAAGGCCAAGTATCATTCTATAGATACATAAACTAAGCCTCAGAGTGACATAGATATTTACCCAAGGTGACACAACTGGCATTTAGCAGATCCAGGATCAGAACTAAAAAATTGTGCTTGACTCCATAGCCTTTGTGTTTTCCTTTAAACTGCTACATCCTATACCCACCTAAAAAGATGGTTTCCCAAAAAGACTGATGTGTCATTCTTACCTATTTCTTGTACCATGTTTTGATGAAATCTAATCACAATGTCTGATATTTTTCAGGAGTCTGCAAAGTTGTTCAGGAAAGGGTCAGATAGTAAATATTTTAGGGCTTTCAGGCCGAACAATTTCTGTTACAACTATTCAACTTTACTCTTGTAGCACACAAGCAGTCATGGATATGTATGTGGATAGGTGTGGCTATGTTCTAGTAAAACTTTATTTACAAAAACAGGCAGCTGGGGCTAGGGTGGTGGCTCAGTGGTAGAGTACCTGCCTAGCATGTGGAGGCACTGGGTTCATTTCTCAGCACCACATATAAATAAATAAAATAAAGGTCCATTAACAACTAAAAAATATATATCTATATTAAAAAAAAAAACAGGCAGCTGGCTGGATTTTGCCTGCTGGCTGAAGAATATTGGCCCTCTAGATGTTCAGAGACCAAGATTATCTGTCTTCCACGCCTCACCTTTTTTTTTTTTTTCCTCTTTTTTAAATAAACATTTGGCATTTCCACCCCCATGTAACCCAGCATCCTGGGCATTTGGTAAAGTGCTAATAGAATTGGGTTGGCTTTTGCTTTCACATAAATAGTTCTGCCAATCAAGTCTTTAGAGAGGATAGTTTATTCTTTAATGTGGTATGAACCAGAAGTTAATCTCTATTTTTATTCCTTTCTCTTCTACTACAGATGCCTTGTCTCTGGATAGTCTTACAGTGATTCCAAGGCCACAATTGACATCTTCCTTATGTGTAGCCAACCCAACTGAGGCTTCAAGTGAAAGATCCAAATATGGAGAAATAAAGGATGGTGCTTTGGATGTGACGAGACAACACAAGTAAGTTAAAAGAGGACAGTTTACTTTGTTATGGAAAAATAAGGAAAATTATGGCAATGGAAAGAGACAGGCAGCTCTTTCAGAAGAGCAAGGTTTATTCAGCACTGATGTGGGCTCAGCAGAGTCTTCTCCAAAGGCTGAGCACAGCCCTTTGTTCTCAGTATCTTTTATACAACACAGACCTCTAGGTTTCAAGACTTCTCATACAAGTAGCCTGGATCCCTTTTTCTCTCTCCAGGCAGATTTGATTCCTGCCACAGCTGCTGAGCAAGCATGACTGCAGAAGCAGAAACTAGCAGGTTGCAGCTACTAACAGATAAAAAGGAAAAAGAAACATCTCAGGAAGGACTTGCTGCTTCACTTAGCCTACTCTTTATGGGTAGCCTATTCCCACTGCCTAACATTTTAATTGGTTAGATTTTCATACCCTGAGACTATAACATCTTTATTGTGGAACTCTCTTTCTGAAAATTTACAGTTGTAAAATAAAGACACTGCTTTTGAATTTTATGATAGTCAATCTAAACCAATTCAGTTACCCTAGTTTGGGGGGCATATACTAAGTACATATTACTAGGTTAATTTAGATGAGTTTGGATTTTAATTCTATTCCTTTCACACTTAAGGTTAACAAGCCTTTGGAAACCTGTCTCTGCTCGCCCCTCCCCCCATTCTCTTTTGATGCTTATTTATGCTCATCTATCTTTTTAAGTATGCAAACTGATCTTCCTTAGGAAAAATGCAGACATGTTAGTGGAGTTTGTGAGGACTCTCTACCCTGGTGAAATTTCCTTTCTGTATTGAAGGTGAGGAAGCCAGACTTTGAATCCCAAATTCTTTATTTTCATTTTCTGCTGGCTTTTCTGTTGTCTGTCACTTCTCTCTGATGAAGGTGGAAGCTATCTATCATTATGTCTTAATGAAGCCAGGAATTTAATTAGAAATTTGATAGACTGGGTGTGGGTCGTGGGAACTGTGTCATAATTTGGTATCTGCTAAAATTTTCAGTTTTTCTACTTGTGGTAAATGGCTCTACTTTCTACTGCCAGGTGTCCTGTAGGTGGTCCACACCCAGGAGCAGATCTTTCGGGTTGCATCGGGATGAATGACAACCTAAGTATGGAAGTGAGTGCTGTGGCAATTTATAATTTCATCTTCAGTATTGTCACATGCTGGTCCTGTTTTTTGAGTATTCTTTTTTCTTTCCTTTGCTTCTTTTCTTTTAAAAATGTCATGGCTCCTAGTACAGCAAGTATGAATCTGATAGTACAGACCTCAGATGAATGAGAAATATCAACTTCTGAAGTGATAAAATTAAAGCTGGGGCCATAGCTCAAGGGTAGAGTGCCTGCCTTGCATGTGTGAGGGCTGGGTTTGATCCTCAGAACCACATGAAAATAAATAAATAAAGATATCATGTCCATCAATAATTAAAAAATATATATAAAAAATTAAAGCTCAGTATTTGGGGACTTTCTACTCCTTGTGTAGTGTGAACTTTGGGTTATATAACCAGAGGGAGATTTTGACAAAGTACAATGAAATTTGTGTTTAGGAGGCAGGCTGGTTTGGGACTTAAACTCACTATTGACTGTAAGTAGTGTCGGATCACATTGATTTTCTAAGAACTGAAATCAAAGCTAGGCAATCTTTGAGGAATTGGCCCTTTATTAAAGACCACAGAGTAAGGCCATGATCTTAGCATATTCACAACCAGTGTCAGGCAGTAATGCTGCTTTTTTACCCCAAAAAAGGATAATGTGAAACAACTTGAGAAGGACTATGGAGGTGGTCAGAGTGCCTTCCTAGTCTGCAGCCTGAGCGTGGGCCCAGTGAGTTCAGTCAAATGGAGCATACAGTTCTGCTTTAGGATTTGGCCATTTATCATCATCATCCATATATATATATATATATATATATATATATATATATATATATATCTTCATTGAAATAAAATTCACACATCAAATAATTCATTAATTTAAGCTTTTCAATTAACTGGTTTTAAATGTATTTACATAATTGTACAACTATCACCATCATCTATTTTAGAACATTGGAGTCACCCCCAAGAGGAACCCCAAGACCCTTTTGTAGTTTATCCTTTTTGCAATTTCCCCTTTCTCTAAACACCCAGCTCTAGGCATTAATCTACATTCTCCATAGATTTGCCTATCCTGGATATCTTATATAAAACCATATATATTTATACACACACACACACACACACACACACACACCCTCCTGTGCCTGTCTTCTTTCAATTATTGTTAAGGTTTTCAAGGTTCATCCATATTGTAGTATGTATGTTATTATTAGTACTTCCATTTATGGTGGAATAATATTGTGTTGGATACCACATTTTGTTTATCTAGCAGTTTATGGGCATTTGAGTTTTTTGACTGGCTACTACAAACAATGTCATGAGGAACATTAGTGTATAAGTTTTAGTGTAAATGTAGGTTTTTAATTCTTTTGGTATATTCCTATCAGTAGAATTACTGCCTCAGATGGTAACTGTTTAATATTTTGAGGGACTAAAAGATGGGTTTCCACAGTGGTGGCACCATTTTATATTCCCACAAAAGATACTGGCAGATTCTAATTTCTCCGCACTTCACCAATACTGCCTTTTTGTTTACAGCCATCACTGAATGCAAAGAGGTATCTCATTGTGGATTTGGTTTGTATTTTTCTAGTGATTAATGATGTGGAGCTTGTTTGCATGTGTTTGTTGGTCATTTGTATATTTTGGAGATACTTCCATTCAGATCCTGTGCCTATTTAAAAGATGGGGTTGTATTTCTTTTTACCACTAAGTTGTGCAAGTCATTCTTACTCCTTTGAAGTGTATGCATCTGACATTTTTCCCCTGTTCATTAGTACCTGCCTTATTGAGAATCTAAGAAGAAAACAAATCAATTTTGCTATTACTTGGTAGTTCTTGTGAAGCTTTAATAACGGAAGTTGAGTTTAAGAGCTTACAGGATGTTCAGTTATTAGTAATTTCCCTTTTATCTGGCACCGATTTCACTAAGAAGAGAGAAAAAACAAACATCAGTTGTGTACCAGGCACTTTGTAGGAAAGCATTTCTGTGTGCATATTAATGCTCCTCACAACCTTGAGTGGCAGGTATTCTCTGTTTTTTTTTTTTTTTACAAAGGAGACACCTGACTTTGAGGGAGTTAGATAACTTGCCCAACATCACTTGACTAATAAGCAACAAACCTGGATTTCAAGTTTAGGTTTGTCTAGCTTCAAAAGGACTTATCCTTTTCACAACCCCTCTGAATTTAGACATTTGAGTCATAATACATAATCACTGTAGTTACCTTGAAAGTAGGTTTTGTTTGTTTGTTTGTTTTGGTTTTTTGGCTAAGAAATGTGCGGCCTTATGAATCTAAAAGGACCTCCTAATCCACTCATTGGGAGAGGTGATGAAGTTGTTTTGTGTATGGTCTTGACACCCATTAAGAATTGGGAACGATCTGGATCACAAAGAAACTCCTGTCAAATGCCTTTAGAGTAATAAATAGATTCCCTGAAAGTTCTTGCTTTCCTGTGTTCTTTCTACAGTCTCAAGAATGAGTCTGTTGGCTTTACTTTGTGGCTGAAACTACTGATTCTCCATAGTCCCATTCCAGGTTTCTGCCCGCTGCAGGATCTGTGCAGCCTCATCACCGTGCTCTCCAACCTTCACCTGTCTCCTTCGGCCCCCACCCCATCTCTAAACAAATAATAAGCTCTGTTTCTAAGCGTTTTTAATAGAATTTAGACGGAATTAGAATAATATAAAACATCAAAATACCATAAACCATGCTCATTCCAGCATATACAAACTGATGGGTTGTTTTTTGTTTATTTGTTTGTTGTTGTTTTTGTTTTAAACACCTTGGCTTTAAATGATGGATCTTTGCCAGTCTGTACATCCTCATGAAAGCAGCTTGACCTTGTGTTCAAATCCTTCTTTGGCCTGGTCACAGCCTAGCTTTCTGCCTTCATTTCCCTGGCACTGTCCTGCTACTGTCCCTATATCAGCCAAAGCAGGTAGTATCTACTGTCAGAGTAAATCACTCAAACCTGGCTGGGGTGTTTTCTTTGCTCAGAACGTTGTACACTTCTCCATTTGTCAAAATTTTATTTAACATTCAAGGCCCATTTCAAAAATCTACTGTTTCATAAATCCTTTTGTGGTAGTATAAAATGTTGGCAGTCAAGTATCTCCAGTTCTTTTTTTTTTTTTTATATTTTTTTAGCTGTCAATGGACTTTTATTTTATTTATATGTGGTGCTCAGAATCAAACCCAGTGCCTTCCAGTTCTTTGTGAGGTGAAAATCATAATAGATTGGAGTTTGAGAAATCAGGTTTTCCCTCCAATCAGCTTGTATGTGGTTCTGGAAATATCATGTTTTGATGCTTCAGCTTGCTCATTTCTTAACTATTTAACTTCCTTCTTTGAGACCCCAGGAACTCTCTGCCTTCCCTTTTTGCTACCTGTCTCCTGGTTGCATTGTGGGTATTCATTTTTTACATCCTACCCTGTATTAGCTGATAAGCCTGGTGGAGAGCACCCTTACCTGATCACTAGCCAAAATGTTTCTAGTACTCTGCATGGATGGGTGCACAGTAGCCGCCCATTAATATTTGTTGAATTCTTATTTGTTTTGTAATTACTTTAGGTTCTTCTTAGAACACTGAAGATGATACTCAGAAGCTTCTTTCTTTGGACTGGTGTTCCTAAGGACGTGAGATCTATTTTCTGCCCCCCCCCCAATTCATTTTCTCCATGAATGGAGGGGCATAAAATAAATCTAGTGTCTTTCTCACAGGGAATGTAAGAAAAAGTGAACATTGATGGGTATTTATGAGAGGGTCTTTGAGCAAAGGACTCTATCAATTAATGTCTCGAAAAATATCTCATAGGAAAATAATTTGGAGACCTGTTTGGAATGTTCTTAAGGAGAATAAATCTTCTTTATTGACCCAGTAAATGATTTTATTGGTGGCATGTTGGTGTACCTAGGAGAGAAGGAAATAAATTACTTACTGTCTTCATCTTTTAGGATTCATACTGAAATACTTTCAGATGACATGTGCTGATATCTAGGATTTCTTCTAAAAACACAGGGGTAGGTTTAGAGGGTAAAAGAATGGATGAAACAACATCCATTCCAGGTGAAAATTGTTGAAGCCACATCCCAAGCACATAAAAGTTAGTTCTACTGTCTACTTTTATATTCATTTGAAATTTATTTTAGCAATGCCTTGAAAATTTTATCCCCATACTATAGGCTTTGGAATCAGGCGGGCCATATTTAAGATGGGCTGCAATACTTAATATGTGAACTTAGATAAGTGGCCTAACCTGTCTAAAATTGCTGTGTCCCCTGTGGAACAGAGAGATTACTCTGCTTTTGAGTAGTTCAGTACACATGGATACAACACACATACATGCATAAACACATGCTATATATACATCAACACATATACATCTTCACAGCCAAGTTTTAGCCTAATCAGTTGGAAACAAACCAAGTAGGTCATGTTTACAGGAAGACAGTGCCTTTTAATGACCTATTTTCCCACTTGCTGATATATAGGAAAGCCTTTCCTTTTCACTGGGTGCCTTCCCAGCATTCAAACATTTCTAAGAATCACCAGAGGTGTATTCCAGTATATATTCATGTTCTTTAGGCCTCATCCACTAGTGAGTTCCAGGTGGATGTTTAGCCTCTTGAGAAGTTGTGGGACAGTGAGGTTGGTCACATCATCCTGGTATCTGCTGTCCTTTTTGTTCTCTGCCCAGAGCCCTGCCTGCAACACTGTAGACCTCCATGGAGCTCTGCATCTAGACCTCTGGTGATCCCACCTTCTTTCCCTGGTCAGTGCAGAGGCAACTCTGCCTTCTTGTTCCAGTGCTTTCAGAGAGGGCTCCCAGGGTGGAGTGGTGTTGGTAGGATCCTATTGGGGTAGTTGTGAAAACTATCCTCTACATTTCAAGACACAGTCTAGTAGGGCTGGGAGACAGGGTAGCCAGTACCACAGTTTCCTACTGAGTCTAGTGTTACTGCTTCTTTCAGTAGCTAGATACACTTCCTTGATTCCTCCCCACTCTGGGTCATTTCCCTCTAGGTCCTTAGCCTGTCTACCTCCTCTTAGTGGTTGCTCTTAAGTCTGAAGAGCGACCAAAGGCTTTCTGGCCCTTTGCAAAACAGGTGGTTACCTACTTGTATGTTTCCCTAAATACACTAAGAATTAAGTTCTACAAAAATTCTGTGGCATCCAAACTGATTCTTCTGTCTGATCTGCCTCCACCAAAATATTTTGTGAAATCCTGCTTCATAGTACATACTCAAAATAGTAACGGTAGTATTACCTAGAATGAGAATTATCAGCAGTATGGAACTGCTGATAATCAGAGAATGCCTTATAACAGGTCAGGGATCTCGAGATGAATTTCTCTATGTTTCCTTGTGGCTGTTCAAACTTTAAAAAAAAAAAAAGATCACATATTAAGTGTCTTCCCTCCTTTAAGGTTCTTCTTCATGTCATTGCATGTTTTTGTGTAAGGTACACTATCACTGGGAGAAGATGATTTATTGAGTCAAACCACAGGATCAATTTAAAAATAACCTCTGAAGACTTTCTGGCCGTTGTCCTGTTCTTTCAAGCTATGTGTAGGTGCTGCATTAATAACCTTGGAGAATAAATAACATTGCCAGTTGCAAAATTGGGACAGGTAGATATTGACTGATAACTGATTATAAATGAGCCTCACCATGGTAGGTGTGTCTTGTAGATCTTAGGGTGTGGTGTTCTTTTACTTAGAAATTGAGAGGAAAAAAAAAAGAAAGAAAAACTATGAGGAAATTTAGTTTGTTCATGTTCCAGGGTTTCTAATAATTTATTTTTATTTTTATTATTTTTTTAAATTTGTAGTTGTTGATGGACCTTTATTTATTTATTAATTTGTATGTGGTGCTGAGAATCGAACCCAGTGCCTCACACATGCTGGGCAAGTACTCTACCACTGAGCCACAACCTCAGCCTCAGGGGTTCTAATCTTTTAAAAGTTCTATTTAACATTCTTCCTCTTTTCAGAACATTTAAATGTACATAAGTACAGCTTGGAGTAAGTCTAAATAGATTCTTGTTTCATTTTTTTTTTTTTGTTCCCATGTTAATCTATTTGACCAGCATCAACTGTCCAAAGAGACCCAATAGTAAAAATTATATGGGTAACATAAATTTTTATAAGCACAAAGATTTTTGATCATAAAATCTATAAAGCAGCATTTAATGTAGAAGAACAAAGTAGTCCTGGAAGATTATCTAGGCTTATTAATTGTTATTACAAATCTCTTATTTTTTAGTATTTCTTCGTATTTTTCTATTAAAGTAATCGTGTGTGTGTGTGTGTGTGTGTATGTATGTATGTATGTATGTATGCAAATGTGTGTGTATGAATGAAAGAGGCTTGTGTTTGCTGACCCAGCCCATGGGAGAATCTATCTCACTTTGTTCCATGAGTGCTTGGCTACCCCACCCTATATTAAGCTCTTGTTGTCAAGAGCAGATGGGCTGGACCATGGGTTTCCATGTAAATGTTATTCAGGTTAATATTTGAATGGCTTGGATGGGAAGGGCATTCTTCCTGCTGTGCTGTCAGCATGTGTTAGATTCATTGACTTGAGCCAACCTTCCACATGTAAGTCTCTCATCAGAGCTGTCTTCATCAATTTATTGGATTTCTGTGGTTTTACAGACTATCTCTTACAATCTCTTCAGGTCTCAAAGTTGGTATGTGTGAGTAGATTCTTCAGCAGGCTTGATTGGGATGCTGGTTTGAAGAGGGTAACTTTTGATGCTAGAAGAAGAGATCCCACTGTGGAAAGTTTTTGCTGATTAGCCTACCCCCAACCCCATGCAAGAAACTTTGAGTGTTATATCTACAACTTTCACTAACTAGATCCTAAGTTTGAAACAAAATTTGAAACTTCCTTTTCTCTGGTTATTCTTGTGAGAAGAAAATAGTGTTGTTAGAACAAATTTATGAAGTTAGAATTAAGATATGTTGTCTGTGGGGTTGTTTTCTGATCACTAAGACTTACAGAGTTTCATGATTTGGGAGTAATATCCACCTGCTTACCTTGTAACTACTCCAGGCAATGAAGAGATATATGTATGAGTGTCTTCAGAATCAGATTATTATTTGTTTAGTCAGTAAATATTTCACATTTATCAAACCTCTTCTCCATAAAATGCTTCATTGTAAGATATAGAAAAAAGAGGCCTTAAGCAGGGCATAATGGCAAATGAGACTCATTTGTAACATAATGGAGGCCCACTAGGTTTTTGCTATAGTTATTGTTTTCACCTTAAATAGGATAATATTAAGCTCTTTTTATGAAAGTTTTACAAAAAATTATGTTTCATTTTCCTCTATTTTGGAAACCAGCTTAGTGAAATGACAATGATAACTGAATTCTCTTTCCCACTTCTTAAGTTCAAATATGACTATCCATGAACCTGATAGGTACAAGATGAAGTCTTCTCTGATAGCTTTTAGTTATAGTGCAATAATATTATTTCAATCCATACATAGTAACCATGTTTTATATTTTGTGAAATGTTCAATGGACTTGATTTTTTATAAAGAAATGCAATTGATTTTTCTGAAGTTCAATACCCAATGAAACTGAAAGATATTTAATTTTATCCAGTTTTTATAGCTTCATTTTATATATATTGAAGTTTAGGTAAATAAGCATATAATAATTACTACTATAATGTATTTTTAAAATATAAAGACAAGGCCGTTTCCTACCTACAGGTAATAAGATACAATTTCTCTTCAAAATTTAATTCCAATATCACTCTACTTTGTGAATTCTGTTCTTTGCATATGGCCTTCCTCTGTGAAGTACTGCTTATCAGTTATAAGGTATTTGTTTTATAGATTCATCTCCTTGACTGACCTATGAGCCCCTTCAGGAAAAGGCCTATATTTCCATGTGTCTCCGGGCCTCGTCTCTGCTCCTGGTACACACTGGATCTTTTTTAAAAAAAATGATTTATTTATTAATTATTTCTTACATATATCACAACATACTGGATCTTTGATGAAAGATCATGAAATTAAATTAAACTGATGTCATAAGGGGCTTTGGTAATATATGATCTGAACCAAAGAGTTGACAAATATGCTAATCAGCCTGATATAATTATTCCACAATGTATACCTGTATCAAAACATCACATTGTGCATCTTAAACATATTTATCAATAAAATTTTTTAAGTTAAAAAAATAGTAATGGAACTAAATAAAACAAAAGATTGAATGTCATTAAGATGTAAATTCTTGTTTTAAGTTTGTAAATTTTTCTAAGCATTTAAGGTGAACACTTTAAAAGTTTATATTTAAATCATTTACAAGTCTAAGACAAAGTTGGAAATTGTTAGGTTAGTATGTATTTGGAGTGGTTTATTTACAATGGAGAGAACACTGCATTTAGTTTTATTTGAGTTTGATGATTGGCTCTACCATTCTGATATTCTTGGGAAATTGCTTTAATCACTGGTATTAATTTCCTTACATGCAAAAACTTGTTGCATATAGTTTTTGGGAGAATTAGATAAGATGATATACAAAGGGGGCTTTTGTAAACTTTAATGTGCTCAACAGGTATAGGTTGCTATTTATCATACTGGGAAACTACAAATTCAGCAAGCCCTTTCTAAATCTTTGCCTTTTGTGGTTATGGTAAATATGTTCATGAATAGATTCTAAATACCGTGTATGATATGCAGCATATCTCTCTAGAAATCTGCTGTTGGCTGTGGTAGTTAATGAGTTCTGTGTTTGATTATGAAATTCATGTGTATCTTAATTTTTCCATCATCTGCACCAGTTTCTGATATGCCTAAATTATATTAGTTTTAATTTATTACAAGCTTTCTAAATACATAAAAATGAAAGTAAACTTAAATAACCTCACTATTAAAAAGAAAGCTATGTTGCCACCATATCTCTTTTTGAAACAGAACAAATATACTAACAAACCCTAATGTCCTAAAATGCCCTCCAATTTGGGAGTTCTTGATAGAATTTAGAGGTTCAAATGAGACTTGCAAAACCTTGCCATGGCAGAATAGGACCACAGTTCTATGAAGCTCTTTTAAAATGCCAGGTGACTGGTGTTATCTTAGATATAATCCCTCAGATCTTTGAGATATGATTAAACTTAAAATGTATGGTTTATCTAGCTGGAAACATTAGAACTATTCCTATCACCTGGCCAAAAGTTTTAGAATGAGTAATAGTCCCATAAATAGAAATGTTTTATATGCTCATGTAGAATGTTCTGTTTAAAGAAAATTTAAGTTCACTAAATAAACTCTATCTGCTTTTGAATTTAAAGTTTGTTTGCCCCTAGATTTGTCTAGATTTTCCTTAATATCAGATGCATAAATATACTTTAAATCAGGGGGAAATTTTAGTATTGTACTTTTTGAAATGGCAACTATTGAATCATTGAACTGTGTCTCTGTGTTTTCTCCCTCCAGGAGAATGGTGTTGAACACTTGGGTTCTGAGGACCTGCCACAGTCCAGGTTTGCTTTTGGTGTTGGGTGTGTGAATTTATGTGCATATTCTGCTCATTTAAAAGAGAATTGTTTGAATCTGATGTACTGAAATATTTTTCTACCCTTTTATTAGGGAATATCTCACACTACCATCGCCTGGACACACTTCCTCCTCAGAGAGTACTGTAACTTCAAGTGGTGAGTGGACTTGGAAGAGACACTGAAACAAACAAAAAAAAGGATTATAATTTTATGTTCTGAAACCTGCTGAGATGTGAGCAAATGAGAAGAGCATAGGCAAATTCTCCTTTGCATAGGAGTCACACTGTTAGTTTCTTCCTATTGGTAGATTCTGGATCAGACGTTTTGAATATGGCTTCTGGTGGCCTTGACTGTAAATCACTCTGTGAGAGAGAGGAGGCAACAAGACCAGTGTCTTCCATGACAGAGATCCAAGGTAAGCTGGATTCAAGTGTAGCTTCATTCTAGGACTGGGGTTGTGGCTTTGTGGTGCAGTGCTCACCTAGCATGTGTGGGGGTACTGGGTTGAATCCTCAGCACCACAAAATAAAAAAAAAAAATAAAACAAAGATGTTGTGTTCATCTACAAGTAAAAAATATATTTTTAAAAAAGAGTAGCTTCATTCTAATACACAAGGCAAACCTGTAAGCTAGTGAAGTCACTGTCCTTAATAGCTCAGCAATATTATATTAATTCTTACAAAATAATTCTTATAAAGGAATTTTGAAGACATTTTTTCACTCAATTTTGTAGATAGAACAAAACCAATATATTGTGTTGGGGCTTGAATATTTCCTTCTGACAGACTGACTGGACACTGCTGGGTTTCAAGTATGACACAGATGTGACATCCCTTAGGAAATTTTTAGAATTTGAATTAGTCTATCAGTTCAGAAGGATGGACCAATTAGCAGTGGTAAACTCAGGAGGCAAAAGAGCTAGCTGGTTTTAGATCCTTCATGCTTCTCTACTCTGAAAACAAAGTAGTTCTTAATCATTTTCAGAGAGACATCACTACAGTTGACCCCCAAGGGAGATGTAGGCTCCCATTCCTACTATAAAAAGGAAAAAGTCAAGGTAAATCCATTCTGTTGTTTGAACTCAACATTTAAAGTTGAGGTGCAAGTGCTAAGTTAGAGTAGTCATAAAATTTTAGAAATGGAATCTGTTCCGTGGGTTAAGAATACAACTTATACTTAGTAAGGAAATGTTTTAATCAAAACTGCACCAAGATACCATTCTTTACCTGCCAAATAGACAAAGATGCAAAAAATTGATTATATTCTGTTGGTAAGGCTGTAAAGCCAAAAGGAATTCTCATATAGTGCTGTAGGAAATGTAAACTTTTATAACAAAAATGGCTACAGTATCTATCAAAATGCAACACTGATGCAACAATTCAGTTTCCGGGAATTTAGCCTATAAATACAGGCACACACAATACAAAATGACATGTGTAAGCTTCATTGTTGCAACATTGTTCCTAATAAAATATTGGCAACAAGTTAACTATTAACAGAAGTCTATATTATGGCATATCCATGTAATGGAATTTTAATATGCATACATAAAACATGTATGATGAGAATTTTTCATGTAATACTATGAAAGGACTACTGTTCCTTGGGAAAAGTATAGAAAATATGTATTATATGTAAAATTTGAAAAAAAAACAGTTTTTATGTCTGCAGAAAGTGTTTCTGGAAGGCTAGACAAAAATTAATATCATGTTCTAAAAGCAAGAACATCAGGTTTCTGGCAGGTATTGATGAAATTTTTTACTGTAAAACATTGTTTTTTATTTATGGGTCATAAGAACTTACTATCTGTCTTAAAATTTAAGGAAAACTAAAACAAAACATATCTGGGGAGAAATGTGCATCTCTAAGGAATCTGGTGATCATTTTGTTTTCATTTGCATATAAAATTTTAAAACACAACACCTGCTTTAAATATATTTTTCTTAAAAAGAAAGAAAGGAAACTGTCTCACTGCTCACTTCTGTGTCTGTACTAAACAAATGCAGGACAAAGGATCCTGTGAAGAGGAGAATAATCACCTACAGTAATGACAGTATAGACGTCCACAAAAAATGTGGAAGTTACAAAAAGGCATGATACAAATTTAAAGTGTACCTTTTCTTTTGATGTCATATTCAGAAAGGTTCATGTTAGTAGGATATCACATGCTTATCAGCTTTGCATATGTAAATTTTAAAAAACTGTTTGCCACACTATTAAAAAGCTTAGTTATGGGCTGGGGCTGAGGCTCGGGCTGGGGCTGAGGCTCGGGCTCAGTGGTAGAACACTTGCCTAATGTGTGAAGCACTGGGTTCTATTCTCGGCACTACATGTAAATAAATGAATAAGATAAAGGTCCATCAACAACTCCCCCCCCCCCAAAAAAAAAAGATTATAGAAAAACCAGCCTACTTTGAAAGGGCATTCATGGAGATGTTCCTTTGATTGGGCAGTTTTATGTGGTTCAACTTCCCCATGGGCCTCCTCCATCCCTGACTCTGAGTCATGCGCCTTCGTGCATTTTGCAGTGCCTACGTTTGTCTCACATGCTAAGGCTTTTGTCTTCCCTGGTCTGTCCACATTGCTACCCTCATGATTTCTTCCTCTTTTACTTGTTACTGCACCCCCAACTGTTGACTGTATTTCCTTTTTCTCATAGGCACCAGTCCAGATCCTGAGAACATTGTATGCCAAGACACTATGAGTAAGGATAAAACCATATCAAATCTGGTAAGGAAGTACGCACATGTGAACAATAAAATGGATGTTACTGTGGTAGAGCTGCCTCTTTAATTTGCAAAGGACTCTTAGAAGTATTCCCCATTTATTCTTTGAAAATTATGAGGTTAATCGAATTAGCCATCTTGAATATAGTTGCCTAGCAAAGCTCTCTAAGACATAAGGATAGCTATAAATGTTTATAGAAAAAATGTTAATTCCTTTTGTGAAGGATGTCTTATTTCTACTTGAATGAATTAATAATTGAAGGGTAACTTGTAGGCTATGGATCCAATTTCATGATTCTCCAGGGGTCTTATGTATTAGTCCCGCTGTTGTATGTGTGGAGTGTGTGTGTGTGTGTGTGTGTGTGTGTGTGTGTGTTTTGTTGCTGTCTTCCTCTCAGTATATAAGCATTGTTGCATTTAGGTCCATTTGTTTGCAAGAAATAGATTCATGCAAACTAATCAAGTGAAGAGGAGTCTCTGATATGGGTGCATATGGGTGATAAATAAGGTAGAATAAAATGTTATGGCCTCTTATGGTCTACAGGAAGTGGGACAGTGAGGTATGTGATCCGAAACTATCCTTAGAGTGGTGTGAAGTATACATAGGGTGTAGCGCTGGCTGGCACACATGCTGAAAATCAGTCCCCCTGTAACTTCTTTAGTTATCCACTGTAGAGTGTTCTGAGGAAAAAAAAATCCTTCCCATCTCAAAAAAAAATTACACTTTAAGAAATAATCTATTAGGAAAATGTAGTAATTGTGGTAGTAGGACTAATTATAATGCAGTCGTAATAAATCAGATAAGAGTTGGAGGTAGTTTAAACTTGGTGAAGATGGAGAAAAGGAGATGAATTTGAGATTTATTTAGAGGTGGAAATTCTCAGCAGTAGTGACTTCCATCAGGGATGTGGGAAAAGAGGTACCCAGGTGTTATGGATTAACCTACAAGAATGAATAGAATAACGTAAGAGGAGGGGAAAAGGAAGAACTGAATTTGTGAGGTTAAATAAGATCATTTTGAAGTAAGTTTCGGATTGATATGAGACATCTGTAGTCTCTAAGGAGATTTTACACATAACTATGAACCTATGTTCATAATCTCACTCATGTGACTCTTTTAGAAACAGAAACATGTTCATGAGTTATCAGCAAAGAACTCTGCAAATATGTGGATGAGATTTTCCAATGACTCGGGCCGACAGGAAGGGAGCACTCAGGGTGATGATAGTATTTAGCAGAGAAGGCAACAGCCAAGAGACTGGGAAGGGAGACCCTCAGGAGAGGGAAAAACATCTTCAAGAAGATTTTTTTTGTTTGTTTTATATGCTAAATGAGTTCAAGTAAGATTAAGAGTGAGGATGGTCATTGGATTTGGCACTAAGGAGGTCATTGATGAGAGCAGTTTCCCTGGAGTGTTGGGCATAAGCTAGAGAAGTGCTGTATGTATATACGTGGCCATATAACCAATGTGATTCTGCAACCTGTACACTTGGAAAAATGAGAAATTATACACCATTTGATTCAAATGTATGATATATCAAAATCATTGTATTGTCATGAACAACTAATAATAATAATAATAAAAAAGAAGTGCATTTGATCGTGAGTGGAAGATAGACTGGATTCAGCCATGGTCAGGCCCTCCTGGAGCAAGGCTGAGGAGGGCCGCAGGAGGGCTGTTGACTGGGAGAGGTCATGGGATTGAAAAAGACTCAAAAAACTCAAAAGTGTTCACCTGTTGATGACAGTGAGCCAGCACTTTACCTATATTATTACATTTGTTGTAGTCTATTGAAACCTTCATTTCAGTTGTCTAAAAATTATATGGCATGGTATTAATGGCTCTACCAAGGAAATTTGTCTTCTTAGACTTATTTTTTTTGATGGGGAACTTTGGTTTTCTAAATTTCTCCATTCTTTTGAAAATGTCTAATAATACCATAAAAATAATTGCATACTTAAATTCTCCCATGAGATTTTCCCAGACAGTACAGTACAATCCTGTTGTTATGGTAACCCTTGTATACAAGTGCATTTATTATGTATAGAACAGTTGGTCAGTGACCTAAAAATATATTATGTGAAATTAAGACCTCACACAACGCAATCTTTTTTTTTGGTACTGAGGATTGAACTCAGGGGCACTCAACCACTGAGCCACATCCCCAGCCCTATTTTGTGTTTCATTTAGAGACAGGGTCTCACTGTGTTGCTTAGCATCTCGCTTTTGCTGAGGCTGGCTTTGGACTTGTGATCCTCCTGTTTCAGCCTCCCAAGCTGCTGGGATTACAGGTGTGCACCACCACACCTGGCACAATCTTAACAGCTATCTCTGCCACAATTTCTCTCAAAAACCAACATAGGAAGCCACTTTATATGGCTCTAGATCACCTCTACTTTACCTCTCATCCATCCATCCATACATACATACATACATCCCAGTTCTACCTCTCCTCTTGCTGCTGTCACACTCCTGGCCTGCAGATGTCCCATGCGGTTCTGCCTCCTTCCCATTCAGAACACTGACTTACCTAAGCCTCATTTACTTGGCAATTAATCCAAATTTGCTTTGTGCTAACTTGTGTCATGTTCACAGCTTTTCATGTTTGTGTTCTATTTGCCTCAACTAGATTGAGAACGCCCTCAGAAGTAGATTTGTTTTTGTTTTTCCTTAACCCTTATTACAATTCCCTGCACACTGTAGAGTTGGGTTAGTAGAGGACAGGAAGTGAAGAAACGCTTGGTTATGAAGAACTTCCACTCTATGTACAACAATAAAATTTCCTTATGTTTTTAGGAAGCCAAAGAGGAACCCAAAACAATAGAAGAGCATAGAAAAGAATGTGCTTCAGGAGGTAAGAAATGTGTTCTTTCAACCCCATATGTACTTTTGTCCCTGTGGCTATTTTTGTAGTTGTAGTCTGAGTAGATTTGCCACCTACAAATTCTGCATCCCTGGATAAGGTCAGCCAATAGAACCCAGTCCTGATTCCATTTGTATCATTGTCAAAAAGCCACGTTGACATTTCATTGACTGTTCAATGCCAGAGGACTTGTAATAATTAGTGCTCTATTGTTAACTAAGAAGCAAGCCTGTGCATGTTGGTAGTAATTCTCTGCTCTACTTAATTTTTTTCAGCATCACATCTAAAAGTAAATAAACCAATGTTTTAAAAATGAGACCTAATATGCTTCCTTCCCTTCACTAGGGTGGAACAGTGGCTAGAGTTCAGGCTGTCAGGTCACTCAGACTCTAGTTTGGGTCCAGCTCTGACCATTATGTGGTATTAGATAGTTATTCAATTTTGAGTCTCAGTTTCTCATCTGCAAAATGGTAATTATATATTTAAAAAGTAAGTATAGTTTATAGAAAATTGACAATATACTAAGTCCTAGGCTAAATTCCTTATGTGCATAGTTTTAGTCAATCCTGCAAATATGAGGTAAGGTACCCCATGGTTCATTTTCCTAGCCTGTGAAAAGCAGACAACAGTGTCTGCCACAGAAGACTTGCTGTGAGGATTGATTGAATAATTTAATATGTATGAAGCACATAGAAAAGGGCCTGGCACAGCAGTTCTCATAAAAGTTACCTATTATATCAAAAGAATATTCTTATCTTGTAGATGGTTTAATAAGGTTGTTTTATTCATGATCACATATCTGTAAGAGCCAAAGCTTAGCTTTAAATCAAGTATTATCAGTTTCAAATCTAATGCTCTTTATTAAATATATTGTCCTTTGCAAAGTTGTCATAAAGAAAATCCTAATAAATGTAAAGAGCTTTGTTCTGGGACTGGCATATTGTAAACCTGAGTTTGATGCTATGTTTATTGTTACTGTTACTACCAGGATTATTATTATTTATTGTTACTGCTACTACTATTAGTATAACTATTATTCCTGCCGGTGCTGCTGTTAAAGTTTTAATCCAAGGAAGAACCAGAATACCAGAGGAAGGTATGCATGTAGCATGGGATCTAGTACAACAAATATTCAAATGCAAAGAGGACAGATGGGCCCATCTCTTGACTCTTGTTACATCTTCCGGTTTCAAAGACTGCTTGAGATGTGAATTGGTGATCTTAATGCTCTGATCCCAATGGCTCCGCAAATATTATCTTATAATTTAAGCACACACATTATCTGGCTATCATTTCAGATGTATTTAAATGAAATGCCTTCATTTAGTAAATATGGGACATAACAGTATTTAATGAAAATGCACTTTTAGGTGTTGAGCCATCTTAACCAAATATTTATTCTCTTTTGATAGAATCTGGGATTTCCCCTGTTCCAGTAACTACCGCGAAATCTGTTAACTTCAGACAAAGTGAAAAGTAAGCTCTTCTTTATGTTTTAATTTCACTTTTTATTTTTCTGTTGGATTATATTCTGAGCAAGTCCTTTGTCTTATCCTACAGCACGTCTGCTAATGAAAAAGAAGTGGAGGTGAGTTTAAACCTATTTTTTTCCCTTTAAAAAAAAATTTCAGACTCACTTGCTACATTGGCTTTATGCTTAGCATAACACACACACTCAGGTATGTCTGGTGTCTGGCCTAAAAGTGACAAAGCGCAGGTCCAGCCCATGCATGACTGTTCTATTGCTGGGATGAGAAAAAAAAATGTCTCAGGATAATACTGTGTGAAATTGAAATGTTCGACCACATTAAACTTTCTCTCTTCACCCTTATGTTATTTTGACAACAGGCGGAATTTCTCAGATTATCTTTGGGATTTAAATGTGACTGGTTTACATTAGAGAAAAGAGTGAAGCTTGAAGAGCGATCTCGGGACTTGGCAGAAGACAATTTGAAGAAAGAAATCACTAACTGTTTAAAGCTCTTGGAGGTACGAACCAGATTATTTGGAAGCTCTACATTTGGTTGTATTTTAATGATGTTCATAATTACATTTGAATTTACTTGGATGACTAAAACCAACACTATATGATAAACTCTGCCAAACAAAATGTGGATAAATAGAATTCAAGACCAGGCCAAAATAAAAGGTTCACTAATGGGAGAATATCAGTAACAATACTAAAAAAAATACCTCTTAAAGTAGATTGTATAAGTCATCTGCCTTCTCTGGATTTTCGAATAGACTTCAGACAGAAAACAAAATGAGAGATAATATCATTTTAAGCTTCATAATGTAAAAATCTATTTCCATTTATGATTAACTGAAGAAAAAGTGTCACTTGAGTCTTGTCAAGTTGCTGTAAAGTACTGAGAGAAGAACAAGGGTATGAGGAAGGATACAACTGTTATCCTTCCATCTCATGAAGTTTCCACTAATTTAGAGACAGTTCAGAAATTAAGGAGTTTCATTTTGGGTGAAAAACTAAAAATTGGGAAATCATAGTAAAAAATTTTTTGTGATTAAAAAGTATAAAACATGAAATTTATCACCTTAATTTTAACAGTATATATGTTCGGTAGTGTTGAGTATATTTAAATTGTTGCAAAATGGATTTCCAGAAGTTTTTCAGCTTTCAAAGCTGAAACTCTACATCCACTGACTCCCATTTTTCTCCTTAACCCACCTCCTTGAAACCACATTTCTACTGTGTCTATGAACTTGACTGTTAGATACCTCATGTAAGTGGACTCATATGATATATGTATTTGTTAAACTGGTTTATTTCACTTAGCATGATGTCTTGAAGGTTTATCTGTGTTATAACATATGACAGTGTTTCCTTCCTTTAGAAGGCTGAATAATATTCCATTTTATGTATATACCACATTTTGTTTATCCATCCATTTGTGGACATTTGGGTTGCTTCTACCTCTTGCCTATTGCAAATAGTGCTGTTAGAAACATGGGTGTTCAAATATCTCTTCAATTCTTTTGAGTATACATCCAGAAGTGGAATTTGCTGGATCATATAGTAATTCTATTTTAACCTTTTGAAAACCCTCCCCACCCATACTGTTTGCATAGTGGCTGCTGCTTTTTATATTGTCACCAACTGTATTTTGTCCAAGTCTTCACGGACACTTGTCATTTTCTGATTTTATAATAGGCATCCTCATGGGTGCAAGGTGGTATATTTTGGGTTTGATTTGCATTTCACTGATGACTAATTATATTGGGCATCTTTTCATATAGCTTGTTGGACATTTGAAAATCCTCTGTCCATTTTTAAATCAAGTTAAAGTTATATGAATTCATTTACAATTATATCCCTTTAAGTTGCATTCTTAAAATGCCTTTTTACTCTATTGATCTGGTCCTTTGATGCACAAAAGCTTTTAACATAGTTCCATTTGTCTGTCTGTCTCTCTCTTTTTTTAATACCTTTATTGTCTGTTCTTTTGGTATCCTATCCAAGAAATTGTAGCTAAATTCAATGCTATGAAGCTTTTCCTCTGTGTTTTCTTCCAGGAGTTTTCTAACTTGGATTCTTACTTTTAAGTCTTTTATCAGTTTTGAGCAAATTTTTCTATATGGTACAGAGAATGGGTCCAATTTCATACTTTTGCATATGAACAGCCACTTTTCTCAACACTGTTTCTTGAACAGATTTTTCCCCTTGTGCATTCTTGGTACCTTCTCAAAGACCAATTAACCATATACACAAGAGTTTATTTTCCAGGCTGTCCTGTTTCATTAGTCTTGTATCTGCTCTTTTGGTGATGTACTGTCAAGGGTCTCATGAATGTTAGGCACAAGCTCCACCACTGAGATATAAGACATAAGATACTATAAGGCCCACATGTTCCTATTTCTGGGGGGAAAAAAATGGGATTTTTACTAGAGAATGCCTTGAATCTGTAGATTGCTCTGGGTAGTATGGATACTTCAAATTAGATCTACTTATCTATGAACACAGGATATCTTTTCATTTATTTGTGTCTTTAACTTTTTTTTAGCAATGTTCTATAGTTTTCAATATACAAGACAAGACTTCTCTCTCCTTGGTTAGGTTTATTCCCAAGTATTATTCCTTTATTATGCTATTGTAAATGGAATTCTTTTCTTTCTTTCTTTTTTTAGTTGTAGATGGGCACCATACCTTTATTTTGTCTGGTGCTGAGGATTGAGTCCTATAATTTTGCTAAATTTGTTTATTCTAACAGTTTTTTTGTGTGTGTGTGTGGAATCATTAGTGTTTTCTACACAAAAGTTCATGCCATCTTTGAACAGATATTTTTGTTTTTTCCTTCCTGATTTGGATTCTCTTTCTTTCTTTCCTTCCTTCTTTCTTTCTTTTCTTTTCTTCTCTTTTCTCTCTCTCTCTCTCTCTCTTTTTTTTTTTTTTGCCTAGTTTTTCTGGTTATAGCACTAGTGTTCTAATATGTTGAATAGAAGTGGTAAGGGTGGGAATCCTTGCCTTATTCCTGATCTGAGAAGAATAGTTTTGTCTTTCTCCACTGAGTGTGATGTTCATTTTGGGTTTTTCATGTATGACTTATATTATGTTGAGGTAATTTCCTGTTCCTAGTTTTTTTGATGTGTTTTCTTTAAATCATGAAAGTGTTGAATCTTATCAAATGCCTTTTCTACATCAATTGAACAAAGCATGATTTTTGTGTTCCTTTCTGTTAATGTGGTATGCTATGATTGATGTTCATATATCGTTCATGTTTGCATTCCAAAACTAAATCCCACTGGAGCATGCTGTATAATATCTTCTATATGCTCTTGAATTCAGATTGCTGGCATTTTTAAATGATTTTTTTTTGCATCAATATTTGTCAGGTTTATTTATCTAGTTTCCTTTCTTGTCCAGCTTTGGTATTAAGGTAATGGGGTCCTCATAGAGTAAGTGTGGTAGTATTCCCCATTGTTGGAATTTTAAAAGTGTTTTTAAGTAATCTGCATTATTTCTTCTTTTAATGTTTGTTAGAATTCTCCAGTAAAGCTATTTGGTCCTGGACCTTTATTTGTTGGGATGTTTTTGATTATTGACTCATTCTCCTAACTAATTGTTGGTTTGTTTAGATTCTTTATTTCTTTGTGATTCAATCTAGGTTAACCATATCTGTTCTGTTTACAACTAATATCTGTTCTTCCCTTCCCAACTGGAGGTAGTTAATCATTTATTTTTATAATTCTTTTTTTGTGATACTAGGGATTGAACTGAGAGCCTCACACGTGATAGCCAAGTGCTGTATCACTAAGCCACATTCCCAGCTCCTGGATGTTGTCATTTTAACAACTATAGGGAATTACACGTCTGATAGAGTCATTCTAGATGTTTAACAACTCTCTGGTTACAACTTAGACCTAACCATCTGTTTCAGAAGTGGCTGCAATTCAGTGAGCACCTACTGTGTGAAAAGCATTTGGCATCCATTACCTTTCATATTGTTGTATTCTTGGAAAGGAGATGTCTGATTTCATCGGACTGATAGGGAAATAGGAAATAAAAACAATTGACATCTTAACATCTTCAGAGTTATGTAATTTATAATTAATGGTGCCTCAGTTTTATTGGCAACACTTTTACTTAATGATATACAAAATAATGGCACCTGTTATAATTCATAGTGTTTTTGATTTGGTCATGTTTTAGAAATTTGATGATAATTGTAGGCTAATGAGTGGTGGATTCTTTGCTTCTAAATATGCCCTTCTCTAAAGTTTGTCTTTACCCTAGTGAAAAGGATGGTCCTTCATCAGGAAGGACATCATCTTAGATAAAGTTCACAGGTTTTTCAGGGAAATATATTCATGAGGCAATAAAGACATACCCACCTAGCTAGCCCAATACCATGTGATCATCAACAGAAGAGCAGGCATAATAGTCAGAGCCAGTTCTAATTCCACTGTTATGCTGCTTTTCTCAAAATTCTATCCTTTGCTGTTCATATGATACATTCAACTCATTTCTAAGCAAAATCTCTTTACTATTGCCAATTAATGATATCCCATCCTATTAACCATAGAAGAAAATATGAATGTTCAGGAAGAAGTGGCACATTTGGGAATTATAAAAAGAATAGCTTACGAAGACATCTAAAAGATTTTGTGAACATTTGCATATGCCTACCTGTTAGCCAGCAAAGATAAAATATTTTGATATCATTCATTATTGGTCATTGCTGTTTCTTTTCAACTTTCCACCAAGATAATTGAGATTAGACTTAGTGTAAGACTCTCTTGTTTAATGCTTATGTTCTGTATCTTTTAATTAAACGTTACTTTCTATGCAGTCTTTAACATCTCTGTGTGAAGAGGACAACCAGGCCCAGGAAGTCATTAAGAAGCTGGAGAAGAGTATAACGTTCCTCAGCCAATGTGCAACTCGAGTAGCCAGTAGGGCCGAGATGTTGGGAGCCATTAATCAGGTAACTTTTGTCTATTCCTTTAGTTCAGCAAAAAATTAAAGGACTTATTTTCTCTGAGGCTATGGATTATACTTTCTTGGAAAAAGCTTTTAAAATACTTTGTTATAATAAGATAAGCATTTTTAATATATAAGAAATAGAAATACACAAATAAAAATGTAAAGAAAAATATTTATGCTAATATTAGGGGCAGTGACCATCATTATAAAAATTTTGTGATATATTCTTCTAGACACTCCCTTCATACTAGCTTATAATCTACCTCCATACAGTGTTATAATCTGTTTCCTTTTCATTCAACATATAGCACAGATAACTTTCCATGTGATATAAATATATACACACCTCTCCCCATTTTATGGTATTCTGTTGGTTAAATAGTTATGACTCATTTAACCAATTCCTTATATTTAATCATTTCTGGGTGTTCGCAATATTTTGTTGTTACAAACAATGCTATAACAAATGTCCTTATACATGCATTTTTGTATACTTGCACATAGAGAAGTAGAATTTCAAATTTTTTTGTGTGGGAAAATCTGAGAAGACTTTAAAATATATATACTAAACAGACTTGTTAAATATATTTTCTTAAGGCACTATTTAATTTTGGTGGTAGTTTTAGTTTGATCATTTTGCTTTCCATTTATATGTGTTAATTCCTTTTAACCCCTCACTGAGGATAATATTTTGTCTTATTTTTATTGAGGTTATGCATGCACATAGTTTTTAAAAAAATGAAGTAGCTCTCTAAATCTTATCCAATTTTCCATACCTTAGTGCAACAACTTTAAACTCCTTGGGTCTATTTTATATTTCTAAATAACATGTTTATGCTGCAATTTCAGGATTTCTTTCTTTTTTCTTTTCTTTTCTTTTTTTTTTTTTTTGTCTGTTTGTTTGTTTTTGTATTTGGTTTGGATTTTTTGTTTTTGGTATTGGGGATTGAATCCAGGGTTCTCCACCACTGAGCTACAACCCTGCCCTTTGTATTTCTTATTTTGAGACAAGGCTTTACTAAATTGCAGAGGCTGGCCTGTAATTTGTAATCCTCCTGCCTCAGCCTCCCAACTCACTGGGATTATAGGAGTGCACCACCACATCTGGCTAGTGATCTAGTTTCAGTTTTAGGTATTATCTGTTGTTTTCCCACTATGAAGATGAATATGTAGTTCCTTTGTGAATCTCTGCCTCCTCACATACATCTTTTGCTGTGCCTCAGTCTATCGTCAACCCCTCTTCTTTTGTGACCAACTTAAAACTCCATGGTCAAACACAGTTTTCACTACCTTACGTGAACCTTCAACACTTTCCCTTTCTTGTTTTGTTTTTTTTTTTGTTGTTGTTTATAAACCCAACCTGTTTAAGTCCACTTCTTCATCTGCTCAGGGCGACATGGCTGGGAAATAGCACAAGCCCTGTGCTGACCAAGCCCTTGAATTTCATCATCACAAGTGTCAATTGGGTCCTAGGGCTTCTCATCCTCACCCTCCCTCTCTCTTAAGTACTACCAATTTTCCACTGTCTCCTCTAACCACCATTATGTCCTCCCCCATCATCTCTGTCAAATGATGATTTTGCATCCTACCTCATTGAGAAAACAGACAATAGAAAAAATTGCCACATACCCCAAACCACTAGTGTCTGAACCCATATATGCTGTTTCGAAGATACCAAGTTGTCTCCCATCTTATATACAGGATCCCATCTCCTCTAATTAGGGGTACATAGGTCTCAGGTACATAGGTCTCAGTTCTCCCAACTTGCTTCTGTTGTAGGAATCAGACTGGTCAAGAAGCAGCAAATGATGGGCCCAGAGGAGATCAGACTCCAAATTCTGAGCCCCGCCCCTCCAGTTTTTTGCATCCATAAGCTATCTGGTGCCATAGCATTCCTAGTCTACAAGATAATGGTCCTGCATAGGGTTTCTAAAGGGAAGCAGAGTGTGATAAGGGGAAAAACTGGCCCCTCTCACAAGGCCTTTGATACATCTCTAGCCTTGCCCAGAAGCCTCCACAGGGAGGCTTACACTTCAAAGGGGAATAATTAGATTCTTAGAGGTAGTTATTCACAATCCAAAGGTAGGGGCCTATGGTGTTAATTAGGTTTCCTGAAGAAGGGCTGACTGAAAGGGGAGGGAACTCTCCCTTTCCCAGGCCCTAGCTTTCAAGACAGTGTTCTAATAGTTTATTTTACATCCAGGCCTGGTTTTGTCAGCCATCCTCCCTCCATCTGCAGTTTTTCCCTTTTTATGGAATCATTCTCCTCAGCACACATATGTGTTGTTTTTAAGATGGAGAGGTGCTAGGATTTATCTGTGGTAGAGTGCTTGCTTAGCATAGGTGAGGTTCTGGGTTCCACTCCCAGTACCCCAAAATAAATAAGTAAATAAAATCGTTTTAAAAAATAGAGAAGATACAAACTAAATATAAACAGAAAAACCTTTGGTCCTTTCTCCTTTGACTACCACCCCGTTTCTCTGTTCCCATTTATAGCAAATCTCTTCCATGGAACAATACTCCTCCCATTCTCTTCTAAATCTCTAAACAACTTTATGCCTCCATCAAATGGTATTACCAAGGTCACCAAAGACCTGCATGTTAATAAATTCAGTTTCTTAGCCCTAAGCTTCCTGAACCTATCAATACTCTTCTTTCTGTGGACACGCTCTTCTCATTTAGCTTTCAGATACTACATTATTCTGGCTTTTCTCTTTGTATCATGGGCTGATTTATTCTGGGCTGGTTTGTGGTTCCACACCTTCTCACAGGCATCTTGATGCTGAAGAACTGCAAGACTCCACTCTTGACGATGACCTCCACCTATACTGTATCCTCTTATGGTCCCAGGCAGCCAACTCAACTCAAACACAGATTCCTGTGTTTGCCTAAACTTTTTCCTGAGTTCCCAAATGTTCCTTTTAAATATCTTGTTCTTATTCTGTGGATGCAACAGTTATTCTTAACTCTTTGAAGATATTGATGGTTTCCTTGATGCTTTAGTTTCTTGCAGACCGATCCTCTGTTGTGTGTTTTGGCCCATATCTTGTGCTCCACCGTGGAGCTAATTGGAAGCTCTATGCTTCCTGATTTTGTTGAGAAAATCATGTGATTCTTGTCTTTAAGTCTATTGTTGTGATGAACTATGTTTATTGATTTCCACATGTTGAACCAAGCTTGCATCCCTGGGATGAACTACACTTCATCATGGTACACTGTCTTTTTAATATGTTTTGTATGCAGTTTGCCAGAATCAAGAATTGAGAATGAGAATTTTTGCTTCTGTGTTCATCAGGGATATTGATCTGAAGTTTTCTTTCCTTGATGTATCTTTATGTGATTTTGGTATCAGGGTGATGCTAGCTTCTGAGAATGAGTTTGGAAGGGTTCCCTCCTTTTCTGTTTCATGGAATAATTTGAGGAAGATTGGTGATAGTTCTTCTTTGAAAGTTTAGTAGAACTTGGCTGACAATCTGTCTGGTCCTGAGCTTTTCTTTGTTGGTAGGCTTTTGATGGCATCTTCAATTTCATTGCTTAAATTGATGTGTTTGAATTTTTACTAAGTCCTCCTGATTCAATTTGTATAGGTCATATGTCTCTAGAAATTTTTCAATGTCATCAAGATTTTCTATTTTATTAGACTATAAATTTTCAAAATAGTTTCTGGTTATTTTGATTATTTTAGTAGTGTTCATTGTGGCACCTCATTTTTTATCACAAATTTTATTAATTTGAGTTTTCTCTATTTCTCTTCATTAGCTTGACTAAGGGTTTATCAATTTTATTGATTTTTTTTTCAAAGAACCAACTTTTTGTTTTGTCTTTTTTTGGATTTTTTGTTTGTTTCAATTTCATTGATTTTGGTTCTGATTTTAATTATTTCCTATCTTCTGCTTTTTGGTGTTGATTTGTTCTTCTTTTTCTAGGGCTTTGGGATGCAATGTTAGGTTATTTATTTGGTGACTTTCTAGTCTTCTAATTAATGAGCTCAATGCAGTGAACTTTCCTCTTAGCACTGGCTTCATAGCGTCCCAGAGATTTTGGTAAGCTATATCTCTATTTTCATTTACCTCTAAGTATCTTTTATTTCATCACTGATTTATTCTGTTATCAAGGTCATTCATTTGCATATTATTTAGTCTTCATGTGATAGTGTAGCTTCTATTTTTTTATTTTATCATTGATTTCTAATTCCATTCCATTATGACATAATACAAAGCAAAGCATTCTCTTTTTCTTTGTATTTGCTAAGAGTTGCTTTGTGGCCTATGATATGATCTATTTTAAAGAAAGATCCATGTGCTTCTGAGAAGAAAGTGTATTCAGTCCTATATGGTTGAAACATTATATGTCTAAATAATTAATAATATTTTTTTAGTTCTATAATGTCTTTGTTAACTTTTGTTTGGAGGATCAATACAGGGTGAGAGAGGTTTGTTGAAGTCACCCATCATTATTGTGTTGCAGTCTATTTGATTCCTGAAATTGAGAAGGAATTGTTTTGGTGTACATCAATGCTCCATTTGGGGGGCATAAATATTTATGATTGCTATGTCTTGTTGATATATAATTCTCTTAAGCAGCATTAAATGTACTTCTTTGTCCATTCTGATTAACTTTAGCTTCAAGTCCACTTTATCTGATATGAAGATAGAGACTCCTACTGGTTTAGAGTTCCTTATGAATGATATGGTTTTTTTTCCTCATTCTTTTAACTTAAGTCTTTTAACCTTAAGTATATTTTTGCCTATGAAGTGAGTCTCTTAGAGACAGCATATTGTTGGGTCTTATTTTTTCAATCCAATCTGCTAGTCTATGTCTTTTGATGGATGAGTTTAGGCCATTTGTATTCAATGTTATTATTGAGAAATTTTTATTCCCTGTCATTTTGATTTCTTTCTGGTTTTTAATTTGAATTAGCTTCTGCTTTGATTGCCTGTTCTTCTAGTGTAGTTCTTCTCTCTGCTGGTTTTCACATTTATTTTTCATTTCTTCTTCATGACATATTTTATTGAGTATGCTTTGTAGTATAGGTTTTCTAGTTGTGGATTCTTTTAACTTTTGTTTATCATGGAAGATTTTTATTTCATAATCCATTCTGAAGCTAAATATTGCTGGACATAGTATTCTTGAGTGGCATCCATTTTCTTTCAGAGCTTGATATATATTATTCCAAGCACGCCTAGCTTTGAGGGTCTGGGTTGAGAAATCATCTGAGATCGAGATTGATTTACCTCAAAATGTTACTTGTCATTTTTCTCTGGCAGATTTTAAAATTCTATCCTTATTCTGTATGTTAGGCATTTTCCTAATAATGTGCTTTGGTGTGGGTCTGTTGCGATATATTTTTTTAAATATTTGGAGTCCTGCAAGCCTCTGTATTTGAATTTCCATTTCATTCTTTAGGTTTGGGAAATTTTGTGATATTATTTTTTTGAAAATATTGTATATTCCTTTGGTTTGTATCTCTGAGACTTCATCTATCCCAGTAAATCTTAAATTTGGTCTTTTGAGGTTATCCCATATTTCTTTGAAGTTCTGTTCATGGTCTTTTAACGTATTTTCTCCGCAATTAACATTATTTTCAAGAGTTTGTATTTTGCCTTCATTGCCTGAAAATCTGTCTTCCAAATGATCTAGTCTGTTAGTGATGCTTTCCATTGAATTTTTAATTTGGTTTATTAATTCCTTCATTTCAAGGATTTCTGTCTGGTTTCTTTTCAGAATCTCTATCTCTTTATTGACGTGATCTTTCACTTTCTGAATTTTCTCTGGGATTTTACTCCTTATATTGTCCTTCATCTCATAGATCAGTTTAACTATGTATGTTCTAAACTCCTCCTCTGACATTTTTTCCAGTGTGGTGCCCATGGATTCTATTATTGGAGTATCTTGGTTTGTTTGGGGTAATTTTTTCCCTTGCTTTTTCATAATGTTTGTGTGTCTACCCATCTAACAGTATGAATCCGAGGCAGTAGAGTTTCTGTCCTATAAAATTATTGTGTCTATGAAGGTTTCCGGTACCTTGTCATTTAGTGGGATACAAATAATATCAACAACCAATGCAAACAATATACAGCATTAAACTAAATATTTCCTGCTATAACATCTACAATGATAACTGTCACAATAAACAGAAATGATATGATCAGTTATTGTGTACAATAAAACAGTAAGTTTGCAAAAGGGTTTATAATTTTGAATGGTAGACAGGGAGAGAACAGAAGTGATATAGGATGTGATGATTATGAGGGAGTAGGAGAATATAGAAGTAAAAACTAATGAAAGTATAAAAGAAAAAAATAGAGACTGCCTATCAATGGTAGAAAAGAGAAAGAACTTCAAGGGAAACAGGTGAAAGGAAAAAATGTGAAAAATTAAAATAAAAAATATAAAACTGAAATATACTAACAAAACAATACAGTCCTCATAAAACTGATCTGTGAAAAATAACTGGCTTCAATAATGCTAGAAATGAGAAAGATACAACTATGAATGTGTAAATGTCCATGAATCATTAAGGTTACACTTAAACAGATAAAAGAGAAAAAAAGATATTGATGAAAGTTAAAGAATTGCTTCCATTGGAGTTCTAAAGATTTTCAGCTTCCCTTCTCAGCAGTGTTAGGGGGGTTGTCTGGTGTATGATGCTTGCTCGGCCCTCAGGGTGGGGTTGCTAGGGAGTTAATCCTGTAGGTAGAACTCTTGGAAGTGGGGTTTAGGCTTAGGTAGGCTCTAGGCTCTGTGCTAAATGCCAGTTGGTCTGGAGATTTTAAATTAGCACACTTCCAGGGCCCAGCAATTGCTGTTCCACGCTGGAAGACTGCACCCCATGGATCTCCTCTGGGTTCCACTAGTGTCATCGTGGAGCCAAATGTTAGGCCACTATGTCATCTGCAGACCCCACATTTCCTAGTCTCAACTCAGTCACTAAACCCAATCTCTCCTGTCGCCACCCCTTGAATTTCCAGCCAGGTCCTGCAGCAGCCAGATTGCAGTGGGAGGGGGAGAGTCAGGTGGGTTTCCATAACCAATATTCCTCTGTGTAAATCTCTTCACATTTGCTTTTCTCCTGGTAGGAACACTCTATGTCATGCAGAGTGGGTTTGCCAGGCCTGTATTTTGAGGCAAACTTGGGTTTGCCAGGCATCAGTTCCCCCAGTTTCCAGCCTCCACACTGTGGCTGCAAAATGGTTCCTTCCTCTATCCTCTGCACACAGCTGAGAGAGATGGGGATTCTTTCCTGCACAAGGATATTGTGCAGCACACCTTTCAATTTAGTTGGGTGTTCTCTTTGATCTCTAAACTCTCTGTATTCAGACACACCTCAGAACTCCTAAAAATGCAAGTTCCTTTAATTTCCTTATCCCTCCACTTTGCTCATGGAGGGTCCACTCTGGTTTATGCTTCCAGCCACAGCAGTGACTGAGGCCCTCGGATTTCTTCCTTATTTTATTAAATTGAACCTCCAGAGTCCCCCATCCACTTTGAATGTTCAGTATTAAATTCCAGTAAAGTCCCTCCCTGAACTTTTTATTTATTTATTTTTGGCTCACCCACTTTGCTGAGAAGTTTCCTAAATGCTTTTTTAGTTTCATGCCACTGAGCAGCCAGGAAAACAACCTTCTTTATACTGCCATCTGGAAACCTCCCTCAGAAATTTTTTCTAATTGACTTTTCTACATTGTTGAATTTTCCCCCTATACTCTTAATTCTTCCCTGTTGTTTGTTGGATCTCCTGAACTGGTCCTCTCTAAGCTACCTCAGTCTTTTTTCTCTAGTTTTAGAGAGACTTCAACTTTATCTTGAAACATTTTTTTTTACATATTTTTAATTTCCAGAAACACTAATGTCCCAAATGTTCCTTTTAAATATCTTGTTCTTATTCTGTGGGTGCAACAGTTATTCTTAACTCTTTGAAGATATTGATGGTTTCCTTGATGCTTTAGTTTCTTGCAGACCGATCCTCTGTTGTGTGTTTTGGCCCATATCTTGTGCTCCACCGTGGAGCTAATTGGAAGCTCTATGCTGAATAGGGCAAAATTCTTGATTTTGAGCTTTACACAAACTAGAATGCTTCATTAGGGTACCCCCAATGTCCGTACTTAAGAACTTTCATGTTGGGAAGTTGGGTTCTCCAGAAAACAATCTTCCAGCTCCCTGCCTGACGGTAAAACCCTGGGTACCAGTGTTAGGAACTAGAAAGAGGAATAAGGTCGAGAGAACTCAGAAACCTACATGTACCCAGACTTTTGTGTATATCCATGAGATAGTCTTCACCAACTCTCTGTATAATTCCAATTCACAGAACCTTTGTTTACCTCTCTCTAGATATTCAACCTGATTATCTTTCACCACAGTGGTTATAGGGAAGGTGCTCTGCTGGCCAGAGGGGATTGAATCTATGGCTCTGTCATGTTTTCAGATTCCAACTATCTTCATGCTCTCATGCCTATCTTCAGCTCTACTTCTAGAGGCACCAGTATTAAGCCTTTGAGACTTTGTGGCACAACCTAGGTTGCTTCTAGCTCCTTTTTACATCCTGTTTCAGGGTCCAGCTTTCTCAGGTCTTAGTCATTTAGCATGAATCCTTTTACTTTCCTGCTTTCAAAATGTTGCTATTATAACCTCTTCTGTTTGCCCTTGTAGACTCATCTCTTCTTAAAAAATACCTTTGACATTTTAGTTGGATTTAGAGATGGAGTGAAGGTAAATGCATGTGTTTAATCCCCATCTTTTAATTGAGTGTTAAGAAAAGTATTTTCAATGTAAATTTGCTCTTTTCCTACTAGGAAAGCCGGGTTAGTAAAGCAGTTGAAGTGATGATTCAGCATGTAGAAAACTTGAAGAGAATGTATGCCAAAGAGCATGCTGAATTAGAAGAACTGAAACAGGTTCTCTTGCAGAATGAAAGGTCTTTTAACCCTCTTGAAGATGAAGGTAATAAAACTTGAAGATCACAGTATTAGTCACATTTTTCTCTCATTCTCTTCTTTCATACTCTTACTGTATTGTGTGTTTAGAATAAGACCCTTAGGTAAGACTATATTGGAAAAATAACTTACTCCTATTATTTATATAGACAAAAGTAAAGTGTCAGAAAATAGATTAGAAGCCACAGAAGATTTCATTGATAATGACACCAAAAATTTACTAAATCAATTTAGATTGCTGAGATGAGAGAATATATTTAATCTACTGTATTGACAGTAGTTGTCTTTTCAGGATATGTAAGAATTGGCTCTTTTCCCACACATAAGTAAGATACAATAGCTTAAATGAGCCACTCTCATCAATAATGATTTTGAATTCCTCAGAGGAGGAAAGATCTTGGCTTTCAAAAAGCCAACTGATTGGAAAATGGACAGATGGAGGCCATGGGAAATATTTTAACATATAGTTTTTATAAATCTTATAATGATTTTTTCATTAAACAGTGTGAACATTTCTAAGTAGAATTCTTATTTTACTGATGTTCCTTCTGGAAATGTAATCATATTTGATGCTCTTCTAATCTGCACTCATGGATTCCTTTATTCAGCAGACAGTCCTTTTGTGGCTGCCATATGCTTGTAGGCTTTGTGAACATCTACAGTGACATGGAAGACTGTTTTCCATTGGTGAAGATGGTAACTGTTATGAATCACCAAATAAATGATAAACGGTTTTTATATTGCTCAATAGTCTCTAGAGTCTTAAATATTTTCTGACCTTTGCTTTACTTGTAAAAAATGAAAACAACTGTTTTAACATTAATCGCATGTGTGATTTCTAACATGTGCAAATATTTTTCCTTGTAGATGACTGCCAGATTAAAAAACGTTCAGCTTCTCTGAACTCCAAGGTAATCACTAATTCACTTGATAAATCATTTAATGAATATATTATAACCAAAGTGGCTTTAAAATATTCTTTGAAGTTATGTGCCTTTAAATGTAAACCACAAATCAGTGATTATACTTCATATGCATGTATATATGTGTGACATTATTTACATATAGTTTAGAAAGTATGTTTTTATACTTCCTGCTTTATTTGGATATCAATCAAGTTTGTCTGGCAATATGAGAAAAGCCAGTTTTGCAATATTTTCTATCATATGAACCAAATTTGGAAATAGGCAATGTGATAGTAGTAAGGCAGACTGACAAAATCCTCCTTTCTTGCTGCTTTGCTACTCTCAGCCCTTGGCTTCATCCTCATGTAAGGTTGCTACTTTAGATCCAGTCACCAACGCCTCACCATTATGTCGAGTCATTGCAAGGAAATAAAAGAATCAAAGACCAGCATTTCCTCTCCCTGAAAAGACCCTTTTTAAAGTCCACCATGGCATTTCTCTTTCCATCAATGGTGAAAAATTAAACTAGAAAATATGGTTTTTCCTCTGGAAGTTATATGCCTTGTTAAAAAATCAGTCATAATAAGGAGAGGAGAATAGGATATTGAAGATCAGTTAGTGGTTTTTACCACAGCTTCAATATTTTGAGCAAGTGACTTTAAATTTTTCCATCTAAATATTTTTCAGAGAAACACAGAAAGTTATCAGAAACCAGGTTGCTCAAACTGGAATTTGATAATCTTGGGGTGCTCAACTAACCAGTGAAATTCAATTACAGATGACAGTTTAAGGACTCACAAGAAACCTCTAGTTTATTTACTGCATTTAAAATATTTTTATATCTTTTAAGTTGCATTTAATTAAACCACATAATACTAAATATTATTTCCAGCACAAGTCTCAAGGCAGATATATAAACACATCTATTCTTTAAAATATCATGAAAACTTACTCTTGTAGAATCAAAAAACTGTAATCTCACAAAAGTTGAAAGTGGAATGGTGGTTACCAGAGACTGTGGAGAATGGGTGAGGGGTGTTGATCAATAGGCACTAAGCTACAATTAGATAGGAGCAAGAAGTTCCAGTGTGTGGTTGCACAGTAGGGAGACTATAGCTAACAGAAAAGTACAGTGCATTTCAAAAACCTAAAGGATTTCTGAAAATTTTCACCAAGGAAGGATGTTTAAGGAGACAGTTTAACCTGATTTAAAAATTACATAATACGTACATGCATCAAAACATTGCTTTTTCTTGTGTATATATGTATAATCTTTATGTAACAGTTAAATTTAATTAAAAAATCATGAAATCCTAAGTATATTTTAAAAAATGAAATTAAAGAAACCATAACTGTAGGTGCCTATTTATCTCCTCTTGAATTAAGAAACTATTTTTAAGCATAAAAACAAAGATAACAAAACAGAAGAATGCATTTGGCTGGACTAACAATGAAAACATTTTCTTCCATAGAAATAAAACATGAGCAAAGGTCACAGGCATAAACAAGCCATTCTCAGAACAAATATGTACTTCCAACATAGGAAAACAACACTCCATGTTACTAGGAGCCAAATAAATGAAAACTCAAGAAGTTTTATATCCCTTGTCTTATTGGCAAGGATTATAATCAGTATTGGAGAAAGTAGAATATAAATTGGCAAAATATTTCTGAAATGCAATTTGCCCATAAAAAATCTTTTAGAATGTCTCCTGTTCAACTCAGTAGTAGTTAAGGGTATAGATGTGTATGTTACATGCATATGTATCAGTGTTGTATGTAGGGAACAAATATTAAGAATTTTCTAAATGTACACTTATCCCCTTTGGGTAGCCATCTTCTCTACGAAGAGTGACTATTGCTTCTTTACCCAGAAATATTGGAAATGCAGCAATGGTAAGTGTTCTTAATCAAAAGCACATTCATTTTTATGTAACAAAATATAACTTCACTAAATACATATTATTGTTTAACATCTGAAATTCTAAAGGTTGCTGGGATGGAAAATAATGACAGATTCAGCAGGAGGTCCAGCAGTTGGTGAGTGTGATTTTTGTGGTTTCACTTTTGGAACCTCACTGTTTTATAATGGGGTAAAGTAAATAAGCATTTGAAATAGTAGTGCAACTTCTAATTTGTCCAGAGCATAAATAAATATAAAAAACTAGCATATGTTGATTTTTATTAAGAAATAAGAGTTATGTGAATGTGCCAAAGAAAAAATTAGAAAATATAATTTTTGTTTTGATTTAAACTGTAGGAAATAATTTACAATGGCTACAGATATGTTTATTTTGATATGTGGCTATTGTCTTCTTTGCTTAGGCGTATTTTGGGGTCAAAGCAGAGTGAACACCGTCCCTCATTACATCGATTTATTAGCACCTATTCCTGGGCAGATGCTGAAGATGAAAAATGTGAACTGAAGTAAGTGCATTTACTAACGTGACATAAGCTGGGGCATAACAATGGGGACCACAGTAGTTCCATGAAAATGAGATTGATGCTGCCTCAAAAATATAGTTAATTGTGGAAGATTTTTATCACCCCTAAAGCACTCTATGAAAATTATCTGTGAATACATTCACTCTTCTAGCATCATAATGGGAAGGTTTGTGGTTAGAAAAATCCTTAAATTTTGTCCAATTGGCAAAGATCATTTTTTTTTTCCTGTTTAGGTGTTTGTCCTTGGGGAAAAGTCAATAAAGAGCCACAGAAGTAAAATCTTCATCTAATTAGATTTTAAAAAAATTATACTGTATGCTGTTTAAATACATAAAATGAGTCCCACTATCCTGCATAATTACAATGTACCAATTAAATTTTTAGAACATGAAGTGTATGTGTGTGTGTGTGTGTGTGTTTGTGTGTTCATGAAAGATAGGAATATATGTGCCTCCATCCATTTATATAAATGAAGAGGAGGGAAAATAAACTATACTATTGTCTCTATATCCATCAAATTAAACAAAATATACTGTTTACTTCTATAGTGAAGGTAGAGGACAAGGAGGAGAAAAGTGAAGAAATGCTGCCTCTGTCCTTGCAAGACAGCAGACAAACTGCTTAAGATTACTTGGTCTTAGTTTTCTCATCTGTTAGTTGAGAGATCTTAATGAAATATTTTATGGTCATTTTGAAATACCTCCCATGGGATTATCCTCAATCCTAAGCAATATAAAGACAATCTGACATTGTTGCCTACCCTCAGATTCTTTTTATTTTTCTAACTCCTGGGAGGCCTGTTACAAACAGGGTGGGGAAAAAAGAGGTTCCTTCAAAAGATTGAAAACTAAGAAGTCTTTGAAAACAAAATATTGGTTCATGGAGAAAATTACAATTGATTTTGCCTTTGGGGCCTTGTTTCCTTTATATTTCCTGTAGATGTGTGACTGGAAAAAAATGTTTAAAAATTAAAACACAGTTTCCTTTGGCAATTGTGAGGGCATAACATATTTAGGATTTAAAAGTTCAAATCCAGCTAGGAACCTTTAGTGAACATTATAATCATAAAACAATTAGGTTTCATTCAGGTGCAGGAAATATAGTCAAGTCATATGCTATTCTCCAATACATTGAATATTAGTTTAATTAGCTTAGCATTGAAAATATTTTCATGAACATTTTAAGATTTTCAGATAAAGAGAAGAAATGACACTTCATTTTACTCCAAGCAATGATAAATTTTTTCACCATATTTCAAATGAAAAAAATTATATGTAGGTCATTTATCCTCTTTGTAAAGTATGATTAAAGATAGTATCTATATCTATATATCTATCTATCTACATATATATATGATGTAAGTTGAGAAAGAAATTGCAGTGATAACATTAGTTAATTATGTTTTTGTCTATTTCTTTGTTTTGTGTGCCTTGGTTATTATCTCTGCTTTTTATATGAGCATTTACTATTTTTCTATATAGAAGAAGTTATTTTTATCACCAAATTTATAGAAATTTGATTTTTGGATATCAAATCTTCATTAAGCAAGACAAATATTCATGCACCCCTTGAGTTACACAGCAAATCAGCAATATTTTATAAGTTATAGCATATTATAATTAGTTTCAATATTTAAAAACAATATTTATTCACAGAACTAAAGATGACTCAGAACCTCCTGAAGAAGAAATAGTAGAAAGAACAAGGAAGACAAGCCTTTCTGAAAAGAAAACTAATCCATCAAAGTGGGACATCTCTTCCATGTAAGTTGCCTGCTTGCTAAATGATACCACATGAGGGGAAGGGGAAAGGGAAAGGCAGGATTAATAGTCCTAATCAAATTCCTTTACTAAAAGACATGCCAAATTGTTCAATATACGATGAATAACAAACTTAACTATTGTAGTAGATCATATAAAGTTTGTTATCCCTGAACATATTTTACAAGAGGCAGAAGAGTTGACAATGTTAGGAACTTAATTCTGAAACCAGATAGCCTAGGCTCAAATTTCAGCTCTCTCACTAGCTGTGTGACCTGGGCAAGTACATCCATTTGTAAGCACTGGTGTCTTCATTTGGGAAATTGAGATGACAGCAGTACCTATGTCATTGTGTTGTCCTAATTAAATGAACTGTCACCTCTAAGATGTTTAGTTTCTTGTATTTCTAAAAAATAATTTTAGTGAGAAATGACATGTATATATACACATATATAAGACCATAAACATACAACCTGTTCTACCAAGTAAATATTTTGGTTCCACTGCAGGAGTAAAAGTTGCTTTACCTGATTGAAAGAATAAGTTGAATATGTGTATGTACTTTTTAGGAGTTAATGCCTAAACCACATAATTTCCAGGTTCTCAGCAGAGCATATGTAATTCTAAGGGGCAATGGGGGGGGGGGCACATTGTGGCCCAAACCAAGAGGATACATCATAGGGCAGCATTGTAGTGTGTAGGTCAGATCAATGACTTGATTAGTGCTGTTAGCAAAACGAGTGTTTCTAATAACAAATAATTATGCTTACCCACGTCTTTTTGTGTTTTCCTCATAGTTATGACACAATAGCTTCCTGGGCAACAAATCTCAAGACTTCCGTCAGGAAGGCTAACAAGGCCTTCTGGATTTCTGTGGTGTTCATTGTACTGTTCGCAGCTCTGATGAGCTTCCTCACAGGCCGATTTTTCCAAAAATCTGTGGATGCTGCCCCCACACAGGAAGGGGACTCCTGGCTATCTCTAGAACATATCTTGTGGCCATTTACCAGCCTCTGCCACAATGGGCCACCACCAGTGTGACCAGTGATCCAGTGACCAGTGAATCACCAGTGTGATGTAGTGCATCCTGATATCTTGATTTTTAATGTTTCAGTATCTGAACTTAATAAATTAGTAACTTTTAGTAAGGAAAGTATAGTACAAAACCAGAGGTTCTTAGAACAACTGTAAAATGTTTTACATTCCCATTTTTTGCAATCACCTTCCCAACTAAACTAAAGGGAGAAGAATTTGCCTATATTTTAATGAGCTCTTTGAGAAAGAAATATATATTGTTTTGCTAAAACTTATCTAAATAAAGATCCATTTAAATATTCATACAGTGAAAGCTAAATTCTCAATAGCCCAAAGAAAAAAGCCTACTTTGTTTAAAATAAAATTTGAATACAAAATACTATTCAATAATTTTAATAGCCTGTTTTAAAATTATTCACTTTGAAAAATACCTGATTGTTTTCCCCAAACATGTTTGATTCTTCACATTGAATAGTTTGCAAGTAGAGATTTAAGAATAGCTGAGAAATCTAATAGAGAGTAGCATATGACAAACAGAGTCAATAAATAGGCAGTTGGAATTATTGATTTTCTCCATTGCTTCCCTGGAAGCAACATCCTTCAACATGTGATATAGAGTGGAATGAAACTCAGTTCCTTCTTTAAGTGCTTCTGAGTATGAATCACTGTTTTCATCCATCTTGAGTCTTTGTGCTCTGTCACCACTAAACATTAAAAGGACCCACTTAGGATTCTCAATAAGCTCTTCAGTTGGTTGTTCCCTTGCCTAAAGAAAATTAGCAAAATCTGTTAGCAGTTCTTCTCTTATTAAGGACTTTTGTAGTTGAGTATTATTTGAATTATTTTTAAACCATGAAACTTTATTTATGGAGCTTATTCACATTAATTGAGGCAAAAATATTGAGTGCCTATCATGTTCCAGGTACTGTTCTAGGTGGTGGGGATGTAACAGTAAAATGCAGGGGGGAGATAACCCACATATATTAATAACCGGAGCAACAAAACTCTGCCCTCAAGGAGCTTATATTTGAGTGAAGGAAATAAGAATAATAATTTGTGCTAAAATATTCATCAGTCAGAGACTGGGAGTGTAGCTCAATGGTAGAATTTACTTGCCTAGTATGCATGAGGCCCTGAATTTGATCCCCAGCACTTCAACTTTTAGGATTTGATAAACTGTATCTGTCAGACAATAGTAAATGTATCAGTAGAAAGTTAAATTGGAAGCTTAATCCTCTCAGGAGCCTGTGAAATATATATATATATATATATATATATATTTCCCCAGATTCATTTTTAGCTAAATTCTTCACTTTCAAGCTTTATTTATGTCTGACCTCCTGAGTCCTCCTTCCCAGCACCCTCCTGGATACTATACACTGCCCAACCCCAAGCCCCACTATTCCTGTTTTTTTTCTTTTTACATAACACTTTCACCTTTTTAGTGTGTGTGTGTGTGTGTGTATATATATATATTTAATGTTAAAGGCTTTCATTTGTTTTTAAATCAATGTAAAGAGCACTGGCTTAGCACACTCGAGACCCTGGGTTCGATCCTCAGCACCGCATAAAAACAAATAAACAAAATAAACGTATTGTGTACAACTAAAAAATAAATATATATATAAAAAAGAGGTATATGAAGTCATGAACATTTGATACCATAATGGACCACAACGTCATTACCTTTAAATAGGTAGGTCTTATATTTTTGATTATTTTTGAAGGTTGATTTTATTAACCTTTGTAAGAGGAGAAGTCATGTCTACAGTTACCTAGTTTTTGAGTATCTATTTTGGAAAACAAAGTTTTATTGGCTTTGCATACTATACCTTAAATATAACTTTTGTAGTATTACATACTATATTCCACTTGCTCCATCCAAATGCAAAAGCAGAACTTAGCAGGGCCATTTGTCGATAAGCTCTCATTTCTACTGATGGATTCTGTAAATACAAACAGAACTGACCTTGGAGCCTCCCAACAAATCTCCCTTCCATCCTTAACACATAAGGATTCATTTAAAAATTTAAGTCAGATTATATGACTTCTCTATTAAAATTTAACAATGGATTTCTTCACTTTCTGAGTAGAATCCAAAGTTGTTGATGTCTACACAGGTCATCTGTGATCTGCCTCTACCACTACATATTACCACCCCCCCCTCCCCATCAGCCATCTGGCCTTATCTCCTCCTCTTCCTTTTCTCTCTCAGTTCCAGGCTTCTTGCCCCTGGTCCAGTCCTGGCTATTCCTTCAGAGTTATTGCTCCAGCTGTTCTCTCTGCCTGGAAGCTGTTTCCCCAGATCCATTTTTAGCTAAATTCCACACCATCAAGCTTTACTCATGTCTGACCTCCTGAGTCTTCCTTCCCAGCACCTTCCTTGATACTGTACTGCCCAACCCTACTATTCCTGATCTGTTTATTTTTTTTTCCTTTTTACATAACACTTTACACCTTTTTAATTTACATGACCATCCTATTTTTCTTTCCCTCTAAAGAATATAAGCTTTAAAGGGGCAGGGGGCTTTGGTTTACTCATTTTTCCTAATATTTAAATCAATGCCCCTACCATATAAGTGTTCAGGAAAAAAAATTGACTATTCTGAAAACAAATAGGATACCACATTTGTCATAGTAGTTACTACAGGTAATTTGAGTTAACATTTTTTTCTATGCCTACAGTTAGATACCTTTTGCTAGATGAGTATTGCCAAATGTTATATAAATGGCTACATATTTTGTTTACTATTTTCTAGGGTATTCATAAACACATTCTGAAGCATGTAACTCTTCTGCCTACAAAGACATTTATTACAAAGACAATTTATTAGAAGCACTTGTGTCTTCATGTATCACAACTGTTTACTAAGCATTTTATTCTAGGAATATGCTAGGTGCTAGAAGAACCAAAATTATTAAAAAAAAAAAAAAAAAAAAAAAAAAAGCTGCTGTCCTCGTGGCTGTCCCAGGTTAGTGTGGAGGGATCTTATTTAAACCCTATGAGTAACAGAAAGGAGCACATAGAAATGGAGGCTCTTCCAAGAAACCAAGGAAAGTGGCTTAGTATATTAAAGGGCTTTTTATATGTTTAATTTTGTGTTTGAGACAGTGCAGAGTTACTCTCTTAAGAAATCTTAATAGTCATGGAAAAGGAAAGAAAATATGCGAAATGAGAAGTAGCCTGGACAATTTTTGCACTAAACTGACAGGCCATGATGTGCTATAATTGCCAATATGAAGATCATGCTATAGATTTAATTCTTGGGGGAGATTATTACATACTTGAAAAGACTCTGGACGTCTCATTTCTTCACTTATTCTTCCTTTCTAAATTTAATCTTGTGTAGCTGAATCTATAAAACTCACATTGCACCTTAGGACTTATATTAAATTAAATATTTGCCAACATTCTAAATGTATGCTACATTAAATTTGGAAAGATTCCTTCATACCTTATTGTTTGTAACAACATAAAAATGAGAGTGTCCCGATGGGAAGATATTCAATCCAGCTTCTTTCAGAGCAAAAATGAAAGATATAGGACTCATCCATTTTCCTTCCAAATTAGAAACATGTTCTTTGTCTTTTATTTTGATTGAAATTAACTTGCAGAGGTTTTCCTGAGTTAAAATAAGAAAAAGAAAAACTTTGATAGAAAGTGAAAGAAATTACTCCAGTACCATTCCGGGTCCAGTCCTTATGTTCATTCTATAGATTTTTTAAAAACCTACCAGTATATTAAAAAGAGTGCAGGGCAGGTATGTTTTAGATCTAATCTGAAATGGTACCACAAAGTCCTCATGTTACCTTAAATCAATTTACTCTCTATAGGCTTCATTTGAATAATCAATTGGACTACAGATCCTCAAATCCTCTCCTATTTTATGTTATCATATGAAAATATAAAGTATGTTCACATTGAAATTAAAACAGCTACAAAAGCCAGGTAGGTGCATGCCTATAATCCCAGCTGCTCAGGAAGCTGAGACAGGAGGATTGTGAGTTCAAAGCCAGCCTAAGGAACACCGAGGCACTAAGCAACTCAGTGAGAACATGTTTCTAAATGAAACACAAAATAGGGCTGGGGATGTGGCTCAGTGGTTGACAGCCCCCAAGCTCAGTCCCCAGTACCAAAAACAAACAAACAAAAAAGCAAAAAACTATGAAACCATGACTGTAATTTTAGAGATTAATCTTAATTATTTAACGTGAAAGTTAATGATATAAATCCACCAGTTTTAAGGTTTGGCAAACTGGCAATTTGAAGATGTATTGAGTTCACATCTCAAAAGTTTTTTCCTAAAGGTTAATATATCCTATTTAGCCCAATATGTCTAAAATTTTTCAATACATAATCAGTATAAAATTATTGAGACAATTTGCATTTTTATACTAAGTATTCAAAATCTGATATGTATTTTACAACTATAGCACATGTTAATTTGGACTAGTCACATTTCAAGAGCTCAGTAGAATAACTAGTACATTATATAGTACAGATGTACCTTTAAAATCTGACTTGAAAATGCACTCTACAACCCTTGGCATTTCAGTCTTCATATTCAAAAATGGACACTGAAAGTGTTCATAACTTTCCATCAGCCTAGAGTAAGAGTATGCTCAGGAATCTTCAGTGCTGCTGGGATGGCATAAGCACAATAGCACCAAATGGGTTGGAAGCCCTGACAGGAAGCCCCCATTATAACCCTCTATGCAATCTTAGGAAGGTCACTTAACCTCCTGATGCGTTGGGCCTCAGTTTACCCCCATATAAAATGTGATGGTGTATCAGAAATATTTTAAGGGCCATTACAGCATTGACAGTCCAGAGTGCTCTCTCATCCCATCTTGTTTAAAAAGCAAAGCTTGATAATATTTTGATTTTTCTACAATACTCATAAGGAAGTCTAAAGAATCTTAAAAAAACTTCATTGAAATATATTTTACATATCATAAAATCCACTCATTTCACGTATAGAATCCAATGATTTTTAGTAGTAAAACTATCACATAAATCAGTTTTAGAACATTTTCATCCCACCTAATAAAATCCCTTACACTCATTTTTAATTAATCTTCATTCTCAGCCCCAGGCAGCCACTAATCCACTTGTGGCTTTATAAATTTCAGGCTGTGTAATTTCTGACTGATAAGCAATTAAGTCTCATTCAGAGGGAGACCCAACTCCAAGGGGATTACATATGGTTGGATGATACCACAAGTCATACCACAACCAGACTTGTTGGTCCATTAATTTATCTAACCCTAGTAACTTTAGGGTACATATTTGAACCTCACTACTTACATGTCATTGCATGTTTATTCAATCAATATCTTATTTAGAAACAATGACTCAGAACAAAGTCTGGATGTAATCACAAAAGACAATATATAAACCAGTGGTGATTTTTTGACATACTTATATGCACAGACTTGCTATAATAGTAACTCACCTTAATTTGTATCTGAATCTCAGTAAATAGTGTAGTCACAATTAAAAGTACATTATTAATTTCAAGTGGTTTTAATTCCCATGACAGGAATGGCATGTTAACATGAGAGTCTTGAATCAAGGTAAGAGGACCAAAAGTTTCCAGGCTGAATGATATAAGTCTTGCTTCTGCATCGTAAGATACATTACTGATGCCATCAGTTCTCCAACGTTTACCTTTATAGTGAAGGAAGAAAGTGATAATTTCATAAGATGAATTATCATAATTTCCTATGATAAGATGAATGAAACTATATAAATAATCACAGTGTGTATAAATTGATCTTTACGTTAAGAACAGAAGCTCAAAATTAAGCTAAATTTTCTGGGAGTTTCTGTGCTGCTAGGATCAAGTCAAAACTCTGCAGTGTGGGCTGTTAAGACCTTCAGAGTAGACCTTTGACACTGACTTTGTCCCTTGATATTTCTCACACCTGTTTTCAGCCCCATTTTTCTTTTTTTTTTTTTAATTTTTTTTATTGGTTGTTCAAAACATTATAAAGCTCTTGACATATCATATTTCATACATTAGATTCAAGTTGGTTATGAACTCCCAATTTTACCCCAAATACAGATTGCAGAATCACATCGGTTACACATCCACATTTTTACATAATGCCCTATTAGTAACTGTTGTATTCTGCTACCTTTCCTATCCTCTACCATCCCCCCTCCCTCCCCTCCCATCTTCTCTCTCTACCCCATCCCCATTTTTCATTCTCTCCTGATGTTTACTTCTGTGTCTTTGCACATGTGGTTCGTTCTTCCTAGAATACTCCTCCTCAACATTTTAGAGAAACTCTCTTCACCTTTGTTTTAAAACAACTTTAAAATTCACCTGATTTTAGTAAATTGTTATTAAATTTAACCAGTTGTGTAACCATTATATAATCCAGTTATAGAACATTTTTATTTTTATCTCCCCCATATTAAGATCCCTATATATATATATATTTTTTTTTTGGTACTGGGGATGAAATCCAGGGGCACTTAACCACTGAGACACATCCCCAGCCCTTTTTTTATATTTTATTTAGAGACAGGGTCTTGCTGAGTTGCTTAGGGCCTTGCTAAATTGCTGAAGTTGGCTTTGAACTCACAATTCTCCTGCCTCAGCCTTCAGAGCTGCTGGGATTACAGGCATGTGCCACTGCACCTGGCCAAGATCCCTATGTCTATTTACAATTCATTCCCACCCTTCTGTCCCAGGCAGCTATTAATATACTTCTTGTCTCGAAAGATTTACCCTTTTGGGACTTTTCATATAAATGCAATCATACAATATGTGGTCTTCTGTTTCTCTTACAACTCAGTAAAAGCCAGTTTAAGATGGGAAAATGATGTGAATAAACATTTTGCCAAGGAAGATATATGTAAGACTAATAAGCATGTTTTACACTATTAGTCATTAGGGAAATACAAATTAAAACTGCAATGAGAGTTTACTTAATGTCTACCAGAAAGAAGACAGATAACCAATGTTGGCCAGGACATGGAGAAATGAAACCATACATTGCTAGTAGACATGGAAAATGGTACAGCACTTTGAAAAACAGTTTGGCAGTTTGTTAAAAAGCTACATGTAAAATTACTCCTCAATCCCACTCTTAGGTATACACCCAAGAGGACAGAAAATGCTTCCATGCACACATTTTCTTTGTGTCTAAAGCCCTGTTCCATGACCATCCTATGAGAAAGTCCCCCAAGGTCCCTGTTGTGTTCTGTGGCACTCCATGTCTATTCTAGCACCTACCACATGGCATGGAAATGTTTTCCCTGTGCACCTTTCCTACAAGTCTGAAAACCTCAAGAGGAAGGAACTACTCTCTTTTATCTCCATATATCTTATGGTTTAGCATATTTATAGGATGGATGAATAAACCATTCTCTTCCCAGATGTTATCTTCATTTCCAGTTGGTTCTTTCATCTTCTCACATGGAAGCTTCTATTGACTAGTTTTTGTTCTTAAAATCAAATAATAAATACATCTACACTGACAAATACTGCTACACTAGCAAAAATAATTTGTAAAGATAAAAATTATTGCCTATAAGTCTCCAAATTTTGAAGCACAAAAAGCTTCCCCAGAGTTTAAAATTTTCAGGGGTTGGAAGTTGTTGCTAATTAGTGCCATTACATAAATTCTACATAGTTCATATTTCCATAAATTGAGTTAGATAACTTGTCATTCTAATTTAGTGTGTATAATTTAAATGCAATTTTTAGGAGCATTTCTATGAATGTGACATCTCTAAAGCAACAAGAAAGAAGAAATTACATAATTGTTCAGTTTGATGTATTTTGTAGTTTAGTCTGTTAGAAATATACTTTTCCATGTAATAAACAACTTCTAGAACATAAATGTATGTGGCTGTGTCTACACAAGCAGAAATGTATGCACTGGAGTATTCATAAGAAAAGTTTAAACCACAAAATATTAATATTTACCTCTTTTGGTATGAGTTATTAAGTTCTCTGCCCCTGTAACAAAAATGGAATAAGAACTCTTTGCCTTAATGATCTTGTCTGTTCCCAAGTATGTAAATCCTTTCAAAATAAATGGATATAAAACAACCCTAAAACATAAAGCTCCACAGTTTTCATCTTGGTTCTTTATACTGTGCCCACAAATTTACCAGATGGAGATTTCCCAAAATTCAGCTAGCTTACCTCCAAAGAAGTATTTGGTAATGATTATCTAATCATTAGCTTCTATTTTTGTTGGTACATCTGATTTTATAGCTCTGTATTTTAATAGTGTGAGTAAGCAACAATTTGCTTTGGTTCAAGAATCAAAAATTGTAAAATGGTATACAGTAACCAGTTTTCCAATACTTGTTTGCAATTTATACATGATTAACATTAAAATAAAAGATTAATCACCTCAATCTGATTTTTTATGAGACAGTGGAAGTTATTTTATGAAGCATTTGAGATACTTTCATCCATTTTTAAACATAATGATATAACCATAAAGTAATTTAGGAACTAACAAAATTCAATAAACTTTAAAATTCCAACTCTATCCATTTGTATCAAGACCAAACAACAAAGACCGTATACCTGACATTATGAAAAGAGAAAATCAGTTTATAGACTATATTTTCTGTTCAATTTGAGGATTTATATTCTTGTCCCTCTTTTTATTACATACTTACAAAGGCTAGCTAAGCAAAGCAATTTTAAGCCAAAAAGCATTGCTGGAGACATCACAATACCTGACTTCAAATTATACTACAGAGATATAGTAACAAAAACTGCATGGTACTTGCATAAAAACACACAGACCAATGGTACAGAATAGAAGACAGAGACAAACACACTCAGATACAGTCATCTGATCCTTAACAAAGATACCAAAAACATACATGGGAGAAAAGACAACCTTTTTAACAAATGGTGAGGAGACAACTGGTTATCCATACGTAGAAGAATGAAATTAGACCCTTACCTCTCACTCTGTACAAAAATCAATTCAAAATAGATCAAAGACCTAGGAATTAGAAACTATGCAACTCCTAAATAAAACAGAGGAGTTTTCAGCACAGGCAACAACTTTCTCAGTAGGACCCTGAGAGTTAAGGAAATAATACCGAAAATTAATAAATGGGACAGCATCAAATTAAAAAGCTTCTGCACAGCAAAAGAAACAATTAGGAATATGAAGAGAGAACCCACAGAATGGGAAAACATCTTTATTAGTTATTATTCTGTCAGAGGATTAATATCTTGAAAACATAGAGAGCTCAAAAAAAAACCTTTACACCAAAAAATTAAACAACCCAATTAATAAATAGGCAAAAGAATTAAATAGACACTTCTCAAAAGAATAAATATAAATGGCTAACAAATATATGAAAAAATGTTTGACATCATTAGCAATTAGGGAAATGCAAATCAACTCCACTGAGACTTCATCTCACATCAGTCAGAATGGCACTCATCAAGAATACAAACAAAAATAAAGGCTGGAGGGGATGTAGAGAAAAAGGAGCAATTTTACACTGTCGGTGGAATTATAAATTGGTACATTTTCTATGGAAATCAGTGTGGAGGTTCTTCAAAAGACTAGGTATGGAATCACCACATGACCCAGCTATACCACTCCTTGTAATTTATCCTAAAGAATTAAAGTCATCTTATTTACAGTGATACCTGCATACCCATGTTCCTAGCAGCACAATTCACAATAGACAAACTATGGAACCAGCCTAGGTATCCATCAATGGGTGAATGGATAAAGAAAATGTGGTATATATGTACAATGAAGTCTTATTTCTTCAGAAAGAAAAATGAAATTATGTCATTTGCAGAAATGGATGGAACCAGAGACTATCACGTTAGGTGAAATAAGTCAGGCTCAGAGAGTTAAGGGTCATATGTTTTCTAGCATATATGGAAGTTAGAGAGAAAAAAGGAAAAGAAAGCTGGGGGTCAATCTCCTAAAATCAAAGGGAGATCAATAGAGGAAATGGGCCAAGGAGTGGGAAGTGGGGAGGGGGCGCGCAAGTGCTGGGGAATGATATTAGCCAAATTATATTGTTATGTCATGTGCATGTATGGATATGTAACAACAAATTCCATCAACATGTACAATTATAATGCACCAATAAAAATGTGGAAAAAAGAAGCTGGCTAAGGCATTGTTGTACCTTCAGCATCCCACCTTACAACCTTAGGATCCTCGAAAAAGATCACATTCTCATGAACCTTGAGCGTGACCTCTATAGGCGGAAAAGCATTTTCTGTATCAAAGTCTTCCATGGTTTCTGGAGGATATGTGAATTTCTGTAATCCTTCTTGGAGTATCTTTTAAAAATGACCAAAACACCACCATGTTAGAAAGTGACTAGTAACAGTTAAAGATGTAACTATTACTAAGTAAAATATATGGTTTAATAAGCACTGAAGTTTGGTCCCATTTAGCTGTAGCCTGACTAGTAAATGTCACAACAAAATTGAAAGATAAATGATTGAGGGAAAAAAAATCACTATAATTAACAGAACTTCCTATGGGCCAGGTTCTAGAGCTTCTCCAACATTTTATTCCTCAGAGAAATCCTACAATGCCAATATTTAACAGAGAAGGTAATTAAGACTTAGAGAAATCAAGCCATTTGCCAAAGTTTATGAGATGACTGCAAGGAAGTACCAGATCTACAGGACTCCAAATTACACACTAAAACCTCAGGAAGGACACATAGGTAAAAAGAAGTGTAGATAACCTTTCAAGAAGTATAGAAACGAGAGGGTGAAAGTAAAGCCAACAGCAGATTTTTCTAGGATAAGGGAGATTTGTGTATTTTAAGAATGTATCAGAGAAGCATCTAGGAAACGGGAAAATTTAAAATATCATAAAACAGAGAAACAGTGGTCGAGGCATGATTCTAGAGAAAGTAAGAAGTTGTTGAAAAAAATCTTGGGAAAAAAGGAGGAAGTCCTCTTTGTTGCAAGAGAAAGAAAAATGAGTGTGAAGGAGGATATTTTGGGTTCCAACCAGAGCAGGAAGTGAAGGTGGATGAGGACATTCTCATAAAACTCAAGCACATAAAATTTTTGATGGATAAATAGCTTTGAAGGCCTCCCTTTAACTACCCTGCTTTTTGGGTGGTTCCTCAAGTATGGAAAGAAGATTCAAATACATCCTTTGAAGAAATTACATACCAGATGATCTCTCCCAGGCTTGCTCTATTAAATGAACTCTTATTTGTGGGGAGAAAGGGGAAAGAATGGCAATATCAAAATTGGTTTTAAAATTTTGTTGGGGGGTGACAAGGAAAAAAAAGTGTCTTCTACAAAGGCTCCAAACTACAAAAAAAAAAAAAACAAAAACAAAACAAAACAAAAAAAAACGACCCACTGAGAAATACTTATTTAAACAATGCACCAAAGTCCTTAATGGATGGGATTGTGTGTGAGAAGTAACTGGTAGTCTGTGTATATACTGAGTTACTAGAAAGAGGGAGAAAGAGAAGGGAAAGGAGGGAGAGAAGAAAAATAGGAGTGGACTCTGACAGCATAACTTGGAATATATGGCAGTATGCTCTGGATGCAGTCACCATAAGGTTAAAAGAAACCAAGTCAATACCAGTGAAAATGTTATTACTTATAAAAGAGGAGTATGAAACTCCTTGAAAGATGATATAACAACTTCTGTCATCAGTATTCTTATCACTCCAAGCATGTTCTGTGAATGGCAGCACCAGTGTCACCTGAATCAGTGCTTCTCAAATGTTTATGTGCATGTGAATCATCTCTCAAATCCCTCTTGTCAAAATGAAGATTCAATAGATCTGAGATCACTCAAAATATGCATTTCTTAGATATCCCCTTGTGATGCCACCACAGCTGGTTCAGTGCTACTGGATCACATTTTATATAATTAAGATTCATACCAGTGATTCTCAAACTTCAGGGTGTGTTTTGTTAAAACACAGATTGCTGAGCCTCACCATTGGGGTTTCTGATTCAGTAACTTTGAGGTTCATGAATTCACATTTCTAGCAAATTCCCAGATGATGTCAGTGGTTTCTCATGTTTCTGTTCAATCACAGATCTAGATGAGTCTACAAACTGTGGCCCCTGAGAAATCCCTCCCGCCACTGCTTTTTGTAAATAAAATTGAAGTAGAACACAAACATGTGCATTTGTTTACACACAGTCATTTTAGCACTATAAAAGCAGTGTTGAGTGCTTTCAACAGAGCTAGTGTGGCCCACAAAGCTGAATATATTTACCATCTGGTCTTTCACAGAAAAAGTCTCCCAACCTCTGGTCTTAATATCATTATTAAGGCCAATTCAGTACTTTCAAACATGAGTGATATAGGTTTTTACAATTAAGTTAACATGTGAATTCTAATTTAAAAAATCATATTGTTTTAGAATCTGTTAATGTCCTTTAGTATTTGTTCTTTGTGATTAATAGTGTTCACAGTTTATTAGATGTTCAGATCATTCAATATGAAGTAAAGGCATAAGCAACTATTTTACTTATATTTATATTAAAGAATTTACTTACTTGCACAATCATCCAGCCCTTCACTGGCTTATACTGTGGGGGAAGCTCCAAAATATCCAAGTGGTACACTCCACCTAGAGTTGTGAATTGGCATAAATCCACCTCATTGTCTTCATAGATAAATGGCTTTTCAGTAGTATTCTCTATCAGGTATAACTGTGCTAGAGGTAAACAGATTGATACCATTTCTAAATAGGTCACAATATTTTTGTATTTTCTTAGGAGTGAAAAGAAAAAATTCTAATATCGATGAAGGAAGTTTTTATGTAAGTAGCTACTAAGATTTTGCAAAAAGTGCATAACTCAGAACTATTCACAGAGCTAATCATGGAGATGGGAATACACATGTGTGATGCTCAGGTGCAGGCTCCATTTATATTTGTATTTATATTTTCATACCAACATTTTAGGAATATGCATATGATAACCATGTGTTATTATTTTTAAAAATCTTATATAAAAGATAAAAATGGTTTGACACAAAATTTGATAATTATCAAACTATTTTTTTAATGTTGAACAAGTACTTATTGAGTTACTTCTTGCTGCTAGCCACTGGCTGGGGTTACAGCACAAAACTAAATAAGCAAAAAACTATGATCTTCATATTAGCTTTCCTAGGGGAGAGATAAATGAGTAAAATATCTATTATTTGTAAAACTGCTATGGAGAAAAATGAAAAACAAAGCCCTTTCATGAAGTGTTTCACTTTTTTAATAGGGTCCAAACTAATTTCTTAAAATTAAAAATAATGGGGCTAAAACTCCAAAAGAAAAAAAAAAGGTAAATGATAAAAAAGTAAATTTTGGTCCATGTATGAAATAAAAGTGAATTTTTTTCAATAAAAAGCGGCCCAGCTCATAGATAAATAGGGATGGAGGTTTGAAAAATGAAGAAACCAGATTGTATAATATCTATTTTTCCAAAATTCTATGGGAAATTCTATTATTTCCCTTATCCAGTACACAATCAGAGGCAATATTGGAAGTTACATATCACAAGGACTATTCCCACCCTTCACCAAAATGCTTCTAGAAGAAAAGTCAGACCACTTAAAGATTTCACATTTAATTAGCTATGTGACCTTATTCAAGACATGCTAAGTAACATCTTATGTGAGTTTTTTCAACTATAAAATGGATATAATAGTAGCAGCTAATAGAATTTGGCAGAAAAATGAGTTAATATACATAAAGAGTTGGTGCTAGACACATAGAGAAAGTGCAGGAACTGCTAGTATTATTTATTATCGAAGTTTTACTTTCCCATAAAAGAAAGCACACTAGGATGGCAGTAAATTTAATCTGTGGAAAGCATGTACTGAAAATTAATGGAAATAACCAAAGAAATTTTGAACTAAAATTTTTTTCCTGTGTACATTCATTGAATACATTGCAGTCTTCAATTTTTAAATGTATTCAATTAAAAATTTATTCACCTAAAAGGAAAGCAAGAAATATTCCTGTGGTTACATTTAGATCATTATGATATATATTATTTGGGAATCACTACATATAAAGCCATAGTATTATTGACAGAAGTTTAATAACTGACTGTAATATCCTATTTCTAGTAGAATTACCCAGTTAGGGTTATAGAAAATATAAATATATAAGCCCAGGTGATTGTTAAACCAAAGGTGTGTTAGAAAAAGTAAAAAAGTAGACAAGAGGCTCATCATGAAAAACATGCTTAGAAATATATAGAAAATAGGTTCTTTAAAGGTTATCAGGGAAGAAGAATACTGATACAAGTCATGGAAAAGATAGCTATGAATATCAAACTGAGGGATTGGGGGTTGTAACTCAGTGGTAGAATGCTCACCTAGCATGTGTGAGGTGCTGGGTTCGATCCTCAGCACCCACATGAAAAAATAAAATAAAATACAAGTATTGTGTCCAGCTATAGCTAACAAAATATTTTAAAAATATCAAACTGAAATATTGACAAATTAGCTGGGTTCATGCCTGTAATCCCAGTGACTTGAGAGGCTGAGGCAGGAGGATTACAAATTCAAAGCCAGCCTCAGCAATTTAATGACCCCCTAAGCAACTTAGCAAGACTCTATCTCAAAAATAACAAATAAAAAGGGCTGGAGATGTGCTCTGTGATAGAATGTCTCTGGGTTCAAACCCCAGTAATAAAAAAATAACTATTTTTTTAAAAAAAAGATCATTTTCACATATCCAATTGCTATTTGACAGGACAAGATTAAATACAAAAACTTATAGTCCCTCAAAAGTGTAGAGAAATTCCTGATGTGTATGTGTGCTTGTGAAAACTCACTGCATCACTGTGTATAAATAAAAAGTAGAAATAACTTTAATGCTATCAATAGGGATTTGAATAATGTTCTATTATTTGGTTGGAATTATACAGCTACTATAAAAAAGTGAAATTATCATATGTTCTTACTTAAAACAATGTTAATTATTTATTTACAATGTATATTGTGTTCTATGTATATCACATAATGTTAAGTGGAAAAAATAATTTTCAACTAAAATATTTGTATGATAGGATTCTATGATCTTATTAAAATCCAAAGAGACAGTAAATAAATCTATTAATACTGATTTTCTCAGGGAAGAAACTAAGAAAAATTTTTACTTTTATATATTTCTACAATGTCTGAAATGTCTGAAATGACCTTGTATTACTTTTGTAAGAAGAAAATCTCAATAAAGTCAAATTATGAAAATGTAATTTAGAATACCTGCTGAAATCGATTCACTTAATAATCTCATCTCCAGTTCACCTTTTTCAGCTTCAGAGTCTTTCTTGTCAGAAGTCTATTAAATAAATAAATAAATAAATAAATAAATAAATAAATAAATAAATACACAAGGACAGAGGGACATGACTGTTAGTGTCCTCTTGAGTTCAGAGTCATTTTCTTTCTGTTCCAATCCCCACTTCAGATGTCTGCTACCTTAATGCTAAGGCCCAAACATACACACTCTAGCATAACACTGGAACAATTATAGTATTTTTAAAAGCAATTAAAATGAGAGCACAACTCCACTGAACTTCACAAGAGCTCTCAACTAGAGTTCTTCTGCTTAGATTGTACTCTAAAAACAAGCACAAAATATAGAAACTAGGAAGCAAAGCAAGCTCTAAAATATATTACTTAGGATTTCGAGATGGCTAGATGGAAGTGCTGAGCACTCACTTCCTCCTTCACAAAGAAGAATCAAAGTAGAAGGTGTACAGCCACATTCTGAAGTGAGTGATCGTGGTAGAACACAGGAAAACAGCGAAAGAGAGACTGCAATCCTATAAGATTCATAGACCTGGGACAACAGATAGTAAGAGAAACAAAATATCCTTGGCATCTGCCACACTGACTTCAAAGCTGGGGGAGGGCATATATCCCCTTTGCAGGGGTAAAGGTGAAAGAGAGTCTTAACAAACTTTCAGTGTGGATGCTGACAATCCTAGCTACTCCAAAGTTCCAAAATCCTTACAGGTTTGTAGTCCGTTTAGATAAGTAACCTGAAGTCAACACAGCAGATTTTTTTAAATTATATTTATTTCTGTAAAATGAATAAATTATTTTCTGGCTCTTTGAGATGAAGGAGTTAATAAGTAAATTAATGGACAAAGGAAAGAATGAAATAAGGAAAATAACAAAAACAAGAAGAGTATAGAAAGAAAAAAATACCAATTTAAGATGAAAGAGAAAATTCTGGCATTCTCATCTATAAGTTGAGATACCGAAATTGCTTCCCAGAGTTATTTTAAGTTCATACTAAGACATGTGAAAATATAGCATAGCATAGGCTCTTAATAAATGTAAGTCCCACCCCTTCTCACCCCAGACAGTTTCCTTTCTTCTAAAATTAATACTGTAACATCCCCTCCTCCAGCTTTGAAGCCAGTGTGGCAGATGCCAAGGATATTTTGTTTCTCTTACTATCTGTTGTCCCAGGTCTATGAATCTTATAAGGTTGCAGGCTCTCATTGCTGTTTTCCTGTGTTCTACCATGATCACTCACTTCAAAATGTGAATATGCATGATTCATAATAATAATAACAACAATAATAATAATTGTGACCACTGCTTCCACCTTTATGGAGCCCTATTATGAGTTTCTATGCAAAGCAGTATGGAGATTCCTTGGAAAACTAGGAATGGAACCACCATTTGACCCACTATCCCTCTCCTCAGTCTATACTCAAAGGACTTAAAAACAGGGACACAGCCACATCAATATTTATAGCAGCATAATTCACAATAACTAAACTGTGGAACCAACCTAGATGCCCTACACTAGATGAATGGATGAAAAAAATGTGGCATATATATACAATGGAATATTACTCAGCAATAAAAGAGAATAAAATCACAGCATTTGCAGGTAAATGGATGGAGTTGGAGAACATAATGCTAAGTAAGGTAGCTAATCCCCAAAAAACAAATGCTGAATGTTTTCTCTGATATAAGGTGACTGACTCATAGTGGGGTAGGGAGGGGGAGCAGGGAAGGAATAGGCAAACTCTAGATAGGGCAGAGGGGTGGGAGGGGAAGGTGGTTAACAATGATGGTGGAATGTTATCCAAAGTACATGTAAGAAGACACAAATTGGTGTGAACATACTTTATATACAACCAGAGGTATGAAAAATTGTGCTCTACATGTGTAATATGAATTGTAATGCATTCCATTGTCATTTATTTTTAAAAAATCAATAAAAATAAATATATTACACTGAATGTTTTAGATAAATTATTTCTAGGACTAAAGGATATAACAACTAAAAGCACTTAGTACAATTAGTAAATTTTTTTTTCAAGAGTTTTATTAATTGTCTTTTAAAATTCCTTTTATCTCTCTCTGGCCATTTTTTTTAACCTTATATATTTATTATTTGCTCTAATTAGACATTATGGTATAATACACTTTGATACGTTATACATAAGTGGAGTATAATTTCTAATTCTTTTGGTTGCACATTATGTAGAATCATACCAGTTGTGTAGTCATATGTACTATAATGTAATAATGTCTGATTCATTTAACTCTCCTTCCTACTTCTAGATGCCTCCTTCACTCCCCTCTACCTAATCCTAGTAACCCTATTCTTCCCTAGACCTCCCTATCTTATTGTGAATTAGCATCCGCATATCTGAGAAAACATTCAGCCTTTAGTTTTTGGGGATTGGCTTATTTTACTTAGCATGATTTTCTCCAGCTCCATCCATTTATGTGCAAATATCATAATTTCATTTTTCCTTAACGGTCAGTAATATTCCATTGTGTACATATTTTCCAGACATTTTCTTTATACATTCATCTCTTGAAGGGCATCTAGGTTGGTTCCATAGTTTGGCTATTGTGAGTTGAGCTGCTATAAACATTGATGTGGCTGCATCACTATAGTGTGCTGATTTTGAGCACTTTAAGTATAAACTGAGGAGTGGGCTAACTGGGTCAAATGGTGGTTCCATGTCATTGTATTTTTAGATCTACATAGATCTTCTTTATCAAGTTGAGAAATTTATCATCTTGTTATTCCGAGAGCTTTTATTGTCAATGGGTATTGAATATGGACAAATGATTTTAATGCACCAATTAATATGATCATTTGTTTTTTCTTCAAATATAGCATCCATTCATGTTCAAAACATTTATTAAGAAAGCCAGTGCTGGGTGCACACACTTGTAATCCCAGCAGCTCAGGAGGCTGAGGCAGCAGAATCATGAGTTCAAAGCCAGCCTTAGCAACTTAGCAAGTCACTTAATAACTCAGAGGTACCTTATCTCTAAATAAAATACAAAATAGGGCTGGGGATGTGGCTCCCCTGGGTTCAATACCAGATATGCAAATAAATATAAACATAGAAATACAAGAAATATTTTAGAAAACAAAGTAATATAATACTTCCAAAGTATCAGAACTCTTAGAAACAGATTCCAAAGAAATCAAAATGGATGGAACAACTGATAAAGAATGAAAAAGAATTATAAAAAATCCTGAGGTCCAAGAGAATACTAAGAAACCCTAAATGAAACTAGAAAGATAATGCAGGATATGAATGAGAAATTCAGTAAAGAGAGAGATTTTGAAAACTAACTAAGTAAATCTTTGAAATGAACAGCTCAATAAGTCAAATAATTAATATTTAGTTGAAAGCTGCAATGACACTTGATAAAGTAGAAGAAAGAATGTCTGAATTTGAAGACAGGTCTTTTGAAATGTCTCAGTCAACTGAAATATCCCAATCAGACACAGAGGAAAGGGTTGAGGAGAAGGAAAAGGAAAATATTCAAGAACTCTGGGAAACCATTAAATGAAAAAACAACTGCATCTTTGTAATACCCATACATGAGGATATAAAAGTTAAGGACATAGAAAATATTTTCAATGGAATTATAGAACAGAACTTTCCTAATCTTGGAAAAACATAAACATCCACATACAGGGAGCTAATAGTTCCTCACATAAGCCAGAAGTAGTGGTTTATGCTTATAAGATTCCATCTTAAAACAAACAAAAAACAAGACCACAAAATATCTTCACCATGGCATAGTAAACTCAAATTATCAAAACTACAGAACAGCTGGGCATTGTTGTGAATGCCTGTAATTCCAGGGACTCCAGAGTTTGAGGCAGGAGGATCACAAGTTTGAGGTAAGCCTCAGCAACTTAGGAAGTCCTTGTCTTAAAAAAAAGGATTGAATGTGGCTCAGTGGTAAGTGTCCTTAGGTTCGATTCCTACAAAAAAAAAAAAAAAAAAAAGAAAGAAAAAGAAAAAAACAAGGTACAGGATAAAGAAAGAATTTTAAAATCACCAAATCATATTTAATGGCAGTCCAATTAGTCTAACAGCAGATTTCTTGGCAGAAGGAATGGAATGGAACGATATATTCCTACTCCTCCTCCTAAGAAAATTACAACTGACCTGATTACTATACCCAGCAAGGCTATCCTTCACAAATGAAGAAGAAATAAAGATCTTCTAAAATAAGCAAAAGCAAGGAATTCACAACCATCAGAACCAGTCTCAAAAAAAAAAAAATGCTTAAGGTAGTCCTACATCCAGAAATTTAAGAAGGATAACTACCCACTATAATAGCATGTGAAAGTGTAACTCCCACTTGAAGAGTGGATACACAAAAGAGAAAAAGAACTAAACATTATCGATACAATAAACCATCAAACCAAAAAGATGATCAAGAAAAAAAGTAAAAAATATTCAAAATATCTAGAAGAAAATCAACAAACCAACCTAAAATTAGAAGTAAAGAAATAATAAAGATCAGCATAGAAATAAAAAAATAGAGACAAAAAATACAAAGGATCAATGGAACAAAAAGTTGGTTCTTAGAAAAATCATAATTGACAAATCTTTAGACTAGCCAATAAAAATAAAGTAATAATGAAAACAAATTTAAAAAATTAGAGATGAAAAAGGAAACATTAAAACTCATACCATAAAAATATAAATTATTTTTTAGGGATTATTTTTTAAAATACTATATGCTAACAAGTTGAAAATGGACAACATCCCTTCATAAGGAGAATGGACAAATTTCTGGACATCTATGACCCACCAAAATTGAATAAAGAGATATAAAAAGTCCAAACAGACTGACAACAGTAAGGAGATTAAATCAGTAATTAAAAGTCTCCCAATGAAGAAAAGCTTAGGACTGGGTGGTTTTAATGCTGCATTTTACAAAAATTTAAAAGAATAAAACAATTTCTTCTCGGATTATTCTATAGACTTGAAATAGAGAGAACCCTTCCAAACTCATTGTAGGAGGCCAGCATTGCCCTGTTAC